GCTTGTAGGTGGTTTATCTGCAATGACACATGTATGAAGGAGGATACCATCTCCTTGTTTGTGAGTTACCGTAATAACACGTGTGTACATAGACTTTAGAGTGGACAGATACTGTATACACATTCTAGATTTGATGATTTCGTGACTGCAAGGATTCATACCCTTAGGGTTTTCGGTAAAGTCACGTAGGTAAAAAAATATATAAATAAAATAATACATCTGTATACACACTTGCATGCATCACATACAAAGCTAAGGTCCCCTGTGTAAGCCTTCAACAAACGGTCGGGGCAAGTGCTGTTAGCAAGCACCTATGAAGGCAAATTCTGCACACGAGGGGATGGTGTGGCCAGAAACCATGCATCGCCACCTTTGTCTTCCCTAGTGTAGATATTGGCCATGGCGAGGAATCTTGGAAACCCAGGTGGCCACAGTTCGAAGCCTGGTGTGCTAATCACTGCGCCACCGCTCCCCCATGCAAACGTACGCATACATGCACATACACAAAGTCTCAGGTTATTTTTAAACAGCGTGCTATAACAGATAACAGAAATAAACAGGCAGTATAACAGCCAAGTGCCCTTTTTCAATCTTGCATAGAAAGGCAAAGATCCGCCGTATAGCCTTAACAGCCTGTTGGGGCAAGTGCTGTGAGCGAGCACCTTTAAAGGCCGACACGAAGAACGTTGAGGTGGGTGGTCAGCACCACAAAAACACACATTTATGTGCAGTTAGGGTCCGGGACACACATTAAAGGTGGACAACATTTGACCAATACTTTGGAACAAAAGCGAAAAGGAGCCATGAAATTACATTCAGAAACAGACAGAGAAATGCAATGATCAAAGAACACGCAGACGTTAGAGACATCAGATCTTCTTCCTCTTGTTGTCGTCTGGCTGATGTAGATGCAGACCAACAGCTACAATTTCACATCCAGGCGGTCAAACCCAGATAACTTCATCTGGAGTAGCCACGTGTATCGCTGTGATGTCTCCTGACCAGGCCATTGCGTCGTTATATGTTTTATGGTCTGTTCTAGATGATCACAGTCGCGCACTACTGGAGAATTTTTACTGGTAGGAACCTCCTGGTTACACCAGCCCACAGGGGATTATTGTGTCCATCGTGCAGGGAAGGGCTGGGTGGGGAGGGAGGGGCTGGGAGGGGAGGGGAGGGTGGGGACGGGCTGGGTGGGGGGTGGGAGGGGTGGGGCTGGGTGGGGAGGGGAGGGTGGGTTTGGGCTGGGTGGGGGGTGGAAGGGGTGGGGCTGGGTGGGGAGGGGCTTGTCACCCCGTGGTGCCCTTATAAAACTCAACGTTTAACCTACTCACGCCGGCTTGTGCCCGCCCTCACAGTCGGGTATATTTGTGGAATACACCACGCCGCCGTTGACCCTGGCCATTGACTGAGCAACCCAACGTTCCTACCAGCTCCCTACGCAGAAATGTGTTTATTTTCCATTCGTGCATCAGGTATCTACATCTGCCATGGTTTGTGCGGATGTGATTTATGGCGGACCATGAGCTTCGTGACAGCTCAAACTCAGGGATCTTCTGCGTTGGCTCTTTCACAACAAGGTGCTTGTTTGTGACTTCTTTTGAACTCCGTTCAGCTCTCGGAGCTGAGACGTCAGATGAAGACGAGTGGTTTTAGCAGGGATACGATGGCCGGTGGTCGAGACTAAGGGCAGAGTGGCAGTCAAAGGAGGAAAAACGCACCCGAGAGGACGTCCACCGTGCAGATGTAGCCGTGGAATCATCTCGCGTCGCAGGATCGTGAGAGATGCCGACGAGCTTGGGAGGTAATCATCCAGCAGTGGATTGATTATGTGTCTACTGCCAAGACTGTTGGGACCTTTCAATTACAAGTAAAATACATAGATGATCCGTCGCGGTGGTGCTGTGTGTGTACTGTGTGTGTGTGTACTGTGTGCTGTGTGTGTGTATACTGTGTGTACTGTGAGTACTGTGTGTGTACTGTGCGCGCTACTCGGCAGGCAGCTGTTTCGTGCGGGTTCGCTCCGTTCGCCCCTTTTTTTTGGAACGCATCTACTACACTCTGGTGCGTTGTCTGTCTGGTCCACCAATTACAACAACATCCTTATACTTGATATGGGCCCTGTTTCAAAGTAGTACAGCATGTTCCGTTTGTTACCGATGAATCTCAACGGGATGCCTAGGAATACAACGAAGATCCGGATAACATTGGCATTGTCTGTAGGGTAGAGTGAGAACTCTTAGACTCAGGCGAAGGAAAACATTCGGGTAAATTGGGGGCAACGCTATGGCTGAGAATATAAAAAAATACACCCCAGTAATAATCTCCAGATTAAGAGATTTATTCCACGCAGCGTTGGCTGTATTTATTTATTTAGGAAGGGATTGGTGGGTCGGGGGTTGGGCCTGGATTTAAAGATGGGCTTCCAAAAGCCCACCCTGGCTGGCTCTAATGCCCGATGCATCACCATTCGCCACGTGGGCAGGCACATACACCGCATGACCACCCGTGAACGAAACGATAACTAAATTGGTTGGTACATTGCTCATTATTTAGTTGGTATTTTTAAGTTCAAATTGAGGTAGCCAGCTGGCTCAGACGACAAAGCGCCGAGTTGACACTGCTGAGATGCTTAGTTCCAATGCAGGCAGTCGCGTTTGATTAAACACAGGAGTTCTCAAGTGAAGTGAGGTGATTGATGGCATCAGCCCATCACAAAAAAACCCCCATCACATTACATTTGTTCTGCACTCAATTGGATAATTTCCAGCTCTGACAATTGTCATGTGATCAACATCACACTCTGTGGTGGAGCAGACGGGAAAGTGCTGCCCCCGGCTGCGGTGGACCAGAAAGCACTTGAACAACTCAAGAAGTAGTTCTATGATGTCCGCTTCCATGGACCGTTCTCCGAACGTGAAGGGTTGCGCAGATCTACGAAAGACTCGAATGCATTCGTCTCATGTCGTGACACCGACAGCAGTCGGGTATAAAATATATAAGTCCGAAATCTAGATAATACTACATGTTCAAATGGCTATAGTTAAGTGTTTTATGTTTAAAAAGTCAAGTCGATGTTCTCATTCTGTAAGTGAAAGTGTCGTGGTGCTCATATCCGACATGTTCCTGGAATTTTATCCACGCACGTGGAGTAATGCTGGTCCTCTATCTGCACTCATTCCTGTCCTGGGTCATCATCTGCACGTCCACTCCACAGTCCTTTCATATCCAGGTTCACCACGGCAAGCCACCCCTTTCAAAGCCAGCTTCTCGGAGCCCATCGTCAATCCGCTGCTGGATGGCGGACTCTTTACGCACAGGATGTTTAACCATACTTGACCACGCTGATCCGATTACACTGGTCAACAACAAAATTTTTTTTTTTCTGGCCTGGACTTTTGCATCTGCTTTAGACTAATTTCAGGGTGCTGATTTCAAATCTGATCTCATATTTGCTCTATCACATCTCATTTTAATGCTATCGGCATACCCCATTTTCATTGATTTTACCCGAAATTAACTGTCACTTATGATTGCAAGTTGTTGCGAGTCAGTGACTGCTTTAGTGTTCAAATATGGTGCTGTATTTTTAGGATAGTGTGTTTATATAATTTTATGTAGATATCCACATTTATTTAATATTTTTATTCTGCAGTTTTTATTGAAAATGCAATATTTGATATCTCAAAAATGATGTGAGAGACAAAAACTGATGCCAGATTTGGAATCAGCACCCCAAAATTACCTTACAACCGTTGGAATACCTTATGCCAGAAAAAGTGTGTTGACCAGTGTTGGCACGGTTGGCTACGTACGGTGGGAAAGAAGTTCCACACACACACATACATACACGTGGGTGCCCAGGACCCGTTCAGATATCACTCGCCACTTACGTTAGCTGTGGCTGGGAATCAGGTAGCCTGATTTAATGGCGCAGTGCGCAATCAACTGCACCGCCACTCCACACCCCTTTACTCGAATAAATAGCACTTATTCAAGACAATACGAGTAATTAGCAACGAAAATGAATCGATTGAGAATTGTTTTGATGTTTGCCAACTCTTTTGTGTTTACGTGCACTGTATAGTTGGTACCTGTACAATATTATTAATAGTGAACAACACGCGGGCAAGAGGTGGGGAGGTGAAGGAAGGAAGGGAGGGAAGGTCCCTGCCCGGCCAATTCATTTCGAAGGCCCTCAATGTCCCGGTGTATCGCGCGGTTTCACAACTTCCTTCCGGTCTTTTGTTGTTAAAATAATAAAACGCACGAGAAATAACATACACGCCTTGCACCGAGTCGGATAACAGCGCGGGCCCAATGCATTGTGCCACTCTAAACAGTTGTGTAAACGTTCCTATATAGACGCATTGGAGCCAATAGGTGATTTGAATAAAGCAAATTGTATGGGTGCAATTGTATATTCGTTACATAATGTTGTGTACAACTCACAAGCAGTGAACGTTTCCGAAATGTGACATTTAATATCACGTGTAAATTGTGACAATGTCTTTCATGTGATATTTCATATAATTAACGTATAGTGAAACCATTGTGAATGGTTGATACCCTATGCACATAGTAATTAAGCTATTACGTGATACTTAAATACATGGTATGTGTTTACACCTAACCAGTAAATGATTATGGGCTTCTCCCATTATAAGCTTTAGCATCACATTTGACAAATTACTTGGTTCACCGATGATGGGTGTCGTCTTTGTTTAGAAAGAGACTTTCAGGCCGACCCTATCAGGCTATTTCTGGTGGCCCAAATTAAAAAGTTTCCTTTTTTGAGTTGGAAGTAGATTGGATATGTTTGATAAAACTTCAGCTGTATAGCCCTTCTCGAATTTATATCAGTCAGCCACTCATTTTTGCCAGTCTACGTGTATTAGATGTCCATCATCAGCATCATCACGCACATTCAGTGGTGAATGCTGCATTTTAAATCCACTCATCTCACTTTGCTCACAGGGGATGGCACGCAACAGAGGAGATCAAAGTTAAATAAATACACTTTATTACCAAACAAAAAAAAGTGAGAGAACTTAATCACATCACACACCGTTAATTAACGCTACATCGATGCTACACACTCCCTCCGTGCACCCATATACAGGGCGTTTCAAAATGATGGACCCGATTTTAAATCGCGATATCTCTGCAACCATGAACCGCCCATGAATGAAACTCTACCACTTGAAAGGGCGGGACATAGAGTTTCAAATGATTACTGCGAGATGCCTCTCCCAGCGCACAAACAGCCCCTAGCCTCAGTCATTCGCAAGATGGTGACCCCCGCAACACAAGGAGCGTTTTGCGTTCTGTAGTTCAGCAAGACTGAATCCGTAATTGCGGTGCAGCGTGCGTTTCATCACACCCTGCGACTTTTTCTTGTGGGGATACGTCAAAGACCGTGTTTTTGTGCCACCATTAGTGACTAATCTGAAAGACCTCAAAAACAGAATCACGACAGCAGTGACTTCAGTGGAAGAAGACACTTTGAGAGGCGTTTGGGACGAATTCAACTATTGTCTCGATGTTGTCCCTACAGAAGGTGGAGGGCACATAGAGAGCATTTATAAAATGGTTAGTAAAACTTGACAACTCATTAAACCGTTTGTAACTTTTTGTGTAATTGTAACATGTTGCCATCGTGAAATATACCGCTTTGAAATTGGGTCCATCCTTTTGAAACACCACCCTGTATAATGAACCCATTTAAAACATCGCTACGGAAAATAAACTTTTATCGACGGGGGCCTGATGTCGACACATGGGCCCACACGTTGCTCTCAAGGCACGGAGGACGACACTCGTAGGCCAGAGGTCGCAAACGGGTTTTGATTTCTTACCCCCCGTACCCGATACCCGGCCGCATCAGGGTCACAAACGGGTACCCGTACCTTACACGATACCCGGCTACCCATACCCGGCCGGGTATCGGGTCGGGTACGGGTACCCAATTGCGACCTCTGGGATGAAGCCATGTTGCAGGCGCGGGTGGGTTGATTCCAGGAACTTGAATTGTGAGAAGAGACAAGACGTTGGGACATGAGTGACAAACGGTGACTCACCAGTGACTTACGGCCTACCCGTACCCGGCCGCACCAGGGTCCGCAAACGGGTACCCGTACCCGGCCGGGTACGGGTAGCCGGGTATCGGGTAGGGTACGGGTATCGGGTGCCCGATTGCGACCTCTGTCGTAGGCTCAATTTCACTTACACGCGGGGCACAGCTCCAGTGAGCTGCGCACGGCTTATTTGGAAGCAGCGTGATAATAGCGTAAGAGTTCAGAGTGAAATACACCGGGCAGTTCCTCCTAACTGTACTGCATTGCTAGAAACAAATGTTGAGGCTGTGGTTGGTATTTTATTTGTCAGTCTCATAAACACAACCGGGATTTTGGCTGTAGGTAGGGATGCCCTTGTTTGGCCTTTCGACCGACAGCTCATAACTGTGGCATTTTAAATAATTTTAAGTGGCCGGCTCACGGCATCTGTCCAGTGGTCGCGACATTTCCAGGCCTGTAGTCTCCTCCACCATGCAAGCCCTTATTTTATCACAATTTAACAAGGCTTTCTCAGGAGCCTTGCTCTGATACTGGTGATGAGTAATTTGAGCCAAGTTGTGTTCTTTGCTTAAGTGTTCTACATAAACACACGTTATAATGAGAAATTGTTATATTTCAACATCTCTAAGTAACAACACACACACGTTGCGACAATTCTGACTTGGACACCACAATCAAGAAGACCCCTCCCCACCAACCCCCTGTAACACAAAAAGGGCTTTCACACAAATCCCACCTGCAAGAGCTTGCAAACAGCAGCTCCAAATCCCTGGAACATGGGCCCAGTTTTTCAGCACCTGTGGTCGTTCCGCTCGAACAAAACCCCAAATTTCCCATTCCTTACTAGCGTCCGTTGCGTGTTTTTTTTGAGCCACAATGCAAGCCTAGAGATTCTCACATTTTCACTTCAGATAACAAAAGAAGTGAGGTTTTTAGGAATTCTCAAGTGCTTCCACCAAATCACAGAAGCATGCTTCACAAGAAGAGCAGAGGGGCTCCCTGCACGATTTTATTGACATTGGCAGCCAGAAAGCCCCCTCAATGCAAACGGTGAGTGGCTTGCAGCGGAGACACAAGCTGCCAATTTTCACACTGCCGCGATAAACCCACGCACCATTAGCTTGTACGCAATGACTTGTAACGTCGTAGTAAGCATTGTGGATGGACAATGGTGTATACTTCAACACCTTATCAATCAAGTCAATGCATGGCCACGTCAGTGTTTGCAAATCACAAAGTAATACTGGAACGACTCGCTTAGCTCAAGTGAAGCGTCACGTGTGGTAATCCACTTTTGATTTTCTTTCAAAAAATAAAATAGAAAAACCTTTCTCGACGCCAGTGCAAGGAGACCGCAATTGCGAACTGCACACACGCCGCTACCGTCACGCGTTCGCAGGCTTCAGCCATGAGATAAATTCTCTAAATTACATAAGCATCCTATTAAAATGGTCATACAAAGACCCTTGGGGCAAGCGACTGCGAGTGAGTCTAGTGTATACAGTATATGAGTTCAGCGACAGTTTTTTTTATATGCTACGGGATGGGTGAGCCAAACCGAGTTAAAAACACGTGCAGACACAAAGACACAGGCTTCGGCTGTGGCATTGTACGCCACTGCTCTGACAAGCAGCGATGCCTTGTAAACCTAACACCTGGGACTGGCACCACACTATGATCTATGGCCAAGTATTCACCAAACCACAGAACCCCAGCATGTGTGAACTCTCTCGCGTGCCTCGGCTAATGAGGGGGTGGGGTGCCATAAAAAAGTGGCACGACAAGCCGCTGGTTTTGTGATAGGACACATGCTAAGGAAGCCCAGCACAGGGGCACAACAGTGGTATGTGTTTGGCTTAAAAGTTTTCTATACGACTCACGCATGTGAATCTAGCTTTAATATGCCGATATTCACACATGTGATATAAATGGAATTCATATTTATATCACGAAAAGTATGTGTGTGCATATACTCGCATTCGTGCATTTTGGTACAAATATATAACTAAAATGTACAACCTTTTTCAATCCACTGCTGGATGAAGTCCTCTCCCCATGCCATTTTGGTAATGGGATGTTTGGCCATACTTCATGAAACTGCTCAGTGTTGCATGATGAAGGAGAGGGGTCCAGAACTGGTTCAGACACCAGTCGCCACCGATGTTAGCCTTTGCTGGGAAAAGCCAGATTGACGGGTTCAAAGCAGTGAGCCAACGTCTCCAGCAACACTCAATCCCACACGAATATACACACATATGTAGTACATGAAGAGCATTTTTAGGTTTTTGGCACAAATTAAATATTTTGGGGACGAAAAAAAGCTGCAAAGGTAACTTTGTGAGCTTTCATATAAAATCGATAGGCAAAAAAAAGTTTTTTTTTTACTATTAATAACAAAAAACCTACCGTTACACTTATTGGAAAGTCCCCTATATGTCTAGTATTGACTTTAAATAACTTGGTGCACACATTTAAAATCCCAGTTATATAGTTCACTAATATAAAAAAGACAAACATCCCCTGTATAGCATTAACAGACTGTCAGTACAAGAGCTGTTAGCGAGCACCAATGAAGGCCAACACGGCACACAAGTGCAAGCACCATGCCCCCATCTGCCTTCGTCTCCCGAGTGGTGATATTTACAAATCGCACCAAGTACTCATTTGAGGCTGAGTCGACAAGGGGAGGTCCAGGACTGGTTCAGATAATCGTCACTGGTGTTGGCTGTGAGCGGGAATCAAACTCGTGTCACTGGGTTCCTAGTGCAGCACACTAACCATGACACTGCCGCTCCCCACTTCACTTAACACACCCATTTTATTTACAAGTAAAACCAATGTACGACAACAACTCATTCAGGAATAAAGTCAGCCTCATCAATGAGATACGGTAGCGACTAATCAAATGGTGCTTCACTTAGATCCCGATTCACGAGCAGGTTTTAAAATCCTGCTCGTGGGTCCTGATGGGATCACCAAAGGCACGGCTGGTAGGTTGATAGAAATATAGATAGGTAGGATGGTGGGTTGGGGGGGTTTAGGTTTGGGTGGAGTAGTTTGGGGGGTATCAGGAAAAATATGTAGATAAAAAATGTGTGCAAGCACACAGCTTAAACACACAACAGATTCCCTTTCATCCAGAACAGTTCTCCTCCATGGTGCATTCAAAAAACTATTAAAAAATGCACCATCCCTTGCACTCGCAGGAGCTTAAGCACACACACACACACTCTCCTTCTGCCCAAACATAACCTTCATGAGCCAAATGATTGCTCTGACCAAGTCTATACAGGAGATTAAAAGTGGCTGCTTTTCCAAGGGCCAATGAAGCCAGCAGCCCACGTGCTACATTACAATAAACAACCTACAGAGGATCACAAGACACACAGAGACAGGACCTCGCAACGGGCAACGCTAGCACCAGCCACAGCAGCCAGGACAACAGAGCCACAGTGGCTCAGCTGCTGCCACCGTAATCACCTGAATATTCTGTAAACCATTGTGTGCATGTGTACACAAAGGAATACTGCTGCTGCTGCTTTGCAACTGAAGGCGTGCTGCTCTGCGTTCCGGTCCAGGTGTCACGGCTATTGCTGCTACGGTTGCATGTGCTGCTACGGTTGCACGTGCTGCTGCTGTTGTGGCTGTCCGCTCCGCACAGCAGGCAGGAACTCCTGCTGGTGGCCCTGCATGTGCGCCAGCAGCTCCTCCCGTACGCCCGACTCGAAGCCGCACACGCAGCAGCAGAAGGTGAGGCGACAGGACTTGCCCTGGGGAGCCTGGGGCCTAGACGTACCCCCTAACACAGGGCTCCGCGGCAGGGTGAAGGAAAAGCGGTGGCGCCGTCTGGACTGCCGCTGCCAGGGTAGCTGGGGTCACCGGGGCTGCTGGCTTCTCGCTCGCCGAGCGAGCAGGTTTGCCGACGGCAACGGCGGAGGTCGCAACCGCGTTGCCCGTAACCGGGTTTGGAGAGTGCCCGTCAGGCGGAGCAGGGTTCAGGTTGTCCCCGACGGTGCCTGGGGAGGAAGGGGGCCTCCCCGACTCTCCCGGGGCCGGTGCCATCTTCAGCACGGTGCGGTTCTGGAAACTGCGCGCGGTCACGTACGATGCAGAGTCAGTCGATACACAGCGATATTCAACACAATAGAATTGCATTAAAATTTTCTTTCATGTGGTGCTTTTCATGCGGTGTATCCTGGGGCGCTTTATTACAATTACAAACTCCAAAAGCCAATGCCTAACAATCTAGCTCAAAAATAAGCCTGCTCAAACAAACGTATTGTAAAATTTGATCTTAAAAGATATGACTTTGAATTGCGTTGCAGAGGCAGAGATCAAAACAATGTTAGTTGTGCATGGTGTATATTTGTCAAGAATGTTGGCATCACGGGGTTGGTACATGCTGGTGATGCTGTGTGTGTGCCTACGCTCGTGGGTAGCGGTTTCATAGTCGTTGGTGCACTGCACTACGAATCCAGCGACCCGAGTTCGATTCCCGCTCCTAGCTAACAATTGGTGACAAATATCCAAACTGGTCCTGGGCATCCTCTAGGTCGACTCAACCTTAAATAAGTACCTGGTGTGCTGTGTAAACATCAGCACCGAGGAGACCAAGGCGATTGGGCATGGTGTTGGCCACCCACTCCCTCGTCTGCAGTGCCAGCCTTCATAGGTGGTCGCTAACAGCAATTGCCCCAACAGTAAACTGTTAAAGGCTAAATGGGGAATCTTTGTCTTTGGTACACATAAAACATATCCCTTCACTTAAAACCCTACTTAGTAGTAGTAGTAATTCTCATTCAGGTCACGTACGTGCGCCAGATAGAGCATATCAGAATTAATTATTCGACACGCATGCTAATTTTAATGTGGGCGAATGGTTGGATTGAGCAAGGCAGTGCAAGTGAGACAGTACACCTATGATGGTACAGAAAGTACACAAGGGTACAGATGAGCATGTGACAGTACAAACAAGTTGGTCACAAATGACAGTACTGTAATGGGAGCAGATGAGCCAGGACAGAGGACAGAGGATACGATACACACGAGCAGACGAGATTGGAGATAAAACTGTTCAAACGACATGCAAAAAAAGATAGTTTATAGCCATCCAATTTGCTTCGCGTTGTACCACATGTTATTAAGCACAATGCCCTACGTTCCCTGCTCCCATGCACTGCGATATGTTTCAGGAACGACCGACATCATCCCAAAGAACACGCGGCACAACCAGAAACACACGGCAGACCTAAATAGCACATCTGCGAAAAACTACGCAGCAGTTAGCCTTTCATAGAACAGTGCCTACAAATCCAAAGAATCTATACATTTGCAGGTGGGTAGATGGTATGAATTGTTACGAGTCGAGTGTGCGGCGTGCACTTGCTGATGCGAGCACTACCGCTGTGCCAGGGCTGTAGCTGCATCAATATCCCGGTTCACTCGCTGGAAGTCGTAGTTCTGGTCGCTGGCGTGCCGCCACATGTGAGCCTTCAGAGATGCCGCAAAGCTGCATACGTAGCCGCATAGCACACACCTGACACGCACGCGCGCGCACGCACACACACAGTCCATCTTGCACCCAGCCAACATTTGACAAGCATATCCATTTAGTAACGCAATTTCTGGATATAATCGTGTTCATTTACTCCATCTGATTTGCCAAAAACAACGTGTTATTGTTTACATAACTGTGACTATCATAAAATATAAATCAATCATTTGTAGCCATTCAGTATAAGGTGTTCATACTTATTTATTGCATCAGTTTAAGTGACAATGACAACGTATTGGAAATATACTCAGAGACTTAACTACTTCGTGAGCATCACCAAGTGATGTAGAATCAACCACGTCGTCAAAACCCATCAAAGATTGTGCTACATTTACAAAAGGCCTCGACACAGGAATGTGGAACATCCACTTCCGGCTCAAAGCCAAAAATTACGTAAAAATAATGGTGGCAACTACATCCACACGGTGAAACGACCAATAGTAGTTGTTGGGTGATGTGCGATGGTTGTCTGTCATGGTGATGAGCTGCAGAGGTTGGATTTTGGGTCGTCAACGTGGGAGTAAGCGAAGCAACTAAATTATTTGTGTGGGCAAGTGTGGGCGAGTGAGAGGGACAATGGATGGTCGAGTAGATGGATGTTTGGTCGGGTGAGCGAGTGGGTGAGAAGAGGCCACACCTGAAAGGCTCGGCTGCGGAGACAGCAAGGGCGTTGTGCGCGCACGAGTGCTGCTTAAAGGCGGCCGCCGAGGAAGTTGTGAACTCGCACTCCGCACACCTGGGCGCACGCCCACACCAGCACCAGGGTGACAGCACAGGCAATTAGACGAGACGGACAGTATAGAACGGCACGCGTAAGCTTGATCGTTTGCATTCACACAGACAAGCGTCAACCCATTAGTTTTAAGCAAAGTCATCCTTGGGAGCCCGGGTTTTGATGCGAATTTCTACTGGTGTATAGCATAGCGACGAATTGCGGTGTTTTGTACGAATCGTTGTGCAGTGCTCGACACTATTACTTCCCACACACATTGCCATATGAACAAATCACCCTGAATGCACCTCATCTCACTGGATCTTGGAAGATAAGCAAGGTTGTGCCTGGTTAGTACCTGAATGCGAGACTGCTTGGGTACAGAAGCTATTGTAGGCTTGAACGGCGAGATGGCCAATGTATTCTTGAAACTATTTGCGTAGAACTTTGAAGGTTACACCACCCCCCCCCACCCCCTTGTATGCAAGAGTTTTCTCCAGCTGCTCCAGTTTCCTTCCACATTCCAAACTCGAATGGATTTCATATTCTTGGATCTTTCGGTAAAGTCACGTAGAAGTGAAATAATAAAATACAAAAAATAAAACATTACAAAATTCTCATGACGTTTCGGCTACAACACAAGCAGCCGTCCTCAGGTGAGAACAGAGCTGGAGTCACAAACGCTTTAAATCGAATGGAATTGGCGAAACACCGCAACTTAGGACCCTCCTAAAAACGTCTTGAGATGTTTTGCCCGGATAAATGGCATCACAGTCCACACCCACTGCTTTGAGTGAGCAATGTATGAGCAATACACACCTAACCACCAAAAAGGAGTGGTACCACTTCCCAAATGCCAGAGACACATGCGAATTACCATAACCACAAACTATACATCAGCAAGTCATTTTGCACTCAATGAGCCTCCCTCCACACTTAAATCTCTCAATGACCGGCTCACCACATTCTCCATTTAACCCAAATATGGCAAACCTTCTCGTTTACTGAAGGCCAAATAGGGCTTTAAAACAACACTGACAATAAATGTTTTATGCTAAGTTTGTAAGCATTGGCTGTGTGCTCAGAAGTACTTGAAAGATGATGATTGAGGTCTAAATGTCAGGTAAAAATGAACCATTGTTCCAAGAGAGTGCTGAGAAAATTAATATCGTTTTAGGGGCCAATTTGGAGGGGCAGGACTCATATGGCCACGGGCCATATAACACTAGGTCGTGGGCCATATTAAATTAAGTTGTGGGCCTTATAGAATTAAGTCAATTAAATCACAAGGATATAGGTGTCCCACCCCAATTTACCCCATCCCCACGCAAATCTCCCAGGGACTGTCCAATGTCTCCTGTGTTGCAGCTGTTGCCGGCGGTGGCATCCCCCATGTCACTCACCGGTAGCTCTTGTCGTGGATGCGGCGGTGGTTGCGGACGCCCACGTAGGAGACGCTGGTGTAGGAGCACATGTCGCACTGATGCAGCCTTCGCTCCCGTGCGCCTGCGAGTGCCGCGGGTGCAGAGGCAAAATATGAACACGAGCATTAACCTTGGAGTGGTTTGCACATTACCCTATTAACTCGATGACCTGAGTTTGAGTCCCGGCTCAGGCGAGTGACATCTGACCACGTCCTTGGATGACCGACCTGTTATCAATGTGCAATCGATCAGCATGGTGGAGTATGGTGAAACAACATTCATGGGAAGGCCTTCATCCAGCAGTGGAGAGACATAGTGCTGCTGCTGATAAAATCCTAAGCTGCAGCCCTGGGTGCGAGAAACCTGACACAATGTCCATAGTGTATACATGTACAGACTAAAGCATGGCCTTGTACAAGACATTTGACATCTTATTCCATTGAGGGATCAATAAGTGATCTTTCGTGAAAAAATATACACCACTGCTTGTACAAGTCTTCCGGACGTGACTTGCATGTTAGTGTTATTAAAAATAATAAAAACTTACAGCCCTTTTGTTACATCACTGTTAGATGAAGGCCTCCCCACATCTTGTCGGTCACAAGTGTTGTTTGACGACGCTCACCCAAACATGAGTATTAAAGATTGTAATGTTAAAAGCAGTGATCTGGCCAGGTAGTGGAATGGTTATTGTATATTGCACGCAATAATATCCCGATAGGGGGGGGGGGGGGGGGCGTCAATGCAGCCTTCTTCACTCTGCGGTCTATACAATGAGTATCACTTTGTGGGAAATGAATTGCGGTTGTCCTATGGAGCGACTCCCAACAATGAGGAATTTTCACCACTGGCTCAAGGCCACCAACAGGAGATAAGCCTAACCTCACAAGCTGGCACAGTACTGATAATAGTTGCATGCGATGACACGTGGATGGAGTGGTGGTGCAGTGGTCACCGCTCCGAATTCAGCAACCGTAGTTTGATATATTTGAAAAGGTCCTGAGCTCACCGACTTAACCAACCCGCACACTGACCATCGCAGTAAAATATGGTCAAACAACCCCAATAAAGCCGTGCTGTGAAGAGGCCTTCAAACAGCAGTGCATTGGCAAAGGGCCATAAACTGTAATTGCAGATTGTGATGGCTGGGCATGAGGCTGGACCAGCGTGGTGGCGACTACACACACACCTTGCCCATGGCCGGCGGGAGATGCTGCGTGTTTCCCGGCCACCGCCCTTCTCCTTGGCGCCACGTTGTGATGCTCGCGTTCGTGATTCCGCAGCTGGCTCTGCAAGTACACACGACATTCACCGATCAGAAGTGCTGCACACGGTAGCCGCGTGTCTACTCTGCGCCACGCACGGAAATTAACATGCTAAATGTAATTGCGTAGTTTTACGGGTCAGCTCTGAGTGGACTGGCGATAGTGGTTACGATGCTGTACTGTGAACCCACGACCCGAGCTTGATTCATGGCCACAGCTAACATCAGTGGTGGGTGAAATCAAATTGGTCCCTTTTGAAAACCTACACTAAGCGTTAGTAGAATAAAAAAAAACCCTATGACACACGACGTGGAAAGGCATTCATCCTTTGGTGCAATGGGAATGGCTAGAATTTTTAATGGCCAGACCACGGTGGTAAGACCGATGTTAAATGATAAGGGTAAATTAAGCATATGCATCCCCAGTGCAAAGACCAGATGGGGCAGCGAGCAAAATTCCAAGTTGCTTCTCAGTTTCGATTGTTCCTCATTGCACCAAAATATATGGCACAAAGATGAATACATCGTCAAATTAAGTTGGATTTTTTATGCAATTTAACACCAATGACAAATGGTCCAAATGATAACTTGTAATTTTTACCACACAAAGCCTCAGAAAACTTTTTGAGGAGGGTCCTGCATTGGGATATTTTTTTCCAAAATGATTTTTTTAGGTTTTGCGAGATGTTAACAGTGATCAGGGCGTTTTACATGTTTTTGCGTTCCCTCCCCCAAAATGTATCTCAATTGTGCTGCCTACATCTTGTCAAAGAACAAAGGTATCCATTCCAATCGCTCGCAAGAGCAGTGAAATTCTCATTGCTGAAATTTAGCCAGCACAACTCCTTACACTCGACAACCAAGACCTACCCTGGCCTGCCTTTAAACCCAGGATCTGTGGTACCAGCTCAGCGTTCTGACCTCAGTCATCATCATGGTGACAACAGTTCTATTAGTGGCCATGGTTAGATTAATAGCCATATTGTATATCCATACGAATTACTCTTTCCAGTGGTCAACAGAGCTAGAAAATGCATGAACGAGAGGTGCGCTGGCTCCTTCGCCACCTTGTAATGGAAGTCGAACGGGCAGTGGGAGCAGCGGTGCGGGCGAGGGCGGCAGTGTCTGGCCGTGTGCTCACGCAGAGCGCCGCAGTCCCGTGCCACCTCGTGGCAGATTGGGCACTGGTAGGGTCGGGGCCGGCGGTGAGCGCGGAGGTGCTGCCTGGCGTGGGCAGCGCTCGTGCCGCGGTACGGGCACACGCGGCACCGGTACGCATGCCGAGTCCCGGACACTTGCTCCACCAGCCCGCCAAACAGCAGAGCTCGCTGCTGATGTTCGTCTTCCAACTCGTTCTCCTCCTCCTCCTCCGGCTGTTGCTCCACGTCATCAATCTCCATGTCCTCCACCTTGACGCGGCGAGGACCCCCTTCCCTGGCGGTCGCCGCTCCGACCTCGCCGTCTCCCTCGTCTCGCTGGTGCAGTCGCTCGATGACGGACAGGAGAAGGGTGCTGATTCCGGACTGGCTGCCGCTTCCTCTGCTACTGCTGCTGCTGCTGTAGCTGTCACTGCAAGCGCCCTCGTGGATCGGTTCTTGCACCCCGAGGTCCTGATGAGGAGGACTCGGAGGATCAGGATGTCGAGGAGGAGGTGGTGGCGGCAACCAGGCTGGCAGAGCCACGAGGGCCTCGGCAGCCAGAGAGTGCAGGCGCAGGCACTCGGAGTTTGTGCGACGCCTGGATACGGGCCTCACATCTGCACAATCTTCGCGTTCCTGCTGCTGCTGGCTGCGTTCTTGCTCATCAGCCTTCACACCAAGAGCGCCAACTTGGCTGGAATTTTTCTTCCAAAGTCCCTGCTGCTCGTCCTGCCGAGCGCCGCAACCAATGTCATGGGCTTTGACGGTCATTGGAAGGCGCGGAGTCGCACCCGACTCGTCCCCTAGCCCCGCGGCCGCCGCATCCAGGCCAACATTGGGGCCAGGGCTGCGCCGCGCGCCCTGCTCTGTTCCCGCCGCAAGCCCAGGGAGGCCGGGCACTTGAGCCTCGTCCGAGCGGCCAGGAGTCGAGGCCGCGGCGCTTCTCTCCCGAGCATCTGCCTCCGCCGACTTGGGTGGTCCGGGAGTCAACAGCGAGGTGGCGTTCACGCTACCGCCCTCGGAGGGGTGAACGTGGCCTCGTGCGGCGTTGGAGTCGGCGTCGGTGTCGGGAAGCCGGACCGTGCCGTTTGATGCTGCGGCGAGGGGGGTCCCGACGTTCACTCCGTCGCCGCCGCAGCCACCGCCACCGCCATCCTCCAGCTCCTCGAACACGGGGTAGGTGCAGGTGACTTCGCGCGCGTGTTTCCACGCGTGCGTCTTGAGCGTGCGCTGCCGCTCGCACGTGTAGCTGCACAGCAGGCAGTGGTAGATGCCGTGCGGGTCGCGTGTGTACCAGCGACGCGCGGCAGGGACGGCAGGAGGCGGCTGGGGAGTCGCGGGAGACGCCTGGGACGGTCCGCACGACCCCCCCCCCGCCTTGGACACGAGGAGCAGCACCGCACCGCCGGCGATTCCAACGTCACCACCACCTCGTCCAGTTCCGAGAGCTTCGGAAAAGCGTCCTCGACCGCCGTGTCCTCCTCCACCGACAAGACAACCTTCACCCCGACGTGGATTGCCATCACCTGGTCCTTTATCAGCACCGCCACCGCCGCCGCCGCCACCTCCAGATCCACGTGCATCATGACCACCTCCGCCACATGTTCCTTCTCCACCAACACCACCTATGTAACTGCCGCGTCCACCATCGCCAACAGTTTTCCCTCCGTCACTGCCACTTCTACCCTCTCTAGCAGCACCTCCTTCGGCACATGCGTCACCTCCTCCTGCTCCTCCACCTGCTGCTGCTGCTCCACCTCCTGCTGCTCCACCTCCTCCTCCACCTCCACCTGCTGCTCCACCTCCACCTCCTGCTCCACCTCCACCTGCTGCTCCACCTCTAAATGCTGCTCCACCTCCACCTGCTGCTCCACCTCCAAATGCTGCTCCACCTCCACCTGCTGCTCCACCTCCTCCTCCACTTGCTGCTCCACCACCACCTCCTCCTCCACCTCCTGCTGCTGCTCCACCTCCTCCTCTTGCTGCTCCTTCTCCTGCTCCACCTCCTCCTGCGGCTCCACCTCCTCCTCCTGCTGCTCCACCTCCTCCTGCTCCACCACCTCCACCTGCTCCTCCACCTGCTGCTCTACCTCCTCCTCCACCTGCTCCTCCACCTCCTCCTGCTGCTCCACCTCCTCCTCTTGCTTCACCTCCTGCTCCTCCTCCACCTCCTCCCTCACCTCCTCCTCCTCCACCTCCTCCCTCACCACCCCCACCGTCCACGCCCGCCCGCGAGGTGGCGTGCTCCGTGACGCGGCTCGCCCTCTCGCACGCCAGGGAGCAGAGCGCCTCCAATTTGGAGCGGAACCCCGCGGAGGACCCCGCGCTGCGCCTCATCGCGCCGCCGCCGCCGCCAGGGGGGGAAGGAGGCGAATCCAAGCGGACCTCCATGGTCGCCTCGAGCAAACCCGCACCACCAGCGGTAGCACCACCAGCAGCGACACGGGGACTGTCTCAGCCACTCGTCTCGTCGGCGTGGAAGGAGCGCGCAGAGCCACAAGCGACGTCGTCGTCACGCGTGGGTAGCGGGAACACCCGAGACGACCCCGGCCGCACGGCGGCGTCGCGGTCTCGCACCACGCGGCTCCATTCCGAGCGTGAGATGAGGCGGCCCCGAAGGTGACGAGCTGAGAAAACTTCGGTGAGGAGACCGGGGGAGGTAAGGTAACGGACGGACGTCGAAGGATTCGATGATGAGACGACCACGAGGTGTGAAGATCTGCAAATCAGACGAGGTGAAATCGAGAGACGAGGTGGTGAGTTTCCATGAGACCGGGCGATGAGGTGGTGATGTCGTTATCAGACCGAGAGACGAGGCCTCTGGCTGCAGAGACCGAGAGACGAGGCGTCTGGCTGCAGAGACCGAGAGACGAGGCTTCTGGCTGCAGAGACCGAGAGACGAGGCGCTCTGGCTGCAGAGACCGAGAGGTCTCTCGCTGCAGAGACCGAGAGACGAGGCGTCTGGCTGCGGGCGTTGAGGCCGTGACGAGGAGAATGCGGAGCGGCGACCCTCACGCAACCCGCTCCTCGTGTCGCCTCCAGCCCCTCCCCTCCCCCGGGATGCTGCAGCCCGGCGCCTGCGGCACGAGCGCCGCGTCCTCCTCGAGTCGCCCGCCCCCACCACACGCGCGGCGCCGCACAGAGACAACCGCGAGGGAGACAAAGGCGGCCGGGAGGGGGGTGGCGACACGCGGCCACGCGCTCCGCCGCGCTAAGATGGAGCCCCCCGCGCGTCACGTGACCCGCGCGTTCCGACAGCGGGAGGCGGCGGCGGTCACGTGACCGCTCGCGCGGGTACAGTGAGGTGGGGAGCGAGTCACGTGACTTCTCGCGCGCGCCGCGCACGCGGGCGGGTACAGTGCAACAAGGGGGGGGGGGGGTGGGGCGAGGTCACGTGACGCGACCGCCATCCGTGTGGGTCACGTGATACGGACGTTCCCGCGAGACGTTAACAGGTCACGTGGACAGGATGCACCCGCGATCACGTGATCACCCCCCTCCCCCCCCCCTCGTGTGTCAGTGGCGCGATCACGTGACGGAGGAGGCGCGTGCGTGGAGAGGGTTGAATGGGGTCACATGACACGGTTTGCAGGGGGCGGGGTGAAGAGTTGCATGGTCACGTGATCAAGATGCGTGCGCCTAAGGGGGAGGGGGCACGAGTTGTATCACGTGACATGCGTTTTGAACGTGCGGTTGGTTGCGTGATCACGTGACGCGCGTTTCTACGGGGGGGTGGGGGGGGATGTTGCGTGATCACGTGACGCGCGTTGCTGGGGGGGGTGTTGCGTGATCACGTGACGCGCGTTCCTACGGGGGGGGGGGTGTTGCGTGATCACGTGACGCGCGTTCCTACGGAGGGGGGTGTTGCATGATCACGTGATGCGCGTTCCTACGGGGGGTGGGGGGAGTGATCACGTGACGCGCGTTGCTACAGGGGGTGGGGGGGGTGTTGCATGATCACGTGACGCGCGTTGCTGGGGGGGGTGGGGGGAGTGATCACGTGACGCGTTGCTAGGACACGTGCAGTGCGAGAGGGGGCGACGTTAATGGGCCTCCGCGTGGTTTCTGTGGCTGCGAAAATATCAACCCACGTCACCACGTGGCAGCAAGTGGGGCAAAGTTGTGTGACGCTGAGCTGCAGCCCTCGTGAAAAGTAACGCAGTTATCATTGTTGGTTCTTTCGGTAAAGTCGCGTAGAAGGGAAATAATAAACTAATACAAATATATTAAGCCACAGCAAATTTCTTGCTGTGGATTTCACACCTGATGACGATTGCTTGTGTTGCAGTCGACACGTCGTGATAATTTTTATTGTTTTATTTTATTATTTCCCTTCTACGTGACTTGACCGAAAGAACCAAGAATATGAAATCAAAACAAGTATATCGTTTATAGTTAAATCTTGACTTAAAGCGTTCGTGACTGCAGAAATGCATATTCTTTGGGTCTTTCGGTAAAGTCACGTAGATAGGTTCAAAGAAAATAACAGAAAACCACGACGTTTCGATCGCAACACAAGCGGTCGTCATTTTCCCGATAAATGAAAATAAATCAATTGATCAATTAATTTATTTTTTCCCATTTATTATTTTATTTCAAAATTTTATTTAATTTTTTTTACCTACGTGACTTTACCGAAAAAACCTAAGAGTATAATCGGTTGCCTTGTCTCTCTATGCGTCGCCTCTCGAGGTGCCGGTTCTTCCACGTGGTTACGCAAGCACGCGCCTCCCGTGCCGCCGTGGGGGCTCTGCGGGAAAGGTCACCGCAGCCGAGTCACCCCCACAACGGAGGAATTCCCGGCACGCTCCAAGACTTCTGCCAGCGTTAGAAACTCACGTACTGTATGGGGGGGGGACTTGGTGGTGGGTGGATGCTCTCCTTGTGTAATGGGTTTGCACACGAGATTGTAGAATTCTGAAGTTATCGGTTCGACTTCTCGACGTTTTACTTAAACACATTCCTGCGGAGGGAGCTGGTAGGAACGTTGGGTTGCTCGGTCAATGGCCTGCAGGGTCAACGGCGGCGTGGTGTATTCCGCAAATATGCCCGACTGTGAGTGCGAGCACAAGCCGGCGTGAGTAGGTTAAACGTTGAGTTTTATAAGGGCACCACGGGGTGACCAGCTCCTCCCCACCCACCCAGCCCCACCCCTCCCACCCCCCACCCAGCCCCACCCTCCCCACACAGCCCCTCCCCACCCTCCCCACCCAGCCCCTCCCCACCCTCTCCTCCCCACCCAGCCCCTCCCCACCCTCCCCTCCCCACCCAGCCCCTCCCCACCCAGCCCCTCCCCACCCAGCCCCTCCCCACCCTCCCCTCCCCACCCAGCCCCTCCCCACTTTCCCCACCCAGCCCCTCCCCACCCTCCCCACCCAGCTCCTCCCAACCCAGCCCCTCCCCACCCTCCTCTCCCCACCCAGCCCCACCCCTCCCATTTTTGGATGCACGACGGACGGACGGACACAATAATCCCCTGTGGGCTGGTGAACCAGGAGGTTTCTACCAGTATAACAACCGCCTACAACACCGCCTCTGTCCACCCAGTAGTTTGAATTGGTAACACCACAGTCAGTCAACTTGGGGTAAAGTGTGTTTACGCACACATCTTCCAAGACGTCAGGCCAGCGTGGAAGAGTAGGCGAAATACTCTCTAGAGAGTCCTCTAGTGGAGGACCCTCCTGCCAGCAGGGGAGTGAGCAACAAACTGCAGGGCCGCACCTTTGACATTTGCGACCGTACTTCATGCTGGCTAGTGCGGATTGCTGAAGGCGGGGAGCACAGACGTGAGAGCACAGCAGGACAGCACAGAAAATTGATGGATATTGCTTCATTGCCCTCTTGCTGCCTACCACGTAGCCGCGAGGCACTATGGCAACCTGTTTGTGTGGCGGTCACCCACTCAAGCACGATGTTTCATTGCTTTCATGGCTTTATTTTGGTGATTTCGAAAAGTGTATTGGTTTTGCCATGTTTGTTTGTTGTAGTACAGAGTTAGACTGATGGCCTTAATCTAAGTTGTCTTGTGGTTGTTGTTGTTGTTTGACTTGCATCCCACTGGGATTTTTGCATACAGCGTTGGTGTACGGTGTTTTTTGTTTTTTCTGCAATATTTTGCTGTCTTTTCTTGGATTTTCTGTTTGCACTTAGTCACATATAGTCACTTTAAGATGTTTTTTGTTCATGTTTTTGTTTTATGTTTGTTGCGGTTGCACCCGATTCAAGAGCCGAATGGCTCACAGGGCTATACTTAATAAATTAACTTGAACTTGATGTAGGAGGCTCCACCCGGCTTGCTTCCGAGATCTGACGATCGAGATTGGGCACATTCCGGGCGATTTACGTCGTCATAGGTCAGCAATTCACTGGTATATATAAAAATAGACGATATACAATGCTCATATACACGCAAAGTACTGTTTGTTCCAAAATGAAACTGGCATCCGTCATAGGAATGTGGAATTGTCTTTTATTTTCTACTCAGTTGTATTCCAGTTGTGCTGTCGGTGTTACACCACGAAACAATATACATTTCGATGATAAACATTTGGGGCTGTTAGGTTTTGGGAATGCGTTGACAACACTGTGTAACACATCTTTTTTTGTTCATGGGTAGTAAGTGTTATTTCCTAATTGCTGATGCCTCAAAAGTATAGAAAATTGCTATTATTCCCCACAAACTTTGCTTTTGTGACCAGGACAGTGATATTTAGAAATTTACCTATTTTCAATGAAAAAACGGGCGAATTTGTATCTTTTCGTTCACATAAAGTCAGACATAAACAACATGTATCAAAATTAACATGTATTTATACTAAAGTAATATAAAATTTACTACAAAAGATCTAGACACCAAGGCGCACTACCACAGGCAGGACTGGCCACAGCGGACCGAGTTCTCTGTGGGGAGGAACAACGTCAAGTGGGAGCCACTGGTGGACCCCCAGAAGGTGCTGATGCCACCACTGCACATCAAATTGGGCCTTATGAAACAATTTGTCAGAGCTGCAGATAAGGAGTCGGCAGCCTTCAAGTACCTTCAAGACTTCTTCCCCAAGCTGTCTTTGAGGAAAAAGTCAAAGCCGGACCATAGATAAAGAAGATCCTGGAGTGCAATGAATTCCCCAAGAAGCTCACTAGTAAGGAGAAAGTGGCTTGGGACAGCTTTGTCGCAGTGGTTCGTGGCTTCCTGGGCAATCATAAGGTCGAAACTATGTGGAGCTGGTTGAGACTGGTGAAGAACTATGGCACAATGGGCTGTATGATGTCCCTCAAAGTCCATATACTTGATGCTCATCTTGATAAATTCAAGGAGAACATGGGAGCGTACTCGGAGGAGCAAGGTGAGCGCTTCCACCAGGATATACTGGACTTTGAACGTCGCTACCAAGGACAGTATAAAGAGAACATGATGGGAGACTACATTTGGGGGCTGATTCGTGAAAGTGATTTACAGTATAATCGTTAATCTCGAAAAACTACTCACTTATAAATCTTTTGTAGTTATTTGTGTATTACTTTAGCATAAATACATGTTTATTTTGATTCATGTTTTTTTCTCACTTTATGTGAACGAAAAGACACATTCGCCCGTTTTCTCATTGAAAATAGGTACATTTCAAAATATCACTGTCCTGGTCACAAAAGTAAATTTTGTGGGTAATAATAGCCATTTTCTATACTTTTTAGGCATAATCAATTACGAAATAACACTTACTACCCAGGAACAAAAATTGTGTTACATAGCGCAATCAGGCGCAAGCTGCTTGGTCCTGTGATACAAATTCTTCTTTAGTATGTCCTATGATTCAATTTATTTGAGAGCTCGTGAGTTGCAGATAGACCCATCTACCCACCGGCTTCACATTTGTACTCATGCATATATGGCGCAGTGTTGAAGTCACGTTTTCCATCCGGTGGAATGCAAATTGATGGGCAGTAGGGGAGAAAGGCGAGCAAAAAAAATGGGTTAGGGTGTGGCGGTGATGATACATGAGATCGTGATGGGGTGTTTTGCGTGCAAGCTTGGGTTCGGTGCAACGTGGGTTTGGTGTGTCACCATAAAGGGTGCGTCAGGAGCGATGGAGAAGTTTGTGACTTGCATCCGTAGAGGTCATGTGTGCACGTGATAGCGTTACCACTTTTTTCCCAGACCAAACCGGGATATACAGTATATCTTAGTTCAGCCTCGTTTTTTTAACCCGTGCAGTAAACGGTTATAAAGTCCAACACATTACCACCAGATCTCAGTTCAAATCAATTTCTGCCATTCAAACACGTGATACTGGTAGGAACCTCCTGGTTACACTAGCCCACAGGGGATTATTGTGTCCGTCCGTCGTGCAGGGAGGGGCTGGGTGGGGAGGGGCTGGGTGGGGCTGGGTGGAGGGTGGGAGGGGCTGGGTGGGGAGGAGCTGGTCACCCCGTGGTGCCCTTATAAAACTCAACGTTTAACCTACTCACACCGGCTTGTGCCTGCCCTCACAGTCGGGCATATTTGCGGAATACACCACGCCGCCGTTGACCCTGGCCATTGACCGAGCAACCCAACGTTCATACCATCTCCCTCCGCAGGAATGTTTCCCAGACTGAAACCAAACAGGTGGCGAATCGGCTACCCAAGATGCTGGTGTGAAATGGCTTACAAAATGATAAATAAAATGTGTACCCATTTTTTTCAGAAGGGACAGGTGTTACAAGCGCAGCTTGTGACTCAACATTAATGCCGTGCGGAGAACTACTTCTGAAGTTACTCCCAAAGTGCTGAGGCTAGGGGAGGGGTAGGCAAGCTGCTGCTCTTGAAATATTGAGTTGGAAAAAAACTGCTCCTCTTGTTCGGTGGCCAAGCCCTGGGCAATGTGGGGGGGGGGGGGGGGGCACACCTTTGTACGTCGTGCAAAGTGTGCATATGTCACGTGTCAAGCCAACACTAAAGCGCTCAGCTGGAATATGCCAAGTAACAAACAAATGTCGCTCAGTAATTTCGTTGTGTGGTTATTGGTGTCTGGGATTCTACCACTTGAAAATCTCGTTTAATCAGTCGAACCAAGGATCACAATGGTGCCGGCACTCTGTCCTGACATTGTACGAGCCCCAAGGGTGAGCAAGTCGACCTTGAATTTGAGGGACACCAAATGCGTGCGCGCGCATGCAGACCATGCGATGCCCACCCCCCATTTCGCCTGTAAATGACACGGACACCGGGATAGTGTTACTGAACACAAAACTGGAAAACGTTTATTCAACGAAGTTTAATCACCAACAGCGCCCGATTGCCCGCACACTGCAGCTACCGCTTCACCCCGACTCGTCGGCTTTAAATCCTGGGTTTGGGTCAATCTGCTGAATAAAGTGACTCATGGAGTCAAACCAGTGCACGCTGAAGCAACGGTGCAGTGCAGTGTACACGTGGCTCTCACCCACTGCCACTTGTCCCAAATCCAGCACCAGAGCCTCTTGCGAGGAGCTGCGTTGCTGATTGTGAGATTGCCATACCGGCCAGATCAATGCCCTTTCTTGGGAATGGATCACAACGGGACACAAGCCCAGCTTGACAGGTGTGACCCTGGTTTAGATGCCATTCGCAAAAAAACGTCACATTAATGGCAGTAAACGTCTAGATTTTAATAACCATCATATCGTTAAAAAGTCTCGACATTGTCAATGCGAGCCTTCCTTCAACAAACATTATCTGCTCAAAAGCCACATTTGCAACACTTATTTACAAGTGTATATCTTCCAAACATTATGTCGCGGTTTACCACGAACGGATCAAAACACCCAGAGGGCATAATTGCTCTCAGAACAGTACATGTTTTTTTTTAAGTCTGGGTAAAAACTCACTACAACAGAACTAAACATCCTCCAATAAACCTTTGCTCACATCAGATATCCTTAAATGTGATGTGTGTGCATGCATTAATCGGCCACCTTATTACTAAAGTTTTCGCGGTTGTGATGTACGGTGTGTTCTGATGTGCTTTTGTGTTGTGCCGCGTCTTTTGCCAGCTTTATTTTTCAACATTCTGCGCCACATGCTGGGCACCTCTTCGGAAATTCACAGCGAAACGCCGCACGATGTCGAAACAGGATAGAACCCCAAAGCAAGTCAGGTAACTATTAACCTTATTCGCCTCAATCAGGAGTTCTCCATTGAGGCCTAATTGTAATAATGCATATAATTTATTTAAAAAAAAAACTTTTATTGAAAAGTTTGTACTAACGAACGTGGGGTGTTGACCCTATTTATACCACGCACTTTATCTACCTTTACTTGTATAGTTGGGCTATTCAACATGACTAAAACAGAGCACTGCCTTTTCATTTCATCAACATTCTCATAGGAGCGGCTTTAGGAGCTGGGCATCATCAAGGCGGTGGTGCAGATATGGAGCATGTGATATGGAGGAGAGGTAGAGTAAGACGTCAATTAACCGTGCTGTTGTGGTTACTATAAAGTCACCTCTTGTTTGGACAATCTGCTAAATGTGAGCGAAACTCCATAGACATTATCAGCACGCAATGCGCAATGTGCACAGAAATTGATTTTTATCCATCAAAGAAGCTGCCCATTATTTATTATAACGCTCGTTTACACAGAAAAACCTCAGTGTCTTATAACTCTTGGTCAGGAGGATCCACAAAGGGGAGATCATTGCTTTGTATCTTCGAAATGTACTAATTTAAGGGGAACTTTTCAAATTTGGACCACGACGCCAGCACGCAATTGCCTACACTTGGTGAACGGCGTTACGACGTCCGCTGTAAAGCAAAGCAGACGGCGCGTAGTATTTGTACGGTTAATAACCCGCAGTAGACACACAACCCACTGGTTTCGAACAGTGGAACCTCTACAAAAAAAAACCGGCCGGCCACGTCACCGCCACCTATTAATAAATCCCGATTGTAGTTTTGCGAACGCGAGTACTGGGGTCTGAAAACATACCGAGCAAAAAAAAAGTGTCCATATCCTTTTGTAAACTAAATGAACGACCCACAGTTTTGACGTGTACGCAAAGTGAGGCCAAATTGACTATAATTAGCCACTGGCAGGGCAGACCCAAGGCGTTGGAAGTGCCTCCACCCACAGCCACCCAACAGCACATTCCAGTCTATCGGCGGCGAGCAACACCGCCGGGTGATCCTTTCCGGGGCTATTTTTTGCCAAATCCATTTGCACGTTCACCAGTCCCTACAAGGTTCTGGCCAAAGCTGCAATACATGGCGTGCTGTGTGTGCTCCCTGCCCCCCCCCCCCCCCCCATGCATGGACAGCAGGAGAAAAATAAACTTTTTGGACATACGTCTGCATGTGCCATATTCCCCACTACACCCGTCAGGCCATAGCTTGATGGTTTGGAGGAATTAGGCCGTCTCTACGTCTTGTTCTGGAAAGATGCAGTAGCCATCCACCCCACCTGTGATTATTTGATGATAGACAAATTCAGGGTCGCGATTTAATCAAAAATTCTCTTTTTTTTACGTGGTAAATGGTTGCGCCTCTAGTGGTTGCTGGGGGTAATGTGAAACCAATACATAGTATACAGATAAAAAAAACTCAAGTCGATTCTTACAGACGCGCTTTGGTATATGTATCGTGCATTTAAGAATCAATATTAATCAATCAAGTGATGCATTGTTCCATCTCTCGTGTCGACGATTCCACGAGGTGTCATCAGTATAACTGCCAAGAGTAACCTTGTGTGTAAATACAGTATCTATATAAACATACTTCAGCATCATTCTGCTTAAACAAGCAACAGGGTGGTGGTTGCTCTGAAGCAGAGCCAGTGGTGAAAGTTCCACATTCACATGGTGCGGGCCAGTTGATCCAGAGGCAGGATGCTGCCGACTTTTCAGAGGGATGGTGGCCCGAATTGACCCAGGAATGCGATTAAAATTCTCAACCTTTCAATCGGATCAACTGCTCACGCCACAACACCACGTAACCTGATGATTAAATATGTTGTACTGTACTGCTTAAATAAAAACAAACCCACCGCAGAAACCCCGACGCAGCGACTATTAGGCGCCTTCACAATAAGCCACTACAGCACTGCACTGGCCAAGAATTCACGTGAGGGCCATGCTATTTTTGGCTCTGCCCAATGCAACAAAGACACTAAATTAGTGACGTCAATGATTGCGAGACTTAATCGCCTGCCTTAGTGCCTTCCCACGTAATAAAATCCATGTTTTACAAATGCATCCAAACGTTAATCCAGTTTTTTTTATATACATATGCAGTATTTATACTAGGGGTGCAGAGTTCAGGTCTGCTGGGACCCAATTTCCCTGGGTCTGGTCACATTCTGAATTTAATTCCATGCCAATGGGACGGTTCGTATTTTTTCTGGTCCAATCCTGATCATTAAAATTAATAGTAACACCATACGGACAATGCCGTCAGAGTCGATGGGCAAGGCAACCCCGTTGAAGCACAAGATTACGCCTTGATTCACACAAGGGGATTGCGCCTTCATGTAATTCACAAGAGTATAGAACAATCCTTCTTTATTATTTTAAAACATTATTAATAACATCATGTAAATAGGGTTTTGCTGTTCAAGAAAATAAACAATCCCCACTTTTGAATCCAACATAGGTCATTGTAATTCAACAGGGGGTGTCCAAACTATACAAATGCTGCAGTATAATGCTACATTTTAATGTGCTTAAGGATCATTGAGCCGATTGGCTAATCGGGATGTGACGGCGCTTGATTGTGTCACAGGAAGATCCGGAAAATGGCGATCCAGTCATCTGTTTTTTCGATTACGATGTTTTCTTCAAAATCGGATCGGCTCCGTATTTATTTTAATTTGTAAATTGACAGCTGGAAGTAAAAACCTATTGTGGTAAAAACCAAGGACGGTAGTTTGAAAAAACCCTGTTATATCTAATACATAATGAAGATGGCCACTTTTTATACACAACCAGCATATTACTAACACTTCGCCAAAGAAAAAACATAGTCTAGCCGATGCACCAGAAGTTGTTTTTAATACTTGGCAACCATTCGAAGAGATTAGAGTGAGAATGACAAAAGCACACTTTCTTCAATCAATATTTCATCCAAAAAAGGCATTGCATAAGCCTGCGAACACCTATTGGCCATGAACTTAATGGAACCGTATTTCATCATCTTTGCAAGTCATTCTTCAACCCTTTTTTAGTTTTGCTAATGAAAAGAGGCTTCACAATTTACAGCGAACCTTCCACATTTAAAGCTGCACGCATACAATAGAACGTTAATGGACCAGAACCCCACGCTTTGAAGGAGGGAACAAGTGGGCGCGCAGATGCAGGAACGGCTGAAGGAACACGTGGGATGGAGCTCCATGCTGAACAGGGCGGAAGAGCATGGGGCGGTGCTTGCGTCTTTCTTCACGGGCGACTACCGTGCACGCACACGCGCCCTCGCACCATAACGCGGTCAATAACTCCTCTGAACTTCTCTCAATTCGCTGGATCTGGGTGAGTGAGCATTGTCCGCGTGCCTGGGCCTTTTCGCATCGTCGAACTGCTCCGACAAACATAACCCGTCACGCACACCTGGAATTCCCAAGCTAATGTCGTGTATTAGCCGTTCGGGGGGCCCACACGTGTGTTCAGTCGTGTGATCACGGCGCACGAGAGACACTTCTATGGATAAACCTGTCCCGTTGCGAACCTGTGACATGCACATGACCAGCGTGTTTGCACGGTCAAATGAAAATGGCTCCAAACTCATTGGATCGTTCTGAGGGTTGCATGCACACGCAATGCAACTCACATTTGCCGCCCTCCTCCTCTTGGGAAGAGGCAGCCGGTTATTCACCTTCATGACACATGAAGTGATTAAATTAGTTTTAAACAACTCAAATGCTTTACCGTTATGGAGCCTTCTACCTTGCTCCGCAATTGATTGTTTGTTTGTTTGTTTGCCTGTACAACACTGCCCGGTGTTGCCAGCGCTGCGCATAAGATAATGGAGTCGACTGTGATGAGAATGCGACCCGGTGAGTGATCGCTCTTGGGGGAGGGGAAGAGATCGGTGGGGGGGGGGAGGCGGGATGACTGCACGGCGCCATTCGTCAGTGCGTGTATTCGTGGATGGGTGCGAAGGCAGCCGAGCCGAGACCGGCACGAGGCATGAGGCGCAGGCACTCCGAGAGCTGCCCCACCACCATCGACAGCGCCGGCTGCCTCGGCAGACTCAGGGACTCTGAAAAAGTACAAACACAAGAGGCAACAGGGCAGCGGTCTTCAGACATAGATGAGTTTACAATTGTAATGCAGGAGCGCCGGTCAGGGAGGCAGTTGTTGGCTGGGGCTACGAGGTCACAATAGCAGAATGGGAACATTTCCGAAACAGCTACATTAATCTTCAACTCAGTTCTTTGTCAGAATAGAATTTTAAGATATGATATCAATTATTCGCGGTAGTTAACTGTATTGGTTAACTATCGTGATTTAACCCCATACATTATAGATATAAATTATCAAATGACTGACGATGCAGGGGATTTATTGACTGTCATAGAAGCAATATTTCCTTTTTTTACACAATTGCTGAGCAGACACAAATGCCAAAAATATTAAGCCGCCGGCAACAAACGTCACTTTTCAAAGTGGTGATAGATAAGAGAGAGCACACTTCTTGCATTGAGCGAGGTTATGATTACAAGGGCTTGGGTAAAAGAAACAATGGGAGGGAAATCCATAGTGAAGCAGTGCTAAGGAAGAGGCAGAACGGTTTTTATTTTCCTAGCTAAGGTCAAGTGAAATACTTAGCTCTTTTTCAGAAGCGACCTGGCCACAAATGATAGCTCAACGAAGTAGCTCATCAAGTGGAAATGTATAGCAGCCAAATACTCTAAAAGCATGTTTCTAAATGTGGAGTGAAAAACCAGAGGATCCGGAGAAAAATTCACGCGACCACTGGGAGAACATGAAAACTCCAAATATTCAGGCTTTCGGGATCGGGAGAAAATCCACGACCTCCGGCACACCAGGAGAGGGAGTTAACACCTCGCCACCAAAGCACCCCAAGATACGTATTGATACCTGCAGTGTTGCGGTTGCGCACAGTATGGATTAGAATTAAATAATCAGTCTGGTAGACGAAGTCCTCAACGAGGGTGAAGGAATCGGAGTGAATAATGTACAAGTGAATGATGGAATGATTAGGGGCTGGGCGAGTGGGTGCGTTGTGCTCACCCAGGATGGTGCTGTTGAGGGCAGCGCACGTGTGTTCCCTTTGCGCCGGCCCCAGGAGGTAACCCACGGGGCTTCTCCACGGGTCTGCATATGCCAGCAGACTGAAAGCATCCTGATGGTGACACAGCATACAGACTCGTCACACGCTATACAACGTAATTCTACACAAACATACATGCATTATAACACACACTAGATAGACACACACAATAAAACACAGGAATCATAACAAAGATCTCCTTGTAGCCTTTTACACTGTTGGGGCACTTGCCTTTACCTCACACCGATTAAGGGGGTGGGTGGTATGGCCAGCACTCCGCCTGTTCACCTTTGTCTCCCAAGTGCTGATGTTTACATACTAAACCAAGTACTTAAATGAGGCCGAGTCTACCTAGGGCATTTCTGATATCACTTGCCACCGATATTAGCCATGGGCGAGAATGAAACTCGGGTCATCGGATTCATAACAAGACAGCCACCATGCGTAGCGTTAAATAATGACAAACACACACATACTCTTGCCGAGAACACACAAACAAGGAGGAAGAGACCCCAGACGGACCTGCAGGGCCCGGGCGTTGAGGTGCCACGTGTGTTCGCGCGAAATCTCGCTGCACATGCGTTGCAACTCGGCCTGCAGCTCCCGCCCAAAGTGAACCATGTGCTCGACAGCACCGCCGCATAGCGCCCATGGCCTGGGACCGCCAGGGGGCTCCTCGTCCCCCTCCACGTCTGGGGCAGGGCACAGGGCAGGGCACAATTAAGGAGTGAAGGAGGCTTGAGAGCTCATTAATGTACCTACCGCAGTTGTCATCAACACAGCCAATCCACTGCCAATCCACTGCTGGATGAGGACCTCCCATGTCACACGGGTCTTGGGGATGATTTCATTAGCGCGGTTCTGTGAAGGCGGGGAGCATAGATGTTCGAGAAAAGCGCAGTACAACAATGGATTTTGCTGCACTGCCCCTCTGCTGACAACGTAGCCTTTACACACGTCACACGTGGTGCCTGCCATGGCCAAATCACGCAGAATGTGCCCGATCTGAGCAGACCTCAGAAGCCAAGCAAAGCTAAGCCTGGATATTGCTTGGATCATCATCATCAACATCATCATACTGAAGGGTGCATAAGCCGTTTTCAATTTAAATTTGGTATATGAAACTGCATTATTGCATAAAAAGAGGCTAACCTCAAAACATGATCTTCGTTCATGATCAATGAGACATGAGGTCATGTGTTTCCAGGGAGTCCTAGGTTACAACAATTAGAGCCAAGCAGATCATTTCAATACATAAACCAAACAATGCAGAAAACGCAGTGTGAACTCATGTGCACCAGAAAAAAGAATATTATAAATAAGATGACTAAATATTAGGTGTTAAGAAATGTAGTACACATTATATGGGGGGGGGGGGGGGTCTGCATAAAAAGGTACAACTTTACATTCATATTTAAAAGTGGGGAAGCCCACGTTATATACTTCTGATTGCCATTGCATTCTTACAAGATCTCTCATTCTTACAAAGAGCACACCGGTATGTACTGGCAGCAAAATGCTCGGTACAAAGATTGTGTTGCGATCGAAACGTCGTGGTTTTTATGTTTATTTTTTATGAATTTTGAACCTATCTACGTGACCGAACCGAAAGACCCAAAGAATATGAATTCCTGCAGTCACGAAAGCTTTAAGTCAAGATTCAAGTTACTCAAGTCAAGTGGATTTCCTTCGTTTAAACAGGCAAGGCCCCAGTGCAGTTATGGGGCCTCAATTAACATCATGTGAGCCTTGGGCTGTGACAACACTGCACAATGGCATAATATTGGTATGTTTTTAAATTAATATGACGCTTGCTTAGCGAGGAAAGTGTCACTGGGTCAGGAGCGTGGAGCCAAGTTTTCAGAGTAGGGGGCAATGGTTGCTGTGTATAATTGTCACGGGGTCTCCAAAGTCCGTTTTTATATTTTAAACGTAATGTCTTTAATTCTACATGTTCGGGCGTTCATGTACACTTAACTTACGTAAAGCGCTCAGAGACGCCGTCACTGATACAAAGGCACTGATATGAAGACACTGATACAAAGTCACTGATACGAAGGCGCTGTATAAACGAAAACCTGCTGATTTTACAGCAGTCGGCACACACGCTTCATTACCTTTATGACGTTTAATGGGAAACAAAACTTCAAGTGCACAGCCACCTCCGCTGTCTTCCCTGCAGCTAGCAGCAGCAGCCTCCGTGACTCACCGGCCTGTGGCGGGTGCGATTCCAGCGCCCCGTTTGTCGCGTGCTGCCTGCCGTTAGACACTCGCTCGCTGGAGTCGCCGTGTAGCCCGTTTGTGCAACACTCCATGGGAGTCTCGCCGGTGTCCGCCACCTCCACGGCCCCACCGGCCCCGCCGGCCCCACCATCGCCCGGCTGTGATGATGTGGTGGGCCTGAGCGTGCGTGCGTGCGAGATCAGCGTTCCATGGCAGCAGTGGTCAACATTTAAAAATAAAGAGTTTTATTTATTTTAGTCAATGATGACTATGATCGTAAAACATTTTGATTTGTCAATTACGCTACAATGGTTAATTCTCAAATAGCAAATGTACCAAATTAAGTGAAAAATATTTAGAGTGAGGGTTATTTTTCATATGCTCGATGGTAACAGGAGTGAGAGCACCAACTCACTCGGTTTATTAATCCACTTTTACCAAGGGCGGCTAAAACCCATATTCAAAATCAGGTTTTCAGCGGTGCCAGACTCACAACTCACAAAATGACCCTGTCCAGACACATGCCCAGCTCACTCCCACAGCTATTACTGGGTCGCGTAGTACGAGCGGGTGACGCTGTGCTTCTGCAGCTGCTGCGTGCGGTGCGCAGTGCACAACCCTGTGCACGGTAGATGCATCGGGTGCAGGGCTGGTCGCTTCGTACCTGCTGCTGCTGTTGCTGCTGCTGCCGTGGGGTGTGGGGCTGCACGTGCGACGAGCTCTCCTGTCCCGGCCGGCGTGCGGCGTCCTTCCCGTGCGTCCGTTACTCGCGCAACTCATTCCGGCCTCCGCTGCTGCTGGTGAGTAAGAACGACCGCAGTTAGGCGATGCCAGGGGCAGGGAAACCTACAGCCCTGTGGGCTGGATTTTGAGACCTACCATTTAAAAACGGCCCACAAATTAAATGTATCAGTCACTGTAAGAATCTCAGCTGCGATATTCAGGTACTTGAGGGGAATGATTTTGGCCTGGCAACACTTTGTTTCCAATTTACCATGCTCGGTCACTTTCGTCACTGCAAGGGGGCCCCTTTAAACTCAGTTGACATGCACAATATTTTACGCGTTACCATTGGATAACAATGAAGAGTGTGCGTATTAATGTGTATGCAACCAAAAGTATTTGAAATTCCTATTCGGCGATGAGTAAGGAAAAAGTTTCCTGCCCCTGGGCTAGGCTGACTAAGGACAAGATGAGCTTACCGTTCTGCAGATATCGGTATCGCGAGCAGTATATGCGAGTGTGGATGGGAAGTGTAGCTCCAAGCTAACCTAGGCCCCTGACGGCGCCGGCAGGAGAGGAGGGGTTGGAGGAGGAGGAGGATGCTGCGGTGTGGCCGGATCCGTGTGGCACCCGGAGCCCATCCTGAGACTTGGGGCTGCGGGCGCCCAGCGAGCGCACCTCACTGTCCGTGCCGTTCACCATCTCCACAAACTGTCGCACTCTGTGGTATGCGCGAAACGAGCAACACACGGACACACGCACAATACACAGGACACACGCAAAACACACATACCTATGACATGCGCAACGCATCAACCTCGCAGGCAATACATGCGTATATTACATGCAACTGGAGTAAGAGCTGACATTGAGCAGCTGTTACGATCCAGCCTGGCACACTGTCGGAGGTTGATAATAATGACAACAATCCCATTTACCCAGAAAAGTGTCAATGAGTCTCAAGACTTGCTTTCAGGAGGGGCCCTGTATTGGGACATTTGGCAAATTCCATGAATGGGTGTTTATCTTCATTTGGAAAGCAACCGGAGTGTTTTGAGAAAATATATCTCCACGCAGTTGAATAAAAACGGTCGACTAATGTGCTATCATTATTCATCCACCTTGCAGCCAAAGCCTGCAACATCTGGTATTACCAAGCAGTCTCCCACCCAAACACTATCTGGCCTCAAACACGAATTGCGCTAAAACACCAACAGAGTCCAAACACTAAACCGGGCCCAAACACTAAACCGGGCCCAAACACGAACCGACTGGGCTCGCTAAGCTTGTGAGATGTGACAAGATTTGTGGTTTGGGAAAAGACCTGGGTGCCAACGGCACGCAATCATCCCCACAGTCCTGCGATCAGTCAACACATAGCGATTCTTGGCTTAATTTTAGGCCAAGTCAACTCAGTGGAGGTCAGTACAATGTACAGACAACAGTTACCACCTGTAAAGTTGCAAGCTTATGAGCCCACGCAGAGCAACCACCGCAGCGGTCTCACTTACCCGGCTTGAAATTCTCTAGTTCTGATCAATCAATCGTTATGAATACAGCGCACTTCACATCAACGACATCAATCAGGTCGCTTCATTTAAAGCAAAAATATTACGCGAATGCCCAAAGCGCGCGCGTGAAGGAGGCGCATATCCGCAGCGGCTAAAGTGCCCGTTCGGAATCGAGACAGGGGGCCCCCCACCACCCTCCCTCACTTGAGCCGGAAGAGCAGCTCCGGGTAGCGGTCGAGCAGCCCGGGGTAGCTCTGCTGCGTGGCCTCGATGGCCTCACCCATGCGTCCGGCCAGCACCAGCGCCTGGATGCCTGGGCCCCCGACACACAGCAGCAGCAGCCGCGATCGTCGCAAGCAAACGCCGCCAGGGCTACAACTGAGAATCACGTGCGGGCGTCGTGCCTGGAACCCACCCTGACCGGGGCTAGCGATTACTGCCGTCATTGCAAAAGTTCTAACTGATGTGATGATTCACGCCAGTGAGAAATACACTCTTGTGTGTCGCTTAACAATGCTGGGATCAGCGTGCTTTGCAACGGCCTTCATCGCAACGTATTGCGCCTAATGAGCAATGCCTTATAAAAGGAGACCAATATTAATCTATTGTCTCATTGAAAAGAATGACTTTAATCTGGGACGTTTAAAATAGATCTCTATTCGTTGAATGTGATGACAGAGGCTAGAGCTGTGACACATGCACAGTGCATGAATGTTTCCAAACACAGTGGCCTCCCATCCACATGCAGCTCTTCTACAGAGGTCTATTACATTGGAAGTGTACCATGCGTGATGATGAGTGGGATGACGGTGAGCCTGCGGAACTCACGATGCCGGTTCCGGACCGAGCGCATATCCTCCTCCTGCTCCAGCCCCGTGGATGCAGCAAAGGCCTCCGCTGTGCCGCAGTACCCATGATGCACCAGGTAAGATGCCACCATGCTGTGAGATTGGGACAGGGACAGCATAGGCATTGTCAACACACACGTGTTTGCGACATAAGTTATGCCACCAGCACGCAATAAACTACTCTCGTAATAAGCCATTTGTTAACAGACTTTATTTATAATACAACATCAAGTTATTTGTCACAGAAATGACTGGACAATTGCAGGACCTGGTGGCTGCTGTGTGAACATACATCAGGAATGGGCATGGCCTTGGTGGGCATCCATGCGGGCTGGTGTGTGTCTGTACATCTGTGTGTGAGTGACACTGAGTGTGCTTGCATGTGTGTATGTGCATACGTGTGTCTGTGGGATGGTGATTGTGTATGTGTCTTTGTGCATCTTTGCACGTGCGGAGCAGTGGATTTGATAGGTAGTATATTGCACGACGGACTTTGCAACCCGAGTTCAATATTCAGCTGCAGGTAACATTCGTGATGATTATCTCAAGTGTTAATGTGCCTCCCCAAGGTCGACTCAGCCTAAAATTATAACCAAGTGCAGTGGATAAAAATGGAAAATAATAGCACAAGTGAGACAAGGGTGGCCAGATGTGGTGTTGGCAACCTACTCCCTGCCTGGTGTGCTGTGCTGGCCTTCATAGGTGCTTGCTAACAGCACTTGCCCCAATATCCTAAAAAGTATTTATGGGGGACATTTGTCTTTGTGTGTGTGTGGCCTGCAGTTTTCAATAACGTCATACAAAATAAGTCAGCGGCAGAAGTGCCGACCACTATCCCGTTTCGCCTCCCAAAAACAACCAGCGACCAACAACTCGCAAAATCTCTGGCTTGTCCCGTTACATGGCCCGGGTTGGTCAGTTCGGGTCAAGTCAAGTCAGGAGAGGTCTCAGTGGGGATAGTGCTGTTAGCGGGGGCTAGGTGGGCACTCACGTGTGCAGGGTTCCCTGCCAGGCTGCGTGGCTGCCGGGCGTCGGGAAGCGGGCGATGGCAGCGGAGATGCGAGCGCGCCACTCTTGCATGTGGTTCTCGATGTCGAACGCAAACGGCTGCCCCCCAAAGTTCGCCTCCACCACCTCCCCCGGGGTCTGCAGCCCCACCGTTGGGTAAAGGTTGGGCTGCAGCACACGGGGATAACAACGGAAAGGGTGTTGGGCGTCGCCATATCATTGGGTACCACGGTGCAATGTCGAATATCCACCTTGACCAATGAACCGCCTTCGGCTGAGGTTCTGGCAAAAAGGCATCCACCACGTCCGCCGAGTCCAGTGGCTGCATAAAAGAGAAGTTGCTGTCCTCACGGAACCCCTTGTTTTATACTCATTTAAAATGTATGTTGGAGAAGGCTTCTTGCCTTATCTTGTAGACCATATTGTATTCGTAATCACATACCTTGCCTCGATGAAGAGATTAAGAATGCAGCGTGGTCTACAAGAAACGACAAGAACTGTGCTCTATCAACAGAGGTGGAGTAAAACTACGGGAACCCTCTCCTGAAGCCCTCTCGTGGCGAGCAGACCTCGACATTGGCGTTTAGATCCTGCACAATGTACAACACACGGAGGTGCATACCTATTACAATGTTTTAATGTGTGGGGGAAATCGGAGCACTCTGAGAAAAGATTACAAATACGGGGGTAGCCAAAAAGAAGATATGTAGAGGGGATTGCACACCATTTATCAGCCATCCGTATACGACAACGGTGGACATAGCTGCACTGGGACTAAGGAAGCCAGTATGGTATTTATTGTATCAAACATCAATGGAACACTGGTCTTGTCACTGCATCGTGCACTTTCAGACGCGCCAGAACGCTCTTCCTTCCAATATCACGTAGTCACTAGAGCTATGCACTTTTAAATCAAGATAGAAAACTAATTTCTTCATCACTGCTTTTTGTGTTTAGTTTGTTGTCCTTAACCCGCACCTCTGATTTGCACACTTGGCTACGTACGGTGCAAAAGAAGTTCAACATACATATATACACGGTCTTACCACAACCCAATTGCACACATACACTATTTTGTCAAGCCACTGCTGGATTAGGCCTACCCACACTGTGCGGGAGTCGTTGGGGTTATTCTGAATCCATGTCACCGCTCAGGTTAGTGCGGGTTGGTCAAGATGGGGAGCATAAAAGTAGGAGTGGAGCACAACAATGGATTTTGCTGTGCTGTCCTCTGCTGCCCACCACCTGGCCCTGCAGAAGCCTCTAAGACAATGCATATATTATCAGAGTATGTTTTTTGTTTGCATTCTGACCACAAGTATTGTGGTTAATGCAGTAATATGATTCCTTGTAAAAGGTTTCAGTTTGGTGTTTTTACATCTTAACACCTGTTTTGTTGCCAGAAAAAAGGGGAAAATCTATTCTCGTGGTGGTCACTCATCCAAACATTACTCAGGCTCAAAACCCACTTAGCTTTCCGAGGCCTGATGAGATTTGGTCACAGGAGTGATTAATGTTCACCGAGTAATTTACACGCGAATGGTGGAAGGCGGCGAGTAACACAGTAAAAGGTGGACTGGCTTTTGAGACCTTGCGGCCTGGAATCGTGAGCCATCGCCGGAGCTTAACAGTCACACCGTAGAGTGTGCCGATCATGCAAAGTGGTAACCCCAAGAGGGGGGGCAATGAGGAGAAGCTAACAACAGGTGGTGGTGTACTTCACTGGAAGGTAAAAACCAGCTTGCGCTCGTGGTGCATATTAATGAATTTTCAACTCACCGGGAGATCTGTGAATGCCGTCCCTGTAAACAGTAAAAACAAAATAAATGGATTTAGTAACAGTAAGTTGAGACGGGTTGTTACTTTGAATGTGGCTGGAATATGCAGCCTTACACAAACGCACCTAACCACACTGTGAATGCGGCAAACTGGTTTGGTGACATACAGTACAACCCTCCGCATTCATATACACATAGCTGATATGCTCCAGAGGCTATTATTCAAGTGCGATACATACGGACACCCCTCACATAGCAGACCGCACACAAAGAACGGCCCATTTAGCAGCCATCGCGGGCACACACACGCGTGTTAAATTGCACGCAGACACCGCCCTGCACATACACACTGGCCTGCACACACAAAAACAGACCTCTCCAGTAGTCTTTGAGACTAATGGAACAAGTGCTGTTGCGTGAGCACCTATCAAAACCATCATGGTGCGCAAGGGTGCTGTGGCCACAACCACATTAGTGCTGGTATTCACACACCTCACCACGTACTTATCTAGGGCTGAGTCGACCTACGGGAGGTTAAAATACCACTTTCCATTGATCTTATCCATGGCTGGGAATCAAACACAGGTTGGTGGGTTTTTAGTAAAGTATGAACCACTGGGCACACTTGCTACCGGTCTGCACACACACACCACCATATACACAAACCATCACAGCGCACACCAGTGTACGCAAACCGAGCCATGGCAGTGAGCACAAACTCCCCAACCCGCACGCACATATACAGCAACACAAACACAAATATACACAGCAACATGTTGAGGAGCCTGTACACGCACACATTGAAGCCCACCCACACACGCAGTGGCCCGTACACACAAATGCACACCAGCCCACACACAGAGCGATCCGCAGACAGACACAACAGCCCACACACACACACATCAGTTCTACAAATGCACAAAGACCTCCCATGTAGACCTTAAGTATTGTATCGGTACCATGAAGACCGACAGCACAAGAAGGGTGGCCAACACAATGCCCGGCCGTCTTTTCTCCTCAGTGCTGATGTTTACACATCACACCAGGTACTTATTTGACAGAGGCAAGGCCCAGGACCAGTTCAAATATTCGTCACACACAGCAGCCCACTCAAAGACACACACACACAGCAGCCCACTCAAAGACACACACACACAGCAGCCCACTCAAAGACACACACACACAGCAGCCCACTCAAAGACACACACACACACAGCAGCCCACTCAAAGACACACAGCGGCCCACTCAAAGACACACAGCGGCCCACTCAAAGACACACAGCGGCCTACTCAAAGACACACAGCGGCCCACTCAAAGACACACACACACCAGCGGCCCACTCAAAGACACACACACACAGCAGCCACTCAAAGAACACACCACACAGCAGCCCACTCAAAGACACACAGCAGCCCACTCAAAGACACACACACACAGCGGCCCACTCAAAGACACACACAGCGGCCCACTCAAAGACACACACACACAGCGGCCCACTCAAAGACACACACCACAGCAGCCCACTCAAAGACACACACACACACAGCAGCCCACTCAAAGAACACACACACAGCCAGCCCACTCAAAGACACAACACACAGCAGCCCACTCAAAGACACACACACACAGCCCACTCAAAGACACACACACACAGCAGCCCACTCAAAGACACACACACACAGCAGCCCACTCAAAGACACACACACACAGCAGCCCACTCAAAGACACACAGACAACAGCCCACTCAAAGACACACACAGCGGCCCGCGCGGGTGCCCACCGAGGCTGTGTCCGTTCTTGGTGTAGAAGGCCGTGCCGTTCACGAGGTTCACACAGCAGCCCACGACGTCGCCCGTGCTGAACGTGGGGCCGTACGGACGCCCCGCGCCCGACGAGCAGAAGCTGTGGCCGTCGTCACCGTGGTAACCATACGAGTACTTGTCCCAGCCTGGGGGCGGCAGCAGCAGCAGCAGCGCAGCGGAGGCACCATTAACGGAAATGTCAAAGCATTTCAAATGGAATAGCACTCGTAAGGACATGTACATCCCTGAGGTCAATTACACTGCTGGATGAGGGCTTACCCACGCTGTGCGGGTAAAACGGGTTCTTTGACCATACTTCACCATGCTGGTCAGCGCAGGTTGGTGAAGGTGAGGTGGCACAGCCACTGGAACATGGTACAGGCCAACAGTTTTTGCCTGACCCTCAGCTGACAATTTAGCCCCGCAGAAGCCTACAGTGCCTGTTATTGCACACGGCGGTCGCTCAGCCGGTGAAAGAAATGTGGTGAAGCAATTTAGGTACGCGATGATTCACCCTCCAAAGCGATTACTGGACACCTGTGAAAGAGAGCTTCATAGCTCATCAGGTTATTCCAGTCTAAATAAAGATTCTTCTTCAACGACCGTGTCACAATTCAGGGTCAAGATTCATTTCGACAATTGATTGTGCCTCATTTGTATCCGTTGTCAACTGTCCGATCTTATTTTGTACAGCTTAATTTTCTCAACTTGGGTTACCACGGTTGGCTACGTACGGTGCGAAAGAAGTTCGACCTCCGTACACACATTTTCTCCATGTGCCTGAATGAAACCCCGGGAATCTCATTTGCATAAAGAACAGATAACGGATTCTCACGTGCACGATTTACTGCGTGCTGTAGTGCGCAACGGAATCAATGTGCAGTCATTGCATGATGACTATCAACATGGCTGGCATCAACGTATGTTACTTAATATAAATATAACTCTGCCTATGTGCTGTAAACAACGGCCATTTCTTAAAGGGTCACCAATTATATACTTTTATCTTTTTAAGGCAGTGTTACTAACGAATGTGTTTTTGTTGTTGTTGTTTTTGATTGTGCACCCAACCACCAAGGGAGTATTACCAAATAATCTGTGCATTGATGTACGTTGCTGCTTATTGACATATCACACACTGTGCAAGTGAATAAGGATAACACGAGGACATTTGCATTTCATAAACTCACACAGATGTAATACATTATTAATTGTTGCTACTTTAGTGATTTAAAATAAGCAAAAATAGAACTAAAAACACGCAACTTGCAGCCCTCTGCAATATGTTACTGGACGAAAGCCGTGTTTGTCATTGGGGCAGTTTGACCATACTTCGCCACGCTGATCAGTGAGGATTGGTGAAGGGTAAACCCCAGGACTGGTTCTAATATCACTCACCACTAATGTTAACCATGGCCTGGAATCGAACTCAGGTATTTGGGTTTATTATGAGGTTCGTTAACCACTGCCCCACCAGTCTTAACTATACTCACATGTAATATTGCATACAAAACAAAAATCCCCCAGTATAGCCTTAACAAACTGTTAACAGCAAGCGAGCGCCTATGAAGGCCGGAACAGCACATGAGGGTGAGTGGCCAGCACGACGCCCGGCCGCATTTGTCTCCCTCGTGGAAATGTTATTAAACATCACACTAGGTAGTCAATTGATGCAGAGTCAACCTAGGGCAGGCCCAGGACCGATCCAGATAATCGTCACCGGTGTTGGCCGTGAGCGGGAATCCAACTCGGGTCACCGGGTTGGTAGCGCAGTGCACTTTTGGCCATTCCAGACACCCCTAATAATAGATGATCAGCCTGTGCGGGGCTGTTGGAGTTGCATTCAAATACTGTTGTTGTTTATGTAGATAGGGATATATGAAGGAGACCAGTATCTGCTTATTTAGTTACTTATATTCTCCATAACAAGAAAATTATATATTTTTTTCTGTTAGGTGCTCTTATCCGAATACATCAGATAGAGAGGAAAAATCTGCAAAACAACAGGGTGCTCAGATGTAAATAATTAATGTTACCACGTACGTGCACATGCAAGTACACAAGTACAGTGCGTAAGCACACACGTGCTGCGTTTACAACACTGCACACAGAAATGTCAACACAAGAAACATTAAAAAGTAAGAGCTGACGCCACTGCTGTGCCACCACTGTTAAGCAGTTAGCTATTAATGTTCCCGTAGATGCTTATCTTGGCTGTGCAAGGCTAAGTAAGATAGGGCAGCTCACAGCTACAGCCCCGTGCTTGGGTGTTTGTACAAGCATGCCAGTGTATGGGTGTGCTTGGGCGTGTGTGTTCCAGTGGGGATTATTTGAGCCAGTCCTGGGCCTCCCCTAGGTCGACTCAGCCTCAAATGAGTACCTGGTGCGGTGTATAGTAAACATCACCACTAGGGAGACAAAGGCGGTCGGGAGTGGTGCTGGCCACCCACCCTCTCATGTACCGTTCTGGCCTTGATAGGTGCTTGCTAACAGCACTTTCCCCAACAGTCTATTAAATACTATATGGGAGGTCTTTGCCTTTGTGATCACGTGGTTAGCGTGTAGCAGTTGGCACGCTGCGCTACGAACCCGGCGACCCAAGGTCGATGCCCACTCACAGGCCCACCAACGCCAGTGACTATTATCTGAACAGGTCCTGGACCTCCTCACCTAGGTCGACTCAGCCTCAAATGAGTACCTAGTGCGGTGTGTAAACATTACCACTTGGAGGAGAAAGACAGTTTGGCTGTGGTGCTGGCTGCCTACCACCCCCTTGTGTGCTGTGCTGGCCTTCACAGATTCTTGCTAACAGCACTTGTCCCAAAAGTCTGTTGATGGCTATATTGGGGATGTTGCCTGTGTAGGTGGCACAGTGGTTTGTGCTCTGTGCTATGAACTGGGTGTCGTATATTCGATTCCCAGACATGAATACCATCATTGGAACCTGTCCTAACTTAAATTACTAGGTCTGTGTATCTGTGAGCTCTTACGTGTCTGTGAGCTCTAGCGTGTGTATGAGCGTCTCAAGGCCTTTTGTGTGAAATAGTTTGTATGCTTTCAGTTGCCTATGTCTGTGTTTGCTGTACTTGCGTTATCATTGCCAGAGATAGTGGTCTAAGTGCGTGATAGGCAGGGCCATATTATTTATCCAGAATCACATGACCAAACAACTACGTTTCTCAGCACGAGTGAGCCTTGACAGCAATTGAATGGATGAACACCACGCACAAACAGGTGATCACATACGGCTGCAGAGCTAAGTGGAGTGGTGTGGCGATGCATGATAGAATAACTCCCAAGACCCGCACTGCGTGGGAAGGCGCTCATTTCGAAGTGGATTAACAAAAGGGCCACATCCACACGTTCTTTGCAATCGCTCTCTACAATCGCAGCAAAAATGTACGGCTTTGTACACTAGAGGCAAACGTTATTGGCTGCGTAAAACATCCCCCCAATGGAGAAAACAACCCTTAAAACACGAGTGGCTGATAAACACACGTCAACAAAGCACCGGCACCGCCGCCACCGGGAAAGCCAAGAGCATCCGGGCATGCGCGGTGTCGGACCCACCTCCTCCCTTGTGGGCCATACCAGACATAATAGGTGCTACACAACACAAACTGTGCCGCCCATGCAGGCTTCGAAGGGGACTGTTTATAAGTTTCAAGTGATGAGGCGTATTTTTTCCACAGTAATTTTTGGGAAATTAAATTTGATTGGATTTGCTCGTGCCAAAATTGGTGCGTGCGTGCCTGCCTGCCTGCGTGTGTACAGACAATCTAAACACCTGCCTTTGTACCCCGTGTCCAACATGGCTACTGGCAAACAGCAAGCACAGAGAGGTGGATATGTTTGTGATTTGTCTTTGGCACAGACGCAAGAGGCACCAGATATATTTTGTCCATGCGCACGCACGGGTGTTTGTCAGTCGACTGCTGGATGAAGGCCTCTCTGCGGCTAGTGGGTCGTGGGGGTGAGTGTGGGTTGGTGAATGTGGAGAGCCTACTACACATGGGAACACTCGACAGCAACACATTCCTGCGGAGGGAGCTGGTAGGAACGTTGGGTTGCTCGGTCAATGGCGGCGTGATGTATTCCACAAATATGCCCGACTGTGAGGGCGGGCACAAGCCGGCGTGAGTAGGTTAAACGTTGAGTTTTATAAGGGCACCACGGGGTGACCTGCCCCTCCCCACCCAGCCCAACCCTCCCACCATCCCCACCCAGCCCCTCCCGACCCTCCCCACCCCTCCCCACCCAGCCCCTCCCTGCACGACGGACGGAAACAATAATCCCCTGTGGGCTGCTGAAACCAGTGGGTTCCTACCAGTAAAATGGATGTTGCTGTACTGCCCCATGCTGCACCTCAACAGCCTGCTGCACAAGGCAGTCTCCCATAAAAGGCTCAGCTCTGCTTAGCTTCAGAGATTCTAGGTGATTTTAGCGAAGGCAGTGTCCATACAAATAAGATATTCTGCATATATACATGATGATCATTGATAGAGGGATGAATTTAAAGATGTAGTATATTCAACAAAATAAAATGGCCTTACAAGTTTTTTTTAGCGACAAATTGGCTGTGTTATTTATTAACAGAGCACAGAGCCTTAGCGATTTGTGTGAAATGTAAATGGCTCTAATCCTTACCAGGCAATCTGTTCATATTCACTTCTTGTGTAGACAGCCCAATCCCCATGTACCTAGAGGTGGGAGATCGTAAAACAAATCACGCCTCGTTCACTGGCTTGTACAACGCGCACACACATACGAGACGCACCATATTGGGCCCCGCAGCATGCGAGCCATACAGGTGTTTTTTGACAGGCGGAAAGCGTGCCCGCGTTGGGGGGCAAGAGCGGCACTCACCCGTCTCTGCCCTTGCTCACGATCTTCACCTCGAAATAATAAATGCCACACGCAGCAGGGATGGGGTAGTTGGCACGCACCGATGCTGCGTCTTTGGGTGTCTTGCCATGCCCTGCGAAAGAGTCAAGGGTGAAGCATTAATGAAAGTTCTTCATTGGCAAAAGCGGCTGCAAGGAACACCCGCTCAACTGACGCCGCTAATGAGAATCGATCGGATTAAATAGCTGCAAAATAAAAGGGAACATTTTTAAGACAGTTATTGACAGAAATTCTCACTGGCGACGCATTTATCAAGCAATTTTGGCAACTCAGCAGAGTAATAGAGGAGTCATGAAGTTTCGTTTAGCCAATGAAATTTGTTGAAAAATGTGCATCATGGACAATGATCGGTCTGCAGAGCACTCAAACTCTAGTCATGTGACCTCTGTGATATGATCAGAAGTTGGCATCTTGTATGGATTAGCCAAATTTGGGAAACTTAATTTCTTACAATAGAAAATGTTGCAGAAACTGATTATCACCCATGATCAATCCACTCACGAACCTAGAATGTAGTAATCCACCTAACACTGCACGCAAGCTTATTTCATTGTTCCATCTCCTCGGTGTGTCCACACCTGGCAATCTACAATCGCCCTTTCTCGCAACGTGTCCTGCCCAAGCCCACTTCATTTTCTTAGCCGCTTGAAATATTTATTTAACCTGGGAATATTCTCTAATCCATTGGTAACTCTTTCTTCGATGCCTGTGTCCCTCCATTAACTATTGCTCCAAAATTCCCTTGAATAACATGGGGCAAAGTGGTGGGCAGCAGAGGTCAGTGCAGAAACATTCATTGTTGTACTGTGCTCCCACATACACATTCCCCACTTCACCAACCCGCAATGACCAACATAGTATGGCCAAATAATTCCCCAGCAGCAGATTGCAATGCACAACACGGCCTTGGGTGTTCCCTCGGGATTTATTCACATGTCACATATGTGCAGTTTTCACCCTTGTCTCACCCTAATGTGATATTATTACAGGACCTCATGCCGGGTCCTATTGCTGGCAGCAAGATATGTGTCGCTATGGCAGCGCACACAAATTGCTGTCTTTCGCGTGGTGGGTGGATCTGAAATATTAAGTTTGGGTGACACAGGTGAGGGTGTCAGTTTAATTTAATTACATCGTGACATACACCACTCAAATGCATGTTTGGCATCGAATAAACATAGTATTAGATTGTGCGTATTTTTCACGTTGTTGAATCACATCCTAGAACGATAACGATATTCAAATGGTCATGCCAAATGTTCTCCTAAACAGCAACAACCACTGAGGTCAAACCCAGGGATTAAACGTAACTACACCTTGGGGGAAGATTTTCCAGTGCTTGTCTTGTGTTACCTATAGCCCATGGGCAAAAGCAGAAATCGGTAGCACCTAAAGTAGCAAAACTTTAGCTCTGCTTTAACAGATTTATACGGCTAATAACAGTAACTTATTTCATAACCCCAGTAATTTCAAATGGTTATCACAGAATTCACTGTTATTGGCCACGTAAGGAAATTGGAACTGCTCAAGTTATGCCACTTGAGGTGGTACCAAGAAGCAAAATATGTGGTCTGGGCGAAAGCTACGATGGTCGTGCAATGGATTCCGAATTAGCCACATGAAGCAAGGCTGCAGATAAAAGCAAACCTGGCACATTACAGTAGAACACCAACGGGGGAGCTTGGGTCTAATAGGATTGATGATGCTTTGGATGGTGGCCATGGTGGCAGCACAGTGTACTCTGAATATTTAACGCATAATAAAAAAATAAGGATATTTGTGATTGCATCTTTATTCATAAGTAATGGCCAATCAACCGCTGTATGAATGCTTCCACAAGTCATAGCCATTTCTCACAATAAGCAATTCTAGCGAAGACACACGATCTGATTTCATGGCTCCGTCTCCATGATGGACGTGTTATTCGGCAAGTTCTCCCTTCTTTGGCTCACACTCTGTAGATGATCTCGACCACGGACCATACTTCATCCAAGCATTGTTTGCTGCGCACAAGCCCGCTTTTCTTATCCAATCAACATTATATCTTTACATGACAATGTTTTTTTCTTCCTCCCCTCAATGGAGTGAGGTTCTTCATAACGCCATCAAATGGCCTAACAATGTCATTACTGGGCCTAACTACTCATTACTCTGTCCATGAAACCATTATCTGTTGGTCATCCTACGAAGGGACCAGACCCTGCAAGACCTCCCCAACACTCATGTCCGTCATGAGTGTTGGTTGACCATACTTCACCACGCTGGTCCGAGCAGGTTGGGTGAAAGGGCTTAGGGGGGGGGGCCGGTTCAGATATCCCTCGTCACTGCCGTTCACCGTGGCCAGGTTATCGAGTTGGGGGGAAAACACGCGCAGCGCGTTAACCCACCGCGCAACAACATCCCTGCGATTGTTATTGTGAACAAAGCACGTGAACACACCCTCGTTCTTAAGATATTATATTTTTTATTTTACCTGGTAAAGCCCACTGCAGCTACATGGCTCTTGTTTCAGAAGCGACCGGCAACAAATGATAGCGCACCTAAGTGGCTTATCACGTGGGAATCTATAGCAGCCAAATACTCTCGGCACATGCTTATACATGCGGATGGAAAAGCCAGAGTTGAGGACCCTAAGAAAAATCCATTCGACCACACGGAGAGAACACGCGAACTCCAAATAAACAGCAGGTCGGGGATCGAACCCACGACCTCCTGCCTACCTGGCGAGGTAGTTAACATCTCGCCACCGTGGCTTGTTAAACAATGACTAGGGTCTGACCGATATCTCCAGTCAGAGGAGATGGCTCAACCAGTGACAACATCGGCGCTGCGGTTTAAATGGGAGATAACACGGGGTGGGATGGTCGTGGTGGTGGTGCTGGAGGGAGGGCGTGGGGCAAGGTTAACAGCCACAAGTGAAGGTTGCGAGAACACATAGTACCGACGCGACTTACCACCCCCGCATCCATCCTCTGTGAACCCCAACACACAGCAGAACGCCAGGGCACATCTCTGTGTTGTTGTGGTCAGGATTCCAGATAAAATTCCGCACTGCAGCTGTGACAATATTACAAATGTTGTTGACAAGAGCCAGAGTGGAAGGGATTTAAGTGGGGGTGACACTGCGAGGAGCCCTCCCAAGTTGTTAATGGATCGTCCTACTGCATCATTCGATCCGTATCACTGTCCATGGCAAATGGGTCCTGCCCGCATCCTAAATCAGCCCTGCCATTGTCCACCTTTTGGGCCAACGCCGACACTGATATCCCAAGAAGGGCCCTACCCCCTGTCCACCAGGATCAATCATAGCAAGTCCATCCGCTGGATCAACCCAAACGAAATTCCACCTTCTGGGTATAAGCCCTGTCCTTGGGGATACCAACTCACGCATGAACCCTGCCACCCACCCCACACACACAGGTCAGCCGTAGTACCGATGTCCATCCCATGGGTCAACATCGCTTCTCTCCTGGGGTCAACGCTGTCCCCTGCCCACTTATCTCGACCATCCTTGGCTATGCCCATCATGTCAGGGCAAATCGCGACCACGGGTAAAGGCAAACACGGACGAACAAAAAGGGGAAAACAAGTCAGGATTGACGACGGTGTAGAAGTCAGCGTGGGTAGAGGGAGCGGGTGGGGGGCAAGCTTAGTTTGGGGGGGCACGTCAGCACCTTTGTAGTGCACACGCAGATTCCCCAGCGAGAGGCCGATGTAGCTGAGCTTGTCCTTGGCGCTCCAGGCACGGGGCAGCGGAGATTCGTCCTCGTTCACGGCCGGGTAGAGCTGTCGCAAACGGGTGGTGACACCCCCGTCTTCACCCGCACCCACCGCGACTTCCCCGCCTGCCGCCGCCGCTGCTCGCACCTCGGCCATGACATCGCCTCCCTGCCAGTGCGTCGCCCCACTCGCAGCAGCAGCAGCAGCAGCCGCTGTTGTTGTTGCCGCTGTTGTTGCCGCAGCGCCTCGCTCCACCTGCCCGCCAGGAGCCGCCATCTTCTCGTCACTACTTCCCTCCTCTTCCCTTCCCTTCCACGTGTGGGAGGGGACTCGAGGCCCCGCCCCCTGATGACCGTCAATCGGTCGCCCACGTGAGAGCTTCGTGGCGGCCATCTTACGTGAGGTTGACGTTGCCCCCCCACCACTACCTTCGTCGTTCACCCGCGTCCATTGCATGCCCGTGACGCGGCACGGCAAGTGCCGTTTCCGCAGATCTCCCTGAGTAAGATGGCCGCCTTGGGCGCGCAGACGTTGAGACCGAGTTGGGCGGAGCGCTTAGCAACAGTAGGGGATAAGGGCCTCCTATTGGCTACAAGTTTACGGCCCCGCCTGGACCAGAGGGCCAATCAGCAGCACGGATATCGACGAATCCGGGGGGAGGGGGTGGAGCTCGACGACGTGCGCGCAGCCAATCAGAGCGCGATCATTTGCGGGTGACGTCACCGCACAGCTGATGGAGCGGGGGCTGGGCCACGCTGTTGCTTGGGCTTCAGGATTCTGTGCTGGGGATGTTGTTGATTGTTATTGTTGTAGATTGTTGTTGTTGTTGATTGTTATTGTTGTTGATTGTTGTTGTTGAAAGTTTGGTCAAGAAGGGCTTCAATATTTCAGGAGGGTCCTCCGAACATTTTATTTTTGCAATCGGGTGGGGGGGGGTGTACGAAAGTGATAATGAACGTCTCAAATCAACCCCCCATCTGGAATGAGAGGGGACGCCCCAGTGGCAGCTGCCCCTGTTTCAAGTTTCAAGTTTATTTATTAGGTGTAGCCCTGTGAGCCATTCGGCTCTTGAATCGGGTGCAACCGCAATAAACAAAAAAACAAAAACATGAACAAGAAAACATCTTAAAGTGACAGAAAATCCAAGAAAAGACAGCAAAATATTGCAGAAAAAGCACCGCACACCACCGCTGTGTGCAAATATCCCAGTGGGATGCAAGTCAAACAACAACAACAACAACCACAAAACAACTTAGATGAAGGCGTGGTGTATTCCGAAAGGGCTTCAAGTGGCTCAGCAACCCTGGGTTCTGCAAAAGGGGCATTAGACCCCTGCCGGTCACTTGCCCGTACGAGGTGGAGGGGGGCGATGGTTGCTGCTGAGTGCGATTTCACTCGGATCATTTGCGGTGTCGTTTTTCACATTTGGATCGTGGCTCGCCAGTACACAACAACGACCTCTCGTCAACACGACCCGTCAACCCCTTAGCAGTGGCCCTGCTTTATTACAGACCAATTCAGGCCTTGTTGGTCACTCCCGTGTCCCTTATCAATCTCAACGTTTATCCTATAAAGTCCCATCACAAGGGAGAAACACAACGTTATGTTTGTGTTGTTGCCCGCATTGAAACGGCTGTACAGCTTATGGACCTGAAAACTCAATTTCCCTGTACAAGAATGCGGATTAAACCGTGATGGGTTGATAACTATGTGTCAAGGAGCATAAACCACCACCATCATCGTCACTCAAAGAACTCAGGTCATCCTCGGAGCAGCGCCCTTTGGCTCAGCCATCGAACAAAGACGCTCACAAACATCGCACGCTTTCAGATGCCCTCCCGCGGCCGCTCTTCATTCCGATATTAGGCAGCCACTGGTGGAGAGGCGACGCACTTTTTTAAACACATTCCTGCGGAGGGAGCTGGTAGGAACGTTGGGTTGCTCGGTCAATGGCCAGGGTCAACGGCGGCGTGGTGTATTCCGCAAATATGCCCGACTGTGAGGGCGGGCACAAGCCGGCGTGAGTAGGTTAAACGTTGAGTTTTATAAGGGCACCACGGGGTGACCAGCCCCTCCCCACCCAGCCCCACCCCTCCCACCCCCCACCCAGCCCCAGCCCACCCCACCCTCCCCACCCAGCCCCTCCCCACCCAGCCCCACCCCTCCCACCCCCTCCCCACCCTCCCCACCCCACCCAGCCCCTACCTCCCCACCCAGCCCCTCCCCACCCAGCCCCTCCCCACCCCACCCCTCCCCACACTCCCCCACCTCCACCCTCCACCCCCCACCCAGCCCCTCCCCACCCTCCCACCCCACCCCTCCCCACACTCCCCACCCAGCCCCACCCTCCCCACCCAGCCCCTCCCCACCCTGCCCACCCCACCCAGCCCCACCCCTCCCACCCCCCCCACCCAGCCCCCACCCTCCCCTCCCAGCCCTTCCCCTCTCCACCCAGCCCCACTCCCTCCCATTTTTGGATGCACGACGAACGGACGGACACAATAATCCCCTGTGGGCTGGTGTAACCAGGAGGTTCCTACCAGTAACAATCCACATTGAGGGCTCATCTCTTGAGAACGGCTTGTTGTGTTAAGTTTGTTGTCCTTCCCCACCACCACCACCTCCAACGTCCTGTAACCACCCCGAACGAATCGTTCGCTTCGAACGAATGAGCCGGGGGAATGAATTAAAAAGGGGGCCGCAAATGGATCGGTGCGTGCACGACGGAGTGAGAATGATGGCTTGTGGTTGTTGTTGTTTGACTTTCATCCCACTGGGATTTTTGCACAGCGTGTTGGTGTACAGTGCTTTTTTTCTGGAAGACTTTGCAGTTTTTCCCTAGATTTTTCTGTTTGCGTATAGTCACTTTAAGATGTTTTCTTGTTCATGTTTTTTGTTTGTTGCGGTTGCACCCGATTCAAGAGACGAATGGCTCACAGGGCTATACCAAATGAATGAAACTTCCCGGACGCGTCTCCCTGCCGCCCTCTGCCGGGTGCCAACGAGGGGGGTGAAGATGTCTTTTCTTGAGTTGACGTTTTCGTGACTGCAGGAATCCACACTCTTTGGTTCTTTTCGTAAAGTCACGTAGATATAAAATAAAATAAACAAAAGAAATATAAAAAAACAAAAACTCACGACCTATCGGGCGCAACACAAGCGGTCGTCATCAGGCGGAGAAAACAAAAGAAACAAAGAATATGAATTCCTTCAGTCACGAAAGCTTTAAGTCAAAATGTACCCAGACCGTTGCGTCTCGCACGCCAGGGTCAGGGGCCGTCCATAAATGGCGTCACGCACCTAGGGGGGGGGGGCAGAGCTTTGTGACGTCATATTTGAGGGTGGGTCTGACTTTTTGTGACGAGGGGGGGGTAAATAATCGTCCAAAATCGCTTTACGTCATTTATGGACGGCCCCTCAGGCCACAAAACAACGGCTGCCAAATGTGCCACTTTTGTGGGGGGGGGGGGGGGTAATGCCACCACGGCGCTTGTGCCAGGCTAGGTGCACTTTTGGGACCACGCGAGGTGTCGAAGGTCGGAAGACGTGCCACCCACCACAAGTCAAAATGTTGTCTTGCTTCTTCCCTCGCAACTGCTCCAAACTTGACACATGACACAATCACGTTACCGAGTGTCTAGTAGTGCGTGCAGGAAAATCGTGATTCACTTGTGTGCATCTCCAGCGCCAGCACACAATTGTGAATCCACACGTGGCGAATCCGTGCAGTGACAGTCTCGAACAGTGGTTCTGAACCTTTTCTGCAGCCTGCATGCCTTTGGTTCTCAGGAAGTGGCATCTCGCATCCCCCAGGGGGTGCATGCACCCCAGGTTAAGATCCGCTGGTGTAGGACGACACGTGCTCACGTGCGTGGCAGGGTGGCTCAGTGTTAACACTTGTGCATCTCCCTGCGTCTCTTTCCAGGTCCGTTTTTCCACGTGTTTCTCTGCCCGTCTCTATTGTAAGGCAAGCGTCCTTGCCGATATAAACATCTGGCAGTTCACCATCATTGATTCAAGCAAGCCGGACTGCTGATGAGACGCTGTATGTTGAAACCGCTCCAGAGTTTGCTTGTGCTGAATCAATGCTGCTGAAGTGAAGGGCTTCCGGGTTGTGGCCGATGGGTTTGCGTAAGAAAGTCTTACTTTTCATGTAGAGACATATATAAAGGCTCATCCATTTTGTTAAATTAATATTCTCACCAACGCTGATTATTATTTTGTGGACATTAGTAGGAGCTGCAAGTTCAGTGTGTACATGTACATTGTTGAAAGCCTCTCTCATGGCAAGCAGGTCATTTATTTAATATGTAACCGTGATGGTCAGTGCAGGTTGAAGGAGTACTCCATGGTGCTCTGCTGCTGACAACGTAGTTCTGAAGCAGCCTATAACATCTGTTTTTGTGTGGTTGTTACTCATCCAAGCACTATCCAGGCTCGACCTTGCTTAGCTTCTCCGATCTGACAAGTTGGGGTGCATTCTGGGTGATAGTGTCACAGGTGCACACCTCGATTCGAGTACTCGAGAGGGGGAACAATTGAAACTCTCAAAATAACTATACTTAACACGGCACAGCAGTAAAATAAATAAAACCAGTGAAAAAGATGTGCGATTAATCAAATCCGATTTATTTTATCATCTCAAAAGTTCATGTCGCAGCATCCTCAGTTCATCCGTTTTACCGCAACCTTGTAAATGTCACGACCCGACACTTTATGGCAACTGCCCTGAAATCGTCCCAGATTTAATTCAATTTCATTTATAGCCAGAACACACAATCAACTTTTCGCACATTAAGCCTCAACAGCCAAAATGTCCTATTGGGAAGTATGCGGCGGAAATACTTTGGTCTGGTTTCATGCTCTTGCCAATCATTAAAATCAAGGCACAGTCGGGGTTTTACAATTGTCCACGGGTGTGCGATCACAATTACTGGACCAGTAGCGTCGTCTCGTTAGCATTGGCCCTGGTGCAAGGAATGAAATGAACCCTCCCCTCCCCCGTCTAGTTTCCCACCTCGCCCACCTCTTCGTAACCCAGTTGCACCACTTGCAACACCGGATAGCTCCGCCACTGCGACTGGATATAACTGTAACGAAGAGACAATACCGACAGGAAAAAGTTCACCATTATACAGCTTCTGTTACAGCTGTGTGGCTGATTAGCGACTACATTCATATGGAAATTAGTAGGGTAGTGGAGAACGCAGCTCAAATCGGCACTCCACTGGTGGTCCACAAGTGACGTAGCTTCACTGCTCATGAATGGTGGTGTGTGTGTATTAAGCGCCGCTTACACTTGATATGCACTATACGGGGCACACCTCCTTCAAGTAAAGGGCATTCAATGGAAGGGGATTTAGAACGGGATCCCAAAGACACAGTCTGCACCACTACCAGTTTCCCCCCTCCACCCCCCGACTCCATGCCTTAAGCCTGGCTTAAGAGACATGCAGAGGTCACGCTGACTACGCACATCAATACAGACTTAGTCCAAGTTTAGAGAAAGAGAGGCAGTCGTACAGAGCAAGAGGGTGGCAGTAATGCATGATGGGAATCATAATTCTAACACACACATTACATAAAAAACACCAGCCCTCATACACATTTCTTCAGACATTAATAGTAACGCTTAAATGATTATGTACATTCCAATAAGCCAAATGATTTTATGCAAATTACACATTTTTACCATATTCTCCAGATAAGACACATTTTTCCTTGTATTTTATATTAAAAATTGTGAGTGCCAGTTGGGTTACATGCGTAACCAGATTTTTATAATGAAATAAGTCTGATTTATATAGCGCACAACAATTTGTGCAGCGGGTCGCTAACGCAAGTCGTAGGCATTTGTAATCGACAACCGGGCCACAAGCTTGGTGTGCGTCTAACTTTCTTGCGCATCTTGTAATATTGTTGTCGTTTCCTGTTGTGTCCTTCAAACAAATTGAATCTCACAATCGCGGAGGAAACACAGACAACAAAGACAAGACAAAGCTCCCCCGTATAGCCTTAACAGACTGTTGGGGAAGTGCTGTTAGCGAGAACCTATGAAGGCCGACACAGCACATGAGGGAGTGTGAGTGGCCGGCACCACGCCCGATCGCCTTTGTCTCCCAAGTGGCGATGTTTACTACACACTGCGCTAGGTACTCATTTTGAGGCTGAGTCGACCTAGGGGAGGCCCAAGATCGGTTCAAATAATCGTCACTGGTGTTGGCCATGAGCGGGAATCGAACTCGGGTGGCCAGGTTCATAGCGCAGCGCCAACCACTACACCACCACTCCCCACAGACAGGCAGCAGGATGGCAGCCACGGCGATGAGCCGGCACCAACAAATTACACTGCAAGTCCTCTGTGAAGATATTTTCAGTCAAATCAATGACTGTGGTGCAGTAGAATTCTGAGAATACTGTATATGAAAGATGATATCATAAAAGCGCGATAGCGCCGATTGCAAGTCAACACAAAAAATCACATGAGCAGCAAAGCTCATGTACTTGCTGCTGTGGTAGGTATTCGAGAATCAGCAGGCAAGCTGATACAGTGACTTTTCTGTCGTTTCAGCAAGAAATGTCGTGTCACAGCTGATACGGCAGGCAAGTGAAGGTGTAATGATGCCCACATCTCGTTTGCAAGGATTGATAAAGCTCACGCATTCTCACTCGCGCAATTCTGACCTTGGGACTTAACTAACATACTTGGCCTCCTACTCACCACTATCGTTGCGGCGATATATTTTCTGACGACATGATTATCACGAGATAATTTTCCCATAACTTGGTGTATTTAGCATTTGTATTCAATCTTTAATGCTTTGATGAATGTTGATTAATAATATGGAGCACTTAAGAAAAGTTATACTGCGGTTCACTTAACATGAGCCCGCCATAAGTCTTTTAATTATTGCAAATTTTAAATCTATAACGCACATGCTGTCTGAAAATGAATTCCATCGTAACTGGAAAAAATTGAACTAACCACTAATTTAATGGATAATAGCTATATATCTAGAATTAGTGAACTTTGAACTGTTATTTCATATTTTGTCAGGAAATAAAAAAAATTTGAAATATAAGCAACAATAATCACGATTTAATCATATTTAGCAAAAATTACATTGCGATAATTCTGGACCTTATATCATTTACGATATCGTAATATCGCCATATCACGGCGACCATCACCACAACGGCAAGATGGCACCAACATCCGCGCACCACCTCATGTCCTCATCACCACACCTCCTCATCCCTCCTCACCCTCCCCATTGACAAATGATCAGAATACATTTAAACTGCAGAAACAATTGAGTGCAATTCACATGCCAGTATAGGGCCTTTTAACAATGGCAGGTCGCTGTCTTGGTATAGCTAATGCAAAAAATGTCGAGAAATCCCGGCTACTATCCTTTAAAATGGTCCCCGAGTCAATATGCGACTGGTACTCAATGCGTTAAAATAAAATGAATTACCTGTGGCAGCATGAAGCTTAGGTCTGGATTAGACAACGTGGCAGCAGAAGTTTATAATGCCCTGATTTACAGTTGATTTGAGGCTACACACACTCTCACACTCCTCTCGTCTCTCCATCAAAATATGTTGAAATTAATGAGGACTTATTTTCACCAACCTGCACTGACCAGCGTGGTGAAGCATGGTAAAATAACCCCCGCAACCGGCATGGCGTGGGGGAGATTATCACCCAACAGTGTCTTGACAAAAGGGGCTATACATGTACAGACGCTCATCTTTTGAGTAAACACGTAGAAAATGACACCCATTGCTTAACAACGCCGCTGGGGCAGCAGAGGCTCGGGCGAAACTCACGGAAATGTACCGAGAGAAGGCAGACTTCTCTTACACAACTCCAGGCCCAGTCCGAGCACACGTCACCGTGCTTGAGAACCGTCTCTAAGGACTCCGAAGACAACAAACTTGGCCCCGATATTCCACCTGCTGCTCTAAGCGGTGTGCTAAAGCGACGGATATCAAGCAAACGGCACATGCACTGCAAACTGGAAATCTGCTCGGGTCACGCACGTCCAAGGAGCTGCAATTCTTCCAAGGTTCCAAAACCCGTTTCTTCCAGAGTCAACAACTCACTCGCTCACCCGCCCCCAGGGACTTCTCCTCCTCGCCCCGAGCGGCTCGGGCGAATCAGGACCAGAGTCGGTAGAATCCGAGGGCGATGGTCAGACACGTAAACACAGATGCTGCGTGGAAGAGAAGACATCAAAGCAACGCGGTGAGTTCAACTGCTGCGGTCGTTTAATTTCAGTTTTGAGTACCTGGAGGAGGCTCTCAGCACGTGGAGTAAACGTCGGACGTCGTGCCGAACAACACGCGGCACAACCCGAAAACACATTAGGGAGCGACGCAGTAAAACTACGCTGTAATGGTCCAGGCTGGGTTGCATATACAACGTAATATACGGCCCTTGGTCAATCCACTGGTCAATGAAGACCTCCTCAAACCATGCCAGCTATGGGGGTCGTTTGACCAAACTTCACTATGTTGGTCAAAGAAAGTTAATGAAGTGGATGTCCAGAACCAGTTCGGATATCACTCTCCACTGATGCGAGCCATGTCAGGGAATCGAACTGAGGTGACCGGGTTCATAGCGGTGTGCGCTAAACCACTGCGCCACCATGGTTTTGTAATGACCAACAGTAAAATATACATTCATAATATACATTTCATAACTCACGACACAATACTAGATCACCAACAAGAATCATCATCAGCCGTGATCAATCCACTGCTGGATGAAGACTCGCCCAAGTCGCTGCCATCCTCAGCCCCACAACGCAACAATCACAATCCACCCACAATCCACCCGGCAACTGCACACGAGCCAATGTCATCGCTCCGTCTCAAAGTCAACGTCACCTTGGACCCTTCCCCTCCACTTTGGCCAACAATCAACAGCTGGTGTCGGGCCCCTCCCTCTTTCCGCCCACACCTCTTCCCTGTCCCCTATTGCCACCCTCCCCCAGGTTTCCCTCATTAGGTTGGTTATACTGCCCCCCTCCCCAGTTATCCCCTCCCCATTTACATTTACATCTTCTCCCCCACGTGGTGTCCCTCACCAGGTTGGGGCAGCAGGCCTCTTTCCCCACCTTCTACCTCCCCTCCTTGATATAGTTCAGTTGTGTCGGGACTGCCCTCCGTGCACTGTGACACCCGGGTGTATGAGCCACGTGGCATGCTGTACCGGGCTCGCGTTTTGTTACAATAAAAGCAAAAAAACTGTTAGTCTCTCCCACCGGACCGTCATCCCTTGTACCGAAGCAGCGTCCTGCCCAATCCCACTCTGCTATCGGCTACTGACGCCGCCCCTCACGGAGCGTTGCTTGGCTCCAGGCGTAGCCGTGGTACCTGCGAGGTACTTGATGGTGTCCAGCTTGTTGGACTCCAGTATGGTCTTGAGGCCGGCGATCTCCGTGTCAATGCGGTTGTTGGTGTTGGTGAGCGCTCGGTTCTCCTCCGCATGCTGCAGTGCACGAGGTCATCACCGAGTCAACGTCGGGCTCACATCGTCGGGGTACACCTCATCGTCCGCTCGTCCATCAGTGTCACCCAGGGCAGGGGGCCCCGTCGGGAGTGCGACATCGCCAAAATGTTTTTTTTTTTTACACGATATGACAGCTTATGTTGAGTGAACTCCTGATGTAGAACTTTTAAGATTTTTTTTTGTCATACTCGAAGTACTGTACTGCAACGTGCAAAATTAATCCAATAAAAATGTGAAATACATTTGAAAAGCTGAATGAAACTGAGTTTGCAATAATAATCATAAAATCGGGAAAATTTAAGCTGCATATAATGACACGTGGATATAAACACACCTGACATAAGCTGTTTATGATATAAGCAACATATGCTTCCAATAACACTGGTGTGGGGAAGGTGGTTGGGTGACTTCCGAATCAAAGTGCACTAATACAGATACAAGCACAGCTGGCTTCTCCTGCCGTAAGCATTCTAACCATTGCAGCTTCACAATCTACAACGCTTATAATGCACGCGCTGTCAGTTACGCAAAATATCAACACAATTAAGGTCGGCAAGGTTCTATGCTTTGAGTTGCTACACGGGAAGAAAAGCGCGTTCAATGGGTAATAACACATTCCTGCGGAGGGAGCTGGTATGAACGTTGGGTTGCTCGGTCAATGGCCAGGGTCAACGGCGGCGTGGTGTATTCCGCAAATATGCCCGACTGTGAGGGCGGGCACAAGCCGGCGTGAGTAGGTTAAACGTTTGAGTTTTATAAGGGCACTACGGGGTGACCAGCCCCTCCCCACCTAGCCCCACCCTCCCCCCACCCTAGCCCCACCCTCCCCACCCAGCCCCACCCTCCCCACCCAGCCCCCTCCCCACCCAGCCCCTCCCCACCCCACCCAGCCCCTCCCCACCCAGCCCCTCCCTCCCCACCCAGCCCCTCCTTGTACGACGGACGGACACAATAATCCCCTGTGGGCTGGTGTAACCAGGAAGTTCCTACCAGTATAACAATTTATTTCCAGCTTATTTATAATCGGCATGGTGAAATCTTTATCCAGCAATCGATTGTGCAACAGCTGATTATGTCGGTGGTGACCTTCGGGGCAGCCAGAGCGAATTTTAAGGGACTCACCAGTTCCACAATTTCCGTCCTCATCTCCAGGAGTTTCTTTTCCTGGTCAGAAAACTGTCAACAGGGGTGTAGGAGAAATAAACGCATAACCCAAAGGGAACATCAAAGGTGTTTCAATAATGAAGTTTACACCAACAAAGTGAACAGGCAGGTCACGCAGACACACGAGGCCCACGGAGACGCGAATGAACGCAGCGAGAGGCACAATGTTGTCGTTCCCTCTTTACCATTTCCTTCACGCGGCTTTTCTCCAGGTTCATGTCGAGCTTGGCATCCGATTTCACTTTGAGGAATTCATCCTGAAAGGGATGGAGTTGCCGGTCATAACTTAATCCTCACAATGGCGACGTGAGAGAAGCACAGCGCTTTCGCGGACACAAGTACATTTTCTTGCAGTCTCATTTCGGTACACATCCAGCCAGTCCATCATCGGTCTCCCGTTCAGTCAGTGTGGGTTGAGTGAAGGTGTGCAGCAGAGACGTGGGGGGGGGGGTCATAGAAGCACAGTAATACATTTTTCCTGCACTGTTCTGTGTAGCTTATAACAACCTGCTGTGCACTGAGGGTCACCACCCATTGAATAAAGCACTATCCGTACCCAAACCTGCTTCAATTACGAGATCTTAAGAGATTGGGTGCATTCTGTGTGATTTGGCCATTGTGTTTTCTTTTACTTTAACATACATATAATAAATAGCCCAATGAGGCATTTGTTTTAATTTCAATTGAAAGTAAAACGTTAATTGAGCAAATGAGACGTTTTCTCAATGGGCTTATACTTAAGCACATAGATCACGAAAGTTAGACGTCAGGTCAGCCGAAGTCCCCTCTCCTTCACTCACCACCCCCTCACCTTCGGGAACCAACCAGCCAATCAACAGCGACCTACCGGCAGTGCAGCACGAGGCCGTGTGATTGGTTGGTTGGTTCCTAGGAGAGTGAGAAGAACAAGAGGGGACAGCTGTAATGTTAAGCTGAACCACAGTACAGGGGGTTTGAGAATAGTCTCTTAAATTGTTAAATAAAATAGTTTTTCCCCCCCTTCTTAATATCATTCGTATATCAGGTGGTCAAATATAAGAAGGGGCTGCCAGGTTCCATGACGGTACACTGTCCCATAATGCACCCAAAATCTGGTGTTTGCCGTGCACGTTTAACAAATGATTTTGTTGGCACGTGCGGTACTTTTTGTCAACAGGATGGGGGCCCCCATACATCATGTGGATTGTGGGAGCTATTTCACTTCATCACACTGGTCAGCGCCGGTTGGTGAAGGTGGGGAGCAAAGACGTAGGAGAGCAGAACCAGTGTGGCAATGGATGATGTAAATGCAGTCTTTTTTGCATGTATTTTCTTTTTTTACTCAATGAGTCAAAAATGCTGGCCTCACCTCAAAATGTTTCTTCAGATGAATCAGCTCTATTTTCATCTTCTGCGCAAACAGGGAACATTTTGGGGCTGGTGTCAGAAAAATAATACTTTTACAATACAACTTTATGAATCAAGAACATGACAATTATTCCCTTTCAGACATCAAGGTACTGGATTCATCATTTAAAATTGAGTACATGTACTGCCGTAACAAGAAATCTGAATGGATACTTTGTCTTATGGCACGGTGCCGATATAGACAATCGGGATAAAAGAGTATCAAATAACAACTATGAAACCAAAAAGTCGCTCATTCCGTTTGTCGCGGGACAGCACAAGCACCTCGTTGTCGTTTCGCAGCGCCGAGAATTCACTCTTCTCCAGAATGATCATGTCCTTCTTGACAGCGGCCAGATGTGCCATCACCTGCTGTAGCATGATCTCCTGTGGTGAGCAAAATCCAGGTCAAGGGTGAGAAAATCAGGTGACTCAGTGACACCCAAAGTTCTAAGCAATATTTAAATCACCGAGTCTCAAAAACTATTGAAAATAATAATCTCGGTGAGATGCAAGGCTAATTTATTTTGTCGAGCAAGTTTGCCTGTGGAGTGCCCAAAGAGAACTCAAGAATCAGAGCGAAGAAAGCTCACACGGCACAGCTATCAAGACACCGACAGTTAACTCTCAATTGTCCATGTGTGGATTAACGGTGCTTACGAAAAAAATTGCAGTATTAGATTTCCCTGTCAATTTGTGCCTTTAAGTGCATCGATTCTATTATCAGCTGCTTTTCATTTGTGACTGGAGTGACCAAGGACTTAAAAACAAACAAAAAAAACAAGTCTACGTGTTCACCCCAATTATTATGCAAACTATGATAATCCCGTCCCAAATTTAAATACGATTTGCATTTTTCCGTGTTGTTATCTCATGCGGGCCCTCCCTTCCCTCCTGACACTGGCCTCACCTGCTGGGATTTGGTGACCATTTCACGGTACACGGCCTCCATGTTGGCGCTGAGGATCTTGACGAGGGCAGCGACCAACACCTCCGCCTGCCCCGTGGTGAACCCTGTCGGCGAAGCAAATGGGACGGCGACAGTGGAATATGCCCACGGGCTCATGGCGGGACGGGGCCTTTCGCAGTATTAAATAATACCACAGTTCTGTAAGCATCATTATCTGCCAGGCTCAGTCCTAAAAGCCACCTTGCACCATCTCATCCTTCTCATCATCTCTTTTCCCAAGTTCCTATAACCCTGCTCAATTCAAGAATTCCATAACCATGTCTATGAACCCTTCAATAGTGCTATTTGTGGCTCAAGGCTTTGGAGTTTTTGGCCACTGGGCCTGTGCTTATCAACCGGGATAAAAATAACTCCCACCACGAACTGATATCATCACTCCAGCTTTGCTATGGCTGTCCACTTTGAGGTATTCTGTACTTTTGGCTGCTGTACCATGGTTAGTCTCGTCCAACGGCCATCATCCATTCGAGCGATGTGTCCTGTCAAAGCCCACTTTTCTCAAGAATTTTTACGACGTCTGTCTCTGATTTGCATTTGTTTTTGATCCATGCACTCCCTTCTCAGTGTAATTCTGGGCATGCATCTCTGCACGGTCTTCTGTTACATTTTTGCCAATGTCCATGTTTCTGATCAATATCACAGCTGCCAGTATGGACCAAATAAAACCTCTGTCAAGATGTGCGGAGAGCAAGACGCACACGGTATTTTATGGCTTCAGCTCATTCCATTTCTTTCAAATAGGTCGGTTTTCTTTAAAAGCAGCTACTTAATGCGGGTCATGATAAAATAGCAAATTACGAACACTTGGAAAAGAGTGTGTATTTAATAAGATCCCTGAACGTGTTATTTTGTCAAGGGGTGCATTATGCAGTACGTTATAACTCTTATTATATTGATGTTAGATGCTTGTTATTGCGCAGGTCGGGGAGTTTGTATGCTGTTGCCTGTGTAGTGACATTGGGATGTCACTGTATGGTGCTGGCCCAGAAGGGCATGCACAAGGCGGTTAATCCCAGCGTGGCTGCGGCAACCCAGCTATGGACAGACCCACATTGGGAATTCACCACAAATGAATTGTGGGGACCAACCAAAGAATCAGAATTTTGATTTATCCTAAATTGAATCCGATGAGCTATGAAGCTCTTTTCTTTACACATTTCCAGTACGGGCGGGTCAGAGGACATTGAAGAACAAGGGTTGGCGCATGTTGAAGGCTCATGTTTGGTGATGTTATGAAGTGATTATAAGACAGGCGGATAGCAGTGGATTGAGAATGGACTGTGGCTAGTGAGTACACTGTGAAGAGCATCTAAAACACACGTGCACCTATCCTATAGACGCTCTAGTCATATTGTAAATGTATGAATGACATCAGTGTGAGATGGTAACAATGACAAGGGAGCAGCAGGGAAATACCGATAGTAACGAAGCCACAATTAACCAACTGGTGGACGAGGGTCTCCTCACACTGTGCGGGGGTCGTGAGGGTTATGTGACCATACTTCACCACGATGGTCAGTGCGCAGTGGTTAAAGGTGGGGAACTAAGCCGCAGAAGTAGTGTAATTATTGGTGTGCATTACCATCTTCTTACCAAACACGTAACCCCGTCACTCCTGAGAACCTGGTTGTACATGGCCATCTAACGAAACACTGACCAGGCTTAACCCGCGACACGAGGCGCATTCCGCGTGATTTGGCCACAAGACGAGCGTCCGCACAGACGGGTTCAGTGGCCCACTGCCGGCAACCACCAAATATCCACGTGTTCCATCAACCCTTGGCTCTTGTCTCCGAAAGCGTCTTCGCCTCCAGAGACCTACAGACACGACACCACCTTCGGGACCAGCACAACCATCACGAACCATCACCACTTTGACCACCACCCCACCGCGTACCATTGCTCTCCAAGAGACACACCATGGCGTGCGTGTCAAAGTGGAACTTGCGGCTCTCCGTCGAGGTCAGGTCCACCTGCCTCAGGTCGTAGCTTAACCGCAGCTCGGCCGTGCGAAATCCACGTGACGGGGCGGCGACATCGCCACCACCGCCGCCGCCGCCACCGCGGGGTCCCCGACTGGTAATCCAGGCGAGGGCGGGGGGCCCGCGGAAGACGTCTAGGCCTAGGCCCGGGCGCCTCCTCGTTGCGGCTACAGCCGTGAGCGAGCGACCGGGGGGCGTGGACGAGGAGAACGAGGTGAAGGGGGCGAAGCGCCTGGAGGTGGCGAAGGATGAGAGAGACGACGACGAGGAGGCGAGGAGCCCGCGAGGACGAAAGAAGCGGCAGCCGGGCGGCATTGCGACTCCTGCTGCACGGTTGCCCGGGGGGTCACGCAGCCCGGGGGGGGGGGGGGGGGTCACGCAGTCCGCACCACGTGACGCGGAAGCCACGTGGTGGGAGCAACACGTGCGGGTTGAGGGTGGGGGGCAACACGTGTGGGGAGACCCAAACAGAAGAGCATGAGGTGGTGGTGGGGGGTAGGCGGATGGCGATGCTTGCTGCTGTCTGTAGTTGCGTGATCCTGTTGGCACAGTAGGGGGCACAGGTGGTGCATCAGCCAGTCATCTCGGTCATCTCAGTCAGTTCGCCCGTGGCACCTGCTGGGTTTGCCCCGTGACCTCCTGCCAGCGGGCGTTCGACACTTCACATGGCCTCAAGGTGCACATGGCCTGGCACAAGCGTCGTGGTGACGTCACCGCCACTTAGTGGCGAATGGCGGTTGTTGTTGTTGTTGTTGTGATCCTGGCGTTTGTTTCATCTCAGTCCACTGCTGGATGACGGTCCTTAGATTTAGGAAGCTCCTGCAAACGAGATGATCGCACCGCTGCACTATCTCCGGGTGGAAGTTTGCTCCTCGACCTGTCAATCAATCCACCTCTCATTCCGTCATCCTCGTAACAGCGGCGGCGGCTTTTGGCTCGGCCATCGAGCAAAGACGGTCACCGTATCGCGAGCTTGCAGTTGCGTTACTGCGGCCTTTTGGAACGACCTTCCGTCCGATATTAGGAAGCCATTGGAGCTATGCACTTGTAAATGTATATTGAAAACTCATTTCTTTAGAAACGTTTTTTTGTTTCGTTCTTTCCCCGCACCTCTAATTAGCACGCTTGGCTACGTACGGTGCGAAATAAGTTCAACATACATCTCGGCCACCGCTGCCTCACTTCCAACGGACCTTTACTGCTCAAGCCCAGTTCAGTTTTTCTGTGTTTCACGTTTGTTCTCATCCATGTGTTCCTCATTGTGACCCTCTCTAATTAAATGCATGCATTTTCAAGCTTCGCGTACATTTCAGATTCGTGCCAATGTTTTTCAGGGTCAATGTTTCCGATCCATGTCATAGCAAGCAAATATACTGTACCCCGATTGAACACTTCTTTAGGCATATTGTTATGCACGTATTGCTCTTGACAATCAATTTCAGCTTTCTAAAATAATTTCCAACCTGCTCTCGCTACCCTCTAAATCAATTTTTTGCTTACATAAATTTATATCGCGCTTTAATTTAAGACGCTTTACAAGAGTTATACAACTCGTACATAACATGATAGTGGTTTAAATAAAGTGCGGCGTTATTAAAAGTGGTGTGGTTATGGTGACAGGACAGGTGGGAGTGGTTGAGGGGTTTGGGTAGTTATAGGGTTTGGGTAGGCCTGGTCGTAGCTGCGGGGCCGGGGCAGGCAGTAGCAGGATGGACAAGGGAGAAGAGATGGGGGTTGAGGGACGGAAGCAGCATGTCGGTGAAGATGATTATTTAATATGCAGTGGGTGTTTGTTCCAGTGTAGGAACAAGAAGGGACTGGACGCAGGGCGAGGGAGGCACAGAGGGGCAGTCGAGATTGGGAGACGGGATGGGACAGAATAAGACATGAGATAAGCAACATACGAAAAAGGCAATCTTGGTGCCACAAGACAAATATAGATTCTGCTGTTTTACAGTTACAAAATAAAATTCTGCAATCAGAGCATAAAGAGAACACACATTGTAGTCGTTTATTTTAAGACTCTTCTTTATGTACACTTTTATAATGCGCAGACAGCAGCAAATCGACCCAACAACCCGTTTTCAAGGGAGGGTGTCCTCTGAAGACGGCTCCGAGGAAGCCTTTTATTGTGCAGCCTTGCGCGTGGCATTGAATCTCGATGGCCTCTTGCTACATACCAAACCTGCGTGGGTGGTCGCTCTGCTAGGGCAGTGTTGTCGAGACGCGTAACTCGACAGCATCCGATGTATCTCTCAACCCTGACCTCTCAAGACCACGGGGTTAGCAGGTAGCTGCATTGTCTGACAATAATCCTTTACATGAAAGAATTTAAATTGAGCACAATTGCTGATCAAAATGTTTAAAAGAGGAATAAACGACACTACCCCTTTGGGGTAATAACATGCAACGTTTTGACAAATACATTTTTAACCGGGTTTCATATGGTTTAGTTGAGACAGTTCAACCAAATAGATGTATTTAAAAGTTGTAAAAAGGCCTAATTGTACTAAACGGGTGCATATTCCTTCACGTCGAAAAAGTTAACGACAATTTGGCTCTAAAGCCAGTCTCTAATATCACCAGACAGACGATGTCAGAAACCAGGTGACAAAGTTAGGCGAGCAGAACATGAAATGGCATCGATGCAGTTCTCACAAACATTCTGTAAGCGAATGTTTGCGTTTTAAGTTGCGAAACTAGCAAATTGTGTTGCATCACTGGATCGTAATTGCAAATACACCACCCCTGCTCTTTGAGCACTGATTACAAAGCAGGAGTTTGCAAATTCGCAATGGCCTAAATCATGATCCACGTAGCTGGTGGGCATATTGCTTCACGCATGAAATATAATACCGTGTCCACCGGCACATCGGATTCAAGCCAGCACAGGGCCCTCATCATGATTAAGGGTGGTTTTCCACAAGCTATATGTCGAGCCGAACCAGAACAAGACCATGACACACTGACCTCACAAAACATGATTATGACCAAGGGCCAACCGAGGCCAGAGAGTCAATAATTATCATCATACGTGTTATCTACATGCGTCTCGACCAACTCATTGCATGTCACGTCAGTGGCACAGCTCACAGCTTCCGTGAAAAACCTGCTGGCCCCTTGAGCCACGCCGGGCTTGGCTTAGCGCAGCTCCGGCACCGCTGAGTCGTCATTGGGGGGGAAAAAAAAAGAGGTCCAAGGGGGTAGACACAAGATGCGACAAAAACCGGGCGGAGATGGGGAGCCAGAGTAATGCATTTACTGCTCGTCCATGGTGTTTACTCAGCATCATATTTTCCGCGTTTTATAAATGATACCCCCTCCCTCTGCAAAATGATTTCAGTATCTCCCTTTAAGTTGTCTGCTCTCAAGACCAGTAACAACTTTGGAATTTTTCGATTTAACAGTATACACTACATTCACCCATTTCCCACAACAAAGCTCTTAAATGCGACATTCTTTTCCTATTAAGAGTCTAATTTAACATAGAACAAACATTATTTGTCTTTTCAACTCAAACACACAGTTCAGGTTAAAAGGCTGGCAGCATTATTCTGCTATGACAACACCACAAAAGTTCCCCTTTAATAATGTGGGTTTGTTACAACATCCAGATCCCACGGATACAGATGTCCTGTATAGCCGATAGGGAATTTCAAGGTCTGTCCATCTACCCACCTCGCAGGCCAGCATTTGCCCTTTTCAATTGATGTCCAAACTCTGATCACAAAGTTCATTCGTCATTGCACCCACTGCTTATCTGACTAATATTAAATTCATGAAGGGTTCCATCAAAATGTAAAAACGAAGACACAAAACATCCTTCTACAAAGCAAGCAAGCAAGCAGACAGTCCAAGGGAGACCTGTGGTGGACTCAGAAGTGGTATTTGATATCAGTGCAATGTGCTGCCCCATCCCACCTGTTGCTGGGCGCTGTTGTAGGTTTCATTGCGTTTAACGATCGTGCAATGTGGATTTCACGGTATCTGATCGAGACGGGGCCAAGTCCACATCGGTTCAGATAATCATCAGTCTGCCCTGGCCCCGTTTTTTGTATTCTCCACCTAAGCGCTCAAAGAAAATGCCTCTTCCAAGTCGCCACCATCCCAACACCACTGAAGCAAGCAGCCTTGAAGCAAAAGTGCTCAACAACGAATTTACAAGCACCTCTAAACATCGCACGCAATTAATCAAATCTCTCTGCATATGCAGAGTAGACTAAATAATGCAAGTTCATTAAAGCTCGATGCTGCATTGTGAGTGCCTGAAACCGTACTCCATCATAACGCTAAAAAAATACTGGGCAATGCTTGGTGTAGTTTTTTTCCTTCTTCTCTCAAACCCTCCCCGCATAGGTTCTGAAGCTTACGTCCACAGGCAAAATAAGTCTTAGCCCGCACTGCTGTGCCCAGCACAGGTTGATTCAAAGTTCCCATGTCAGGATTCCCCACACAACATTCATTGTGACCAACAAACACTGCTGTACATGTCCTATTTTTTATCCTAAAGCAAATAAAGCGAGCACATATTCCTTTATTTTCTAAACACTAAAAATGTGTACCTTTAATCGCCGTAAATGTACCTACCCTTTAATATAATTATAATTACTATAATATATCTTTTTTTCATTCCATCAACTCTCAACATATCTTACATTGTTATATTTCGGCAACAGCTTAGCGTAGTTGCTATAAAAGTGCAAAGATCACAGTAGTCAGGAGACTGATGTGATAGATCGGTTTGTGAGCTCTGCCTGTAGAGGGGGGTCCAACATGAAAATATCTCAAAATTCTAGAGGCCCTAGATAATTGTCCAACAGATGTTAATCCCACCCACATCGGTTGGGATGGCTCCCGGTGGTTATAGCAGGAGGCAGTCGAGGTAGCAGGAATTTTGAGTGCCGTGTGGCCCGATCGCAGAGCGAACTCTCCCACGGGGCCTCTCACAGGGGGCACGTGTGCACCGCGCGACACTAACGAGCGTGGAATTGATGCCACTCTACGGCACCGAGGGAAACGGTGTGTGACGTCCCGCAAAAAAACCTGCCACCATTGCCGGCTCGGCAAGCTTCCGTTAAAAATAACAGACGCAGTGGCGCCCCCCCCCCCCCCCCCCCGCTGCACTGCCCGCTCATCAAATGCATTGATTGCCCGAGGCTGGTATTGTTCCTTCCTTCGGCGGCGGAGGCTCTATGGTGAATCCCCAGTCTCCCCACAAGAAGACCGTTCCCTCCCCAGCCTCATCCACACCACCCATCCAAGACACTGTTCTAGAACTCACCCTTCGCTGCAGCACTATGCAAGCTTGTAAATAATGCCAAACTTCGCAAAATCTTTGGACCAATGCATCCCTTTTTTTTGCTTGTACGAAATTATTTCTAGGTATGAAACGTTACGAAAGGTAGGGCTGCGAGGGAGCATGGGGCGAGCGTGAATTATTAGCGCCTGAACACCTTGCCAAATGATTCCATTGTCAAACCGGTCCCCACGTTTGCCATTCGATGCTCTCCTGACTGAGAGATTAAGGGAAGATTTGACAATATGTGCCCACTAATTACGGTGCCACTCGGTAAGTAAGGAGGCTAAAGGCGCTTGAGCAGGAAGTGGATGGGGGTAGCCTCTTGTTTGCGACCACATGCTCTGCAGCGCCGAGGAAAGCATAGACCTCGAATGGCAGAACAGATTCATCTTTTGCCCGTAATTCCTCGAAAACATCACTTGTCTGTGGGGAGACAATCAAGAAGTTGAACACATCACACACACGAGAGAGAGAGATAACACAGGCGGTGGATCAGAATCTGGCGATCCGCCACCGCCGGTGCAAAGGCCGGGTGGGGCGGTGGTGGTGGGGAGAGGGCGGCGGTGGCTTAGGGTCCTGGCGCCATCCGCTCAGCACGACAGGAGGCTGTCGTCGTCGCTCGTGTCCCCGGCATCGCGGCCGCTACCACCGGCCACGCGTCTCGCCTCCGTGGGGGGCGACACTCGCGGCCGAGCACCCCCCCACCCGACCCAATCCCCTCCCGTGCTCCCCGTGCCACTTTCCGTCGCTCTCGTTCCATCGCCGTCACCGCCGCCGCTACCATTTCCGCCGCCGCTACCATTTCCACCCATGCAGTCCTCCATGGCGATGAGCATCGGCACGTCAGCCGCTGCCTCCCCCGCGTCCGGTGCCGCCCCACCGGGGGAAGGGGGCCCGCGCCGTCGCGACAGAGGGCTCCCGATCCTCGCACGCAGGATCCTCGCCACGCTGCTCAGCGGGCCCAGCCCCCCGCCGCTGCCGCTGGGGCTGCCGCCCCTGCCGCCGTCCACGCCTGCTCGGCCGTTGGCGGCCGCCGGCACCCTGGCGGCCTGCGCGCAGAGCTCGGTCGGCCTGGAGCGGGAGCGCCGCGCAGCATCGAACATGTTGGTATCCTCGGCGGTCGCTGTATGCGCTGCTGCTGCTGCGGCCGTGCCGGCGTTTGCAGCCTCGACGAAGTGAGTCGGTGGCTGCTTGTGCAGCAGGCCAAGCGGCGAGGAGAGGCCGGGGGGACCTGCGTCGGCGCCGCGCACTTCTGCGCCGTCCTGGCACTCCGCGTCGCTGTCGTCATCGTCGGACGGCAGCAGCTGCAGGCGCGACCCGTTGCCCACCCCTGCGCCCGCCCCGCCAGTCAGGTTCGACACCAGCGAGTCAAGGCCGGCGCCCGCCATCCCCGAGCACGGGCCGCCCTCCCCGAGCCCATCCGTCTCCCCGCTGTCGCCCCCCCGGCCGGAGCTCCCTGCCCCGTGGTGGCGCCGGCTGCTCCCGGAGCGACTGCTCCGGGATGAGCCGCGCAGGAGGCGGCGGAGGCGGCGCCACAGCCGGCCGCGGCGGTGGCTGTGGCGCGAGTGGGCGCCACCCACAGCCACGGAGAGGCCGAGCTGCGTGCGCATGGCCAAGCGGAGGCTCTCGAGCACCGAGGCCTGATGAGCGCACACAGACACGCACGCAGATCAGCACCTCGTCTTACCCCCGTACACAACATTACAATGCCAGCCTATGGTATCACCAGCCTGCAAAACTTATTCCTGAGATATGCTGGTAAAGGTGCAGCCCTTAATCAATCCACGACTGAAAGAGGGTCTCCACACACTGCGAGGGTTGTGGGGTTAATTGATTGTACTCCATTACAAGAGTCACTGTGGGTTTGGTCAACGCAGGGGCATAGACGTCAACCCATAGCAGTACCACAAAGTACTTGGAAGCACTGCTCTCTGCTTCCCACAATGGAGCCCTGCAAGACTTATGAAAACCTATTTTGCATCATGGTCATCCATCCAAGAATTATCCAGGCTCAACTCTGGTTGGCTTTCGAGATCATACCAGATCGGGTGCATTCTGGGTGATTTCACCGTGCATTGTGGCACGCGCATGTGTTCCGATGCTCTGGAAGTTAGGGTTGTGGATGACACAGATTTGTGAAACTCCCAAACCCATTGTGCTGCGAGGTGGCAGAGATGCAGCTGTGTGGATATGCGAGTGTCATCTCCTTGCTATGCATTGGGTTACGCAAAAGCAAAAAAAAGGAAAAGGCTAAACACAGAAATTGCAGGAAACTCCACAAAAAGTATTTCGACAGAGCGAGGCTTTCTGGATAAGTTACTTTAATAATGCATAACGCTTTGGCAATCCACTGCTAGATAAAACCCTAACAATAGTGGATTCATTATTATTAAAAGCCCAGCAGAGAAAATCATAATACCAGCCTTCAATATCAAGATTTTCAGATCAAAACCTTGTTCCAGCAAAGAATACAACACAAGCGTGCATTACTAAGACTCTAAAGATCCACACTGTGATAGCAACATAGAATATAAAACACCTGCCTCCAATATCGGCTCTTTATTATCAACACAATTCCAGAATGTAATATCAGCATCCAATCTCATAATCTATTCTCAACATCTTCATTCCTGAATGATGTCAAGATCAGATCTCAATACACCAAGGCTGGGGAACCTTTTCCTTACTGAGGCCTGCATGGGACTTTCAAATACCTTTAGAGAACAACCACACATTAACATGCACGCCTCAGTTACTTGTCACTGCAAGAAGCCCTTGCGGCGGACAAAAGTGAATGAGCACGCTAAATTAGAAATAGTTATGCCAGATGGATAATATTCCTCTCGAGTACATTATTGGTTTCGCTTAAGATGCTTTGAGTGATGGATACATGGAATTTGTAGGCCGTTTCATCGCAGAAGGACTCATGTGGCCTTAAGTCACATGAGAAAAACAACACAGCATGTATCCTCCACACAGAGAAACATTTAACGAGGTCGCTGGCAGACTCGAGCAGGCACGTGACTATCAGGAACAGCAATCGCGAGAGGAATACTGGTTGTGGTGTACAGGATGGAGAAATATTTCCTGGGTTGCCGAACGAGACAGATCCAGCTGAATTTAAGCCATGGTGATGAGTGTATGGTAAAGAGCAGTAAAGTGTCGTGTGTCACATTAAGCCATCTACAAGACGGGCTGTATGTATGTCAAACTTCTTTCGCACCGTACGTAGCCAACCGTACTAATCGAAGGTGCGGGGGAAGGCTAACAAAAGCTGCCCTTTAGTAGCAATGAATAACCACAAAGCAAAGGGCGGCGAGGATGCCTGTGTCACACAGTAAGTAACAGGAAAGTGCAGAGCAGGGCGCTCACCTGACCGTGCGTGTGCACGGGGAAATCCTCTACGGGCGGCACAAGGCCCTGTGCGATCAGCTGACTGTAGGAGGGGGGCGGCTCGCGGCACAGCAGCTCAGCATCGAGTCGCGTGAGCGGGCTGTCGAACCACCTGCACAAAGTGACGGGGGAACAGTCAGTCAAGCCTTGTTCGTGAGCCATGTCACGAAGATTAAACCGCACCCGAGATTCGAATGACATGAATCGTGGTTGATATCATTAAACCATCCTTTGTTGTTTCACTTGCATTGCCTCGTTTGTAGTGTTTTGTGCCATCTTGTTCATTCCGTATGATCGAGGCGTGGGAATGAGACGCGAGAGCAAGTGATAGTGGCTCAGGATCCAGTTTCAATTTACCCTGCAATCAGTGGTCTGTATTAAACCACATCAAAATATCGCATGGCAGATGTGAACATCTCCTACCCCAATGGCCGTTTAAAAATATCAATTACCCACAATCTCAAACCCATGGACTGCATAACGCACTACTGCTCACTTCGATCATTCGCTGGCATCCATTCCAGATATTCATCGGCGTACCGCTGAAGCCGTTCACCATTTCACCAACCTCAACATGAACATGTAAACCTTGCCGATCAACTCCCCACCATGTGAAAGAAGGAGAACGGTGAAGTGTCTTCGAATGGCTATGAGCAAGCTGGCGACAGGCGGGTTAGAGGTCGGGAGGTTTAATGTATCTTGAACTTCTTTGGAACCGTACATAGCCAACCATGCTAATCAGAGGAAGGTCAATTAAACACAAAAAGTAGTTCTAAAGAAACTATCTTTCAATCGAGATGATTTAAAAGTGCATAGCTCCAGTGGCTTCCTAACATCGGAAGAACGTTCCAGACGGCTGCAGGAGCGCATCTGAAAGCACGCGACACAGTGACCATCTTTTTTCGATGGCTAGCCAAAAGCTGCTGCTGTGAGGGTGACCAGAGTTTGCGTGATGGCTACGTAGGAACGAGGGCGCACCTGTACTGGCGTGAGCGCAGCGTGTAGAGCTTGCAGGAGCATCCAAGTGCGATGACGAGCAGCAGGCCGCACACGAGGCCGCCGATGGTGGCGGCTGTGATGACGCGGCGCGGCACCACAAGTGGGCACTCCTTCTCATCCGAGCCGTCGCCGCAATCGTCCTGCCCGTCGCACACCCAGCTCTCGAAGATGCAGCGGTCGTTGTGGCAGTGCCACGTGCCAGGCTGGCACGATAGGCAGTGCCGCTCGTCCGAGCCATCGGGGCACTGCGTCTGGTAGTTGCACCGCTCGGCGCGACCGTAGCAGCTCGTGCCGGCGCCTGAGAGAAGTTAGACAATTTATTTTTTACAAAATGTTCATGCTTTGACAGCTAACATTTGTATAAATAAGATTATATATAGATGTATTCATGAAAGTAAAGGTGCAGCCACCCTGCAATTGTTTGCTCACTTCACTACTGGCAGAAGTGCTTTCACTCGAGTTCTAAAGAAACCCTTGATTTCTCCAACTCTTCCACACTAGCCAAATATCTCGGAAGAGGTGGGAGCACCCACACTTGACATGACCACAAGTGGTCTGCCAATCAGCTGCGGTGTACGCACTTATACGCCGACCTGGTTACACAAGATGGCTCAACGAAGAGGCTAATATCATCATCACGTGGGAATTTCATAGGAGTAGCAAAATAATTAAACACACGTTTCTAAATGTGGAGGGCAAAAGCGGAGAACCTGGAGAAAAACCCATGCGACCGCGGGGAAAACGTTGCAAACTCCAAATATAGAAGCTGCAGGGTCAGGATAGAACCCATGCCTCCTGCATACCTTGCGAGGGAGATATAACATCTAACCACACACGTTGTGCCCCTAGCGGAGCTAAAGTAGGGAGAGAGCCTCACCAGAGCCGAGGCTTGGTTTGGCGCAGGGGAACTGCTCCTGCGGGCACTGACCGCACCCAGCCTCGTCTCGACCGTCCACGCAGTCCCAGTGCCCGTCACAGCGCTGAGAGTCGTCATAGCAGCCGCCGTCCGAGCCACCTGCTCGCAGAGACACACAATGTCAAACCTGTCCAAATCCATAGCACCCGTCTACTGCATCATGTCATGCCTCTAAAACTCAACTCTTTTGAAATGCTTTTTGTGTTCAGTTTGTCATCCTTCCCCCGCACCTCCAAAGAGAGTTGACTATGTACGACGCGAAAGAAGTTGAACATACATACGCACATTACGACCGTGTAGTGAATGAAAGAGGCGTACCCATGGGTGAGGCTCGAAGGCTTAAAGTTACAACTGGGGCAAAGGCAAAATGGCCAAAAAATCCTGTATATTACAGGATATTCCTAACCAAACACTATACAAGAAGCATGGCAGTATGTGTGTACCTGATGTTTTTGAGCTCAACTGTGGATCGAACCATAGCTGATCATGAGTATATACTTGTCATTATCTAAGCCGGTGTTGTATGTGTGGATATTCTTTCGTGAAAAATATTCATGCTATGAAAAATACCATCTGTGCCAGGCCCACAGGGAATGGTAATAGGCGAATAAACCAAGTACATGAACAGGGGACTGATGATTGGCATTCGGGATAGGGGTGATGAAGTTTTATGGAGGAAAAAACATTTTACAGGATGGTGAAGTTTTAATATCCAGCCAATTTCATTTTGTGGCGAATGAGTACAATGGAGAAGCTGATCATTGTTTTTTTACCCTTCTATCTGGCAACAAAACTGACACCTTTTTACAAGGAGTCATGTTTACATAGACCACAATACCTGCAGTCATAATGCAAACAAAAAACATAACTCTGATAATGTGCACTGTCCTTGAAGTTGATTGGTCCACACCCGAGACAGCTTTCCTTAGAGCCTAGTCTCACATGGGTTGGACCAGATGATGCCAAAAGGCGCACAACTCAAAGACAATGTTGCCAGATAGAAGGGTAAAAAACCAATTATCATATTTGTACTGGCAAATGAGGTTCCAATGGTGTAAATGGAAAAGCTGTTTACTTGTTCCATTGTTTGAAGCTGCGGGTAGGCACACCGCTTGACTACGTTGCTATTTTCCAGAGCATCAGTTTGTTGCACGACCAGAGTTCACGCTCATTTCACCGCGGATGGCACCGCCACCCCCCCCCTCTCACCTCCGCCGCATGGGTGCTGCAATGGCGGGCAGTACCCGGCCACGCGGTACGTGGCATTGAACCCTCGCGCCGAGCTCGAGCGCCGGTCGGAGAAGAAGCGCACCACGACTTGGCCCGACGCCGTCTGCACGCTAACGGGGAGGTCATAGCGCTTCAGCCCCGTCAACTGGACCAGCGGCTTGACCGCCACCTCGCTGCCGAAACCGGCGTCGCTGTCGTTGCCAGTGTTGAGGCCCTCGAACACCTCGAGGGTGTCGGTGGAACCCGGCGCCAGCTGCAGGTCGACGAAGAGCAGCACGAGCGGCCGCGCGTCGTCCGTGTTGATCACCCAGCGGCAGTTGGCGCCCGCGGGGTACGCGTGCGGGTAGCGCGGAGAGCTGAACCAGCCGTAGAAGTTGCGTAGCCAGTGCGACCCACACGGCGCGTTCTCTGGTCCGCCAATCTGCGACGGGGAGGTCAACGGGTCGGTCGGTTAGAGGGCGGGATTGTTAGGACGCGACAGTGGGTTGAGCCGGGCGTGGTGGCGATGGGGCATGCCTGTGATCCAGCGCTTTGTAAGGGAAGGGGTTGCTGGATCATCCAGCACTGAGGTTGTCTCTCATACGGTCCCACAAGGGTATGAGGCTTCATGAATGAAAAAAAACTGTAAAATGCACAACTACTACACTCCAATGACACGTCTGCATAAATGTTATATTAAACTGTATGCAAGTATTGCCAGCAATGTCACCAGTGCTACAACGATGCAATTGAAGGTACGTGTCAAGTCTTTTTGTCATTTACAAAGCACACCGACCTCGTGGGACAAATCGCAACGTAGCACAAGCACGTAAGTACAAAAGGCCATTTGTTTTACCGAGTCGCGCGTTCCATTTTAATGAATCACACATGTGAAGAGACTTTGAAGCGATGTGTTGCTCTCTCTTCTTTTTAACAAAGGTACCTTAGACGATTGACACTTACAAAAATATAGCACGTACTAATATTAACTTGATAGGGTTACAGCGCATAGTGCAATCGGCCGAAACACACAGATATACGCCGACATAAGACTTCTCAAAACCAAACAGCAGCAGAAACTCTGTTCACACTGGGCAGCCTGACAATGTGGCGGCCGCAGTGCGGACACCACTCAAGAAATGCAACGCCGTCTCAAGAGTCAACCATCGGTCAAGAGGGAACATACATCCCTCGGCAAAATATATATTTTTAAAATAAAAACCTGGGACTATGCGACAGGGGACTCAGCCAGACCATTGTGGCTGGACAGGTGATGGGGGGAGGGGGGAACCTCACCTGTGCAACGTTGGGCTTGCAGCCGCGCTCGTCCGATCCGTCGCCGCACTCGTCCTGTCCGTTGCACTCCCAGGTGCGCAGCACGCACCGTCCATTCGCGCAGCGCAACTGGTCGTCTGGGCATTGAGTTGCCTGCAGCAGACCTGCAGGCACACACAAAAGACAAAGATCCCCCACATAGCTTTAGCAGATGGTTGGGGCAAGTGCTGTTAGCGAGCACCTATGAAGGACGACATGGCACACGAGGGGGTGGGTGGCCAGCACCATGCCCGGCCGCCTTTTTCTCCCTAGTGGAAATGTTTACACATCGCACCAGCTACTCATGTGAGGCTGAGTTGACTTAGGGGAGGTCTAGGACCAGTTCAGATAATGGTCTTGTTGGAATTCCCTACACCTCCGCTGTAGCAGACGGACAGAAAATATGGCATCTGTGCAGGACCGCCCTTTCCTGAAACCGCATTGGGGCTCTGCAAGCCTTTCCTCAGCATGCCTAGCAAGGCGATGTTGAATAATCCTTGCCAGGACCTTTCCCGGCACACTGAGGAAAGCGATGGCCCTGTAGTTGTTACAGTCTGTGCGGTCCCCCTTCTTAAAGAGGGGGACCACCAGGGCATCCCTTCCAATCCTGCGGAACCCGTCCAATGGTCCAGACTGTTGTTATGTCATGTAGGGCAGTCTGTGGACAAACGCCACCCTCCCCCTCAGCATTTCGCTTGGTAGATCATCTCTGCCCGGTGCCTTTCCTGGTCTCAGATTCTGGATCGCCTTCAATACTTCCTCAACAGATGGCACCTCAGCCAGCCACTCATAGGTGGTGACTTCTTCCAATATTTGAGGCACCGCAGCCTCGGCAGGGTCATCCCCACTTTGTCCCATGTTGTTATCCAGGCTGAGGGATATCCCCTCCCCCGGGACCTCACAGAAATGCTCAGGTACAAAGACAAAGATCCCCCGTATAGCCTTAACAGACTGTAGGGGCAAGTGCTGTTAGCGAGCACCTATGAAGGCTGGAACGGTACACGAGGGGGTGGGTGGCCAGCACCACGCCCGACCGCCTTTGTCTCCCTAGCGGCGATGTTTACACACCGCACCAGGTACTCATTTGAGGCTGAGTCGACCTAGGGGAGGCCCAGGACCGGCTCAGATAATCGTCACTGGTGTTTGCCGTGAGCGGGAATCGAACCCGGGTCGCCAGGTTCGTAGTGCAGCGCGCTAACCGCTACACTACCGCTCCCCACGAAATGCTCAGGTACACACGCACGCACACACACACACACTGCAACGGTAAACGTTTACGTGGCGTGCACAAAATAGGCCAGGCCATCTGGTTTGTGTCTTTGTGCACTTGGTCGTAGGAATTGGTGAGTTTCTGCTGCTGAACGCTCATGAACATGTGCATACACAGCCCTTATGTCAATCCACTTCTGAACTGAGGGCCTGCCCACACCACTTAGCACACCAATGGCATACTTATTCCTAATCGCCTCGCAGACCAGAAGGGTTGGGAATTTTCACAATTCTACGTCACCTACCCCCCAAAGTGTGGAATTCCATGTGCCACAATGCTCGGTCCAACACACGAAGTTAACCTCTGCAGCTCAGCGATGAATTGCAGTCCTTGCTTTGCCGTTAACTTTCTAAACCAAGCGGCAGAACAATAAGATGAGTGACAACAAATGATCGCGCCGGGGGAGAAGGACTCACTGGTGACGTAGCGGAGCTCGAATCCGGACCCGGAGGCCGAGGCGTCCGAGTGGAACTTGATCCAGACGTGGTCGCGTGGCGAGATGAAGGGCGGCGGTAGCGCGCTCCCGCACGCGCGGTAGTCGTGCGCGCCGCGACTGCCCGGCCCCAGCATGAGCCAGTCGGCGGTGCAGCCCTCGGAACCCTCCATCTCAAAACCCGTGAAGCTGCCGCCGGGAAAAAACACAAAACACGCGCACACCACTCATCCAAACGGCTCGCACACGAGCAGTCGCCGTTGCGATTGGAATCATGCGGTGATGAATTGTAAGCGATTTGGAGTAGAAGATTTACACGGGAATCGATTCTTAAAAAAAAAAACCACAACATTATCTTGATGGTGCTGTCAGCATCATGAGACAAAGCAACCATTCGGATCACTCACAGAGCAGTGAACGGCCCACAGTAACAGAGCTACCTCTGGGATCATTTCAAATGACCTGGTCCACATAGTACAGGGCAGCACTTTCTCACCCACTCTGCCGGCGAGATGAATGTTTGCCCCATGACATTCATACTGATACTTTAATTCTCAAAGCTAGACGTTGGCAAAATTAAGTGTGGAACCAAATTAATTTGACGGGTTTTTTTTTGTTCCGAGTCATTTACGATCGGAATGTATTCAGCACATCATTAGGGGTGAATCTGGGAGCTGTCCAACCTAAGCTTGAAGCTTCGGTTACAAAAAATGTATAATCTTGATTTGAAGCTTTCATGACTGCAGGAATCCATACTCTTTGGTTCTTTCGGTAAAGTCACGTAGTTAGAAAAATTATAAATCACGACGTTTCAATCGCAACACAAGCAATCGTCATAGTAATAAGAAATTATGGAATTTCAGCTATGTCCCATCACGCAAATATATATAAGAGCCTCAATACATAAATGTCCCTATAACATAATCTAGCGGCACACCTGACCTCAATTTACAATATATTGTTTTCACAAAGCTTCAAAACTAATTTTAACATAATCGTCGTTCACCAAAGTAGCGGTGACATCACCATGGCGCTTGTGCCATTCTAGGTGCACTTTGAGGCCACGTGAAGAGTCCAAGGCCTGCTGGCAGGAGGCCACAGAACAGACTCAGGTTCCATGGGTTCACCGACTGAGATGACGAGCAGATGCACCAACTGTGCTCCCCACTGTGACATCTCTGCAGTTTATCTGCCTGGCACGTCGCTCGTTGTTGTGAGCGTCGCTCCTCTGCCTTCGCTGTTGTTGGGAGGGCGACTGCCTCCACTCTCCCGCAGCATCCTCAAACGATGGCTCATCAGCCAACTAAATTTCGATTTAAAGCTTTCGTGACTGCAGGGATTCATCTTCTTGGTTCTTTCGGTAAAGTCACGTAGAAGGGAAATAATAAAAATAAAAGAACAGGTCCTGTTCTTTACCTGAGGACGGCTGCTTGCGTTGTGGCTGAAACGTCGTGAGAATTATTTTACGTTTTATTTTCATTATTTTATTATTTCCCTTCTACGTGACTTTACTGAAAGAACCAAGAAGATCAGCCAACTACTCACAAGGAGTGGGCTTCCTCCTCCAATATTTGATTGAGGCACAGCAGCACTGGCACCAGCACATGGTCAGCCCCACCTTGCCCTCCCCACCCCAAGACCTCACAGAAACGCTAAGCAAACCTGCGAACCTGTTCTTAAGGGTCAGAGATCGGATCAATATTATTTCCCTTAAGGATGGTGTTAAACAGACCAGAACATACTGCCTTTTAATTATTAACAGGTGAAAGTAAGTAATTTAATTATATATTATTTATAGTCAGCACAGTGTGTACTTAAAAAAAAGATTATTTCAATAGCAGTTGCCCTGGTATACCAGTTTCCTTACTGAAACCCAGTTGACAAAAACGACCCACTTTTGCATGTTTATAGCTTGCAATTTACTTAAATTGCTTTTAAGATTATAAAAATATGAAATGCGAATAAAAGAAAGGTAGGACCCACCAATTAAACCAAATACAATTCAAAGCCAATAACTCATGACGTTTCGACTGAGCGTGGAGACGCAGATAACAAGGCAACATTGCTGTTCAATGTTTGAGCTTCAGGAGTGAGATTTTTTAGTCTCCAATTTATTTTCTATTTTTGAGCTGTTCTCCATAAAAACTATAAAACACTGTTTTATTTGACCAAGTAAGGTCAACTGAGCTATATAGCTTTTTCAAAAGCGACCTGGCTACAAATGATAGCTCAATGAAGTGGCTAATCGTGTAGGAATTTATACCAGCCAAATATTCTTAAACACGCTTCTAAATGTGGATGTAAAAACCGGCGGATGCGGAGAAAAATCCACGCTACCACAGGGAGAACATGCAAACTCCAAATACACAGGCATCAGGGTTGGAATCAAACCCACAACCTCCTTCATACCAGATGAGTTAGTTAAGATCTCATCACCGCGGCATTCCCAAACAACACGGTCACCCATGTATGAATGTCAAACGTCTTTCCCACCTTGACTTAAAGCTTTCGTGACTGCAGGAATTCATATTCTTTGGGTCTTTCGGTAAAGTCACGTAGATAGGTTAAAATTAATAAAACTAAAAGAAACAAAAAACTACGACATTTCGATCACAACACAAGCGATCGTCATGGACGACTTTACCGAAAGACCCAAAGAACGTCTTTCCCACTGTACGTAGCCAACAGTGCCAATCGGAGGTACGGAGACACGGTATATGTGCCCACAGTATTTCTAGGACACGCTGCATCATTACTGCATCGCCATCTGCCTCGCTTCTCAACTGCCACCTTGTCCAAGCCTCTCCCACGCACGAGCATGCGCCGCCGGTGAGAGGCTGCCTCCCCTCTCCTAATAGCGGTCACGTCCAGTACCTGATGGTAATGACGTGTCCCGGCTGAGCGCGGATGAACCAGCTGCAGTTGAGGCTGCCAGGGTACGCCGTGGGCCAGCCAGGGCTGTGTATGACGCCCGAGGGCCCGCTCATTTCCTCCATCATTGATCCACACGCTGGGGGAGCAATTGACAAACATTTCAGATATTTAACGAAACGTTACAAATGGTCAAGGAGATGGAGCGATGAAATCAGTTCGAGTGCAGGTATTAGTTGCATTATTACAATACAGGATCTTCGGAGACAGCGGTGAATTATACAGCACTGAATTCATCAGGATCGCTCACGACAACCCTTTTGCCAACCACTGCTGAAATAAGGCCTCTCCATGCCTCATCGGTTTTGGAGGTTGTTTAACTAAACTTTGCCACAACAGTCAGTGCGAGTTGATTAAGATGAAGGGCAAGAGGTGGAGGGAGGACTCGTTCAGATATCACTCTTCACTGACATCAGCCATTAAAAGCTGGACTCGAACGGAGGTTGTTAATTTTTAGACCGCAGTGTGGAAAGCCCTCTGCCACTGAGATATAAACCTAGCATGTTCTATTATGCCGAGATGTTTGTGTGAACAGTGGACTGACCCCATGGCATTAGCTGCCGGGACGATGTGCGGAGAGCGCTGGTGAGTAGAACTTCACTGGGCTGACTGGTAGCATGAAGATCTGTTAGAAAATAACACACACGCGGGAATTATGGTGATGAGGTGACCTTTACAGCAGACACAGAAACCGAGAGAAACAGAAACCCCAGGCCTTGTCACTAATGAAGTGACACTCACTGTGCCCTTTGTCAATCCACTGCGGTGCAGACCATGGGCGTTCATTTTAACAAACTTCACATTGCTGGTCAGTGCAGGTTGGTGAAGGAACAGAGCATAGATGTGAGAGAATGAAAGTACAACCAATTTATCGATTTTGCTGCACCGTTCTAAGCTACTAATTCAAACAATAACCAGGCTCGAGCCCGCTTAGCTGCCGAGATCTGCCAAGATTGGGCTCATTCCAGGTGATTTAGTCATCAGCCACACTATGTACGAGGTCTCTAACAAATCAACCCCCAGCGAATCGATTGTCACGATTCCGAGGCACGATTCATTTCAAGTATCTATGCTCATTTTCCTTGCTAATAGTGTATCATTTGCAAATGTGCTTATATATATATTTTTTTATCTCTTTCCTATTCTGCCTTGTCCAACATGGCAAAGGCTAAAATTATCTTTAATTAGCATTTGTCATAAATTCTGTAATCAAGTCTGAGACACGACTCGATGGATGTTTGTATCATTAAAGTAAAAATTTATTTTAATAACCGAATTGTATTGTTGCATCCCGACTGGGTACAAACTTGCATTATGAACAAACGTCTGGTCTACATGTACATGAGTAAGCTGATTTGACTCTGTCGCTTGTAGGAAGTGGCGGGCCTGGAAAGCTTGTATTTTTCCCTCTTTGACGTGTTGTACCTTGTCTATTACATTTATCAAAATCACGCATTTGCCAAAAACATTTCATGCTTTGTTTGGCTGAATGTACGTTCCATTTTCGTTGAAGCCAAAGCTTGTAGAATTTTACACTCTCCATCCTACTACGCTGGCCCTGGCCAAGTGCTATCTGTGACGAGAGACTTAAACAGCGATGCACATCTATATATTGACATCAGGTGAATCTCTCCCCTAAATCACATGACCTGTGTGCGGCCACCCCCATTGAATCATGACCTTTTATAAAAACAGACACTGCTCGGTGCAGCATCGAGGCCCTGAAGCAGCCTCTACTTTCCTATTCTCATCTTTCCACACCCTTTGGTCTTATTCTTCCATTTCTTTTCCATCCTTTTTCTCTTACTTCCCATTCATTCGCTTTGCTCTTCTCTTTCCCGTTCCCTTTAATTTTTCAATAAATTGTATCCTTGATTCTATTTCCCTTCTCGTGATGTGCCATGGGTAAACCGTTTTATCGTTGTTAACGTAAACATTTTTAAGAGCAGTGTTACACATGGTTACAGTTTAACAACGAAACGCCCTCCCGTTGCGCAAAGTACACAACAGATGTGGTTCCCTCCTACACCAGTGGTAAATTAAGAACAGCTCAGGACTGTGGTCACTAATCTTGAACCGTGGAGCGCAGAGCACGGCACAGCCCACTATCATTCGCTGCCAGCATTTCAGACATTCACCAGGCTACTCCTGAAGCCATTCACTGGCTCGTCAATCGTGGCACAAACGTATAAACATTGCTGATCAACCCCCCAACATATAAAAAAAATAAGTAGAAGAAAGTGCCCATTCAAGACAGTGCGGAGTGCATTTAAAATAGCGCTGCCCTTCATGGCACACAAGTCACAACCGCATAATGTGGAGCTGTGTCGAATTACGATGGGAGCAACGTTTACTGGTAAATGAATCGCTGCTGTTGTACAGCAACCGCGTTCGCCTACAGCTTGTTTACAATACAGCTCTGTGCTGCACACAGCTGAGGACCCAAAAAACAAAGACTTCTTTTAATTCAGTGCATGCGTATTCACAAGGGAACAGATGTTTGTGTGTCCCTGATACCTTAATGCAATGGGGCTGCTTCCGTTGTTATTGAAGCTAGGTTGAAACAAAAGCCTTTACTTGAATTTAAACAACATTGTGTCTCAGAAAGTATAAAGTCTGCGAGACAGGAATGAGCCCAGCACCACTGAAATCATCCTGTTTTAAAGCGGGTAGCAACATGTGATTGTGCCCGTGGATTCCTCCACCCACGTTGTGGACTCAGTCTACCAGGAAGTTTTTTGTCTCATCCATTCTATGTTAAACCACAACAAAGACAAATATACCCCTATAGCCTTTAATAGACTATGAGGACAAGTGCTGTTTGCGAACACCTATGAAGGCATAATCAACGTTTTTGGGTTTAGATCGCGTTTATTTATGTGTCGTAACCCTCCACCACCCGACACGGCCAATCAGTAAAAATGTGTCACGTTGACAAAGACAAATAGTTCACTGCTTTAGCCCACCGGTGTGTTGAAGCCACAACATTTACAATTTGAGTACGACGTTTCGCTGGTAATTGCAACCAGCATCATCGGGCAATTCGCCAGAATGGTGAGGCTCTGCTGTGTCTCCACCATTCTGGCGAATTGCCCGATGATGCTGGTTGCAATTACCAGCGAAACGTCGTACTCAAATTGTAAATGTTGTGGCCTCAACACACCGGTGGGCTAAAGCAGTGAACTATTTGTCTTTGTCAACGTGACACATTTTTACTGATTGGCCGTGTCGGGTGGTGGAGGGTTACGACACATTTATAAATAAACGCGATCTAAACCCAAAAACGTTGATTATGAATAACATTGGTCGCGAAAGCCTACGTGTTAAACTGACCTATGAAGGCACATGAAGGGGTGGGTGGCCAGCACCACGCCTGGCCACCTTTGTCTCCTGAGTGACGATGTTTTTCACACATCGCACTAGGGACTCGTGCTCAAATGCAAGGAAGGGCATTCTCAATTGCAGTGCCTAAACTGTGGAATGAACTGATCACAGATCTCAATATTACGACCTTGCGTATCTTTATTTGCATCGAGGTCATTGCGAACATGACTATTACAGCCACATTTGTAAATGCCCTTTGTAAAACTATTTGTGACTGCAGTGTGAGAATTCCATTTTCTGAAAGACTGTCAATATAAAATAGGAAATGCAATTGTAATGAATGCTGGTTTGAAATTACATTATAAATAACGCCATGTCAGTTTCTCACAAGTGCCCTGCATAATGCTATTTTGGATTACTCGCTAGGTTTCAATTGTATATAGTTCTGGTTTGTTTATTATCCATGTTAATAAAATGTCCCTATTTTTAAATCCTTTATATTAAGTTCGCTTGCTTGCTTACGACCGTGCAAATCTTTCAGTCGTTTTTTAACCCACTTCCCGTGATCCAATCGAGCTGACATTTTGCACACAGACTCGTTGTGCGAGACAATTAATTTTTTTCCAAAATTTTACACTGTTTAGGGTAAACAAATTAAATATTTAATTACCAATTGCTTAATACTGGCAGACAATCATCTGACCCATAGGTGGCAACCATCTCAAGCCAGAGGACGAGAGGACTCTAGCCGCCACGCATATAAAGGATTTATAGTGAAAAACTTAGTTTTTACGGGTTATACTTATTGTTCTATGCAAATCCTCCCTTCCCATTAATGTGGTTGGCACCAGAGCAGCCGTTGTGGCCGGGTAGCCATCGAAAAAGATCTGCCGAGCTCAATGGGTCTTATCTGAAATACACTTAATAAACTGCGTTTTTTTATAGCCTAAGTCCCAGTGTTTTGGGATAGATTTCGATGTAAAGCTTTCGTGACTGCAGGGATTCATCTTCTTGGTTCTTTCGGTAAAGTCACGTAGAAGGGAAATAATAAAATAATAAAAATAAAACATAATAAAGTACAATTCTCACGACGTTTCGGCCACAATGCAAGCAGCCGTCCTCAGGTGAAGAACAGGTCTGTCGGAAAGTTATTCAGACGCTGTCTTTCCGACAGACCTGTTCTTCACCTGAGGACGACTGCTTGCGTTGTGACCGAAACGTCGTGAGAATTGTATTTTATTATGGTTTATTTTTATTATTTTATTATTTCCCTTCTACGTGACTTTACCGAAAGAACCAAGAAGATTTTGGGATAGAGTTTCTAAGTGTGTATTGGGATGACCGACATGCTGAAAAACGTTTTATTATTAGCAGTGTGACGATTCACCCAATGCAATCTGATGAACTGACATGATTCAGGTTCACAATTTTATTCAAGAATAGGTTCTTTCTTGGCTGTTCTGTGTCACTTGTTTTTACATCTAAAGGTAACATGGGTACAAAAGTTGCATAAAATTGCCATTAATCGATAATTGGTTCTTACACATGCACCGAGCATAAGTAGCTAAGTAAAGGTTGATTTGTCGATTAAGGAATCAGCTAGCCCAACAGGAGACTAGTTTAGAAGATACGAAACATGTCGACCTATTTGGTTTGGATATGTTAGAAGAACTGAGGCCAACAAATAACAACTATCAGTGGCCTGGCACTGCTATGTAGTTGAAGGAAGAAGCAGAAACTGTCCAAACAAGAGGTGGATTGTCAGCATAGAGGACCTACAAGAGGCAAATACCAAGGCCAGAGAAAGGATTGGAATGGGTTCATTAAGTCTCAGACAGCTGCCATGTGTCAACTGACGGAAGAGGGATTTAAAAAAAGAATGACATGCCTACTCCTTACAATGCATGAAGGATAACCATCTAATTCTGGGTAAAACAGGCTTATCGAATTGATTCCAAGTGTAATTGTGCGGTTTCATAGTCTGCAGCTGTTTCCTGACACGGTGTTATCCTCCAGCACTAATAGCAGAAGGGCGTTATAAATATAATTGGTGATACAATACATAATGCATAACAGCAACATGTTATAGCCAGGACGGAGGGACCACGTGTGCATTACGCATCAGCATAGGCACCCTCACAATGACCTTTTAAACCAAACACTGACCTGTTGCTCCTTTTTTCACACCATCTTTTAATTCATTGTTTTAGCTAAAGGAACACTCTACGGACACAAAAAATTAGTTCAGGTGCATTTATACAATTGTAGGTGTCTGCTGATGATAACCCTTCTACGGAGATGTAGCATTTGAAAAGGCTTTCAAGCCAACGGTACTTATGCAAGTGTGGCTGGCACGAGTGTCTGCTTGCCAGATGCTACTGGCCCTGTACCAGCCACACTACACCACCACACACAAGACACCCGCCACTTAAGTGTTCAGAACAAATAAGAGTAGCAGTCACTGAAACACAGGCTCTGCTTTGAATGGGACTCCCTCATTTTGACACAAGATCATTTTGATCAACACAAAAAAAATACCACCCAAAAGAGACACAGACTGTTGGGGAAGGTGTTGTTATTGAGCACCTATGAAGGACAGCACGGTGCTCGAGGGGGTGGTGTGGCTAAAAACCACACCAGCCACTTTTGTCTCCCCAGTGCTGATGTGTATGCACCACCAGGACCTTGTTTAAAACTGAGTCGATCTAGTGAAGGCCCAGGAGGGATTTAAGATATATGCCACTGATGTTAAACATGGTCAGGAATTAAACTCCGGATGCTTTGTTTGTAATATGATGGGCGAACCACAATGCTACCGCTCCCCACATTTGATCAACACAGACATACGCAAGTACAGTTTTACAAACACCAATCTATAAATAATGTGAATCCTGAATGGGTGCCAATCCATTATGCATTCAAATCCACTCATAAAAACACCAATGACAACACAAGGCTTGTGGCATTAAAACATATGGTGCAGAATTAAAATATCCTCCAAGATCTCTCCTGCACATGTTGACCAAGCGACAAATATTTTTTTCAGTCCTATATTTAAGTACTGTACGTATGTGATATTTATGGTGTTGATGTCTTCCTGGTTTAAAAGGTTACTTTAAGGGTTGGATATCTCTCCTCTGTTTTACAGCTTGCACGGCCCTCACGTGTAAATACACAAGACGCCAGCCTTAGGCAAGTCCAACCCTTTATGGACCGAGACAACCGACTTAAAAATGGTAACCAAATCACTTCTGTCAGGAACTGCAAGGTCAATACTGTGTAGGGGAAGAAAGCCTGTCATTTTGCTGCTTCATATTTGAGACATGTAAGTATTAGCATTGTATTCATAAAAATATGTTTATAAGTATTTGTCAACCCACTGCTGGATGAAGGCCTCCCCATGCTGTTTCAATCATGAGGATTGTATAATACTAGTTTACTATGCTGATCAATCTGAGTTGAATGTGGAACTCAGGAATTGTTCAGATATCACTCGCCACAGATGTTAGCCATGGCTGGGACGTGAACATAGGTTGTCGCATTCATAATACAATGCACTAACCACTGTGCCACCATTTCAGCAAGCATTGTATGACACATAAATAATATTATGAATATTATAATTGATTTTACTCTTTAGTCAGAAGGCAATGTAGATTTGCTAAACTGTCGTTTGTAAGCCTGTGCATTACCCTTTAATTATACAGGAAAGTCCCAATGATAATTTAGACCATTTCAGGGGGGTCCTACATTGGGATTTTTGGCTAATTCCAATTAGGAGTGTTTGGTATGTGGACGGTAACTGGACGGTAACTGGACTCACCAAATAAAGCTCAATATAAATAAGAGGGAATAACACCCAATGCTCCCTAGAGATTAATATCAATAGTTAAACCGTACCACCATTATTAGGCTACCTGACACCCAACTCGGGGCCAACTTTTCCCATGATCAACCTTCACCACAGTGCAGTGCACCAAAATTAAAAGTTGGATTGTACTTCTATACTCCCACTTCTATGCCACCTGCCTTTAACAACCCGCACTAACCAGCATGATGAAAAATCGTCAACCCATGTGGGGGAGGATGGTTTACACCACAAAAAAGGAACCAGTGACGAAGAACTGTGACCAAAAATGGGCAACACCCAAAACCTGTTTGAGCAAGAGAACATTTGACTTGTGTGGATTAGGGATTCTGACGTAAATTGAGTTTTGCAAGATGGAATGTATCTCACTTACGTCTAGATTTCCTGACACGTGACCTCACGAGCTTACTCTCTCAAATGTCAATATTCATGTGACATGTTTTGTGTTACACAGCATTTACCAGCAGTCGGTGCAAGAGGCTAACTGCAATGAACTCCTGATTTTGATATACCAAGTTACATTTCTAGTCGGCAACTGAAACTTTGGACAATATTCTCAATCCACCGTTGGTATCTCTACGGGCCGTTGTCAATCCGCTTCTGAAAGATGGCACCTCCACCACGGGTCATGGGGGTCGTTCGATCACACTTCATCACACTGGTCTGTGTGGGTTAGTTAAGGACAGAGAGTTTCCAAGGCAGGTTCAGGTATCACTCACACCTAAGTTGGCCATGGCTGGGAATCGAAATCAGGCTGCCAAGTCCAGAGCCCGGTGAGCTCACACCGATGTACCACCCAAGCATCGCAACCCACCAACCATAACATTCATATAGCTACGCAGTAAGGCTGCTATTTTTCTCATGGTGTGGTCAAGTGTGGGTATCTATAACAATAGCTCTCGGCTAGCACAGAACAGGAGAACAAATACCCGAGGGGGATGAGAGGGTGGTTCCTTCTGCCTGCTGTGGTGTGAACCCCACACACACGCGGCTGACCTCCAACATCCTTTGCATAGAACATGAACACAATGACAGCAGGGACGACAAAACAGCCCCGAGACTTGTGACGTAAAGTGCCTGACGAGCGAATGGACCCCTGCGCGCCTCTGTGCTCAAAAGCGCCGGGAGGCATCACAGCTTGGTTCTTCTCGTTATTCGAGTGGTGTCAGCCTGAAAGATTCTCGTTTGGTTTACGGTAATGGTCCATAGGGCAGGGAAGATATTGGCACCACGCTGTAATATATCACCGACAGCCCTATAAGGCAGCAAGGCAATCTTTCTCGTCTTTGCTTCAAAGTAGGGGAAACGGTTCCTAAACATTAGCCTGCTATATACAGTACTTTGTATATGATGGTCAATAAAAGTTAACTACTGAACAAATAATTATTAATTTGCTAAAGTTCCTACCATTGTTATTTACCATATATAAAGTACTATCAAGGACTATGAACATTTCTTTTCTGGTCCAATGAACTATTACGGTATGTAGACCAGTATAGGTTTAATTAAAGCCACCTTTCCTTACCATTCTCATTAAATGTCATTTTGTTAAAGACACGTATACATTTTACTATCATGTACACAATAGATAATCTATGGGTTAAAATCTATATTACATAAATCAGTTTGTATAGTTTTGTTCAGATATAACAGTATGGTTGTGGAGGCCAACATCGCCTTTGTCTTCCTATGAACGAGCACATTAGCACTCATCACCACTCAGTCAACACATACAACATACACTGCAGCATTTTTATATCGTTTCAGATATGGACATACATACCAACCATTAGTAATGGCACAACATTTTTACAGTATAACAAAATATCCATACACAATTACAGTTGATAAGGGTGATACAAAAGATACAAATAGATCAGTCGTGCTAAAAATCATACTAATAACGCGTGACACACGTGCTTACAAACAACCAGACAATAGTGAGGATACAACATACACATGACAACAAACCAGGTACAATTACAGTAATGACTATACAAAACATATCAATAAATTAGACGTGTAGTAATCATAGTTTTAACATATACGAATACCGAAACTTGATATCGATGGATAATACACTACAGATGGATATACAACAATACAACAGAACAAGATGTGATAGAGATGATGGCTTATCTCGTATGCAAATCAACTAGAAACTACAGCGATAAGGAAAGGGCACGTACGATGTCGGTTTATATAAAGTCTAAATAGAAATATATTTAAATCTGCACGGCGAGTCACGATACGACACACAAGACACACAACCAAACCGTAGCCAACGACGATGACAAATAAAAAAAGACAGCCCACAGCACACGCACACAGAAATCACCACCACCAACACACACACACGTACCCGTCCAGCAGAGGAGAGACAGCGCCACGAACACGAAGCCCACGCTGTTTCTCGGGGCTCGCATGGTCAGGTCGAACCACACTGGGTCTGTGACCAGGTCAAGTCAGGTCAGGTCAAATGAGGTCAACAATCGGGCTGCTGTCAGGGTCACGACGAAAGGGAACCTCGACTGCGTCGGATCAGAGATCGTGTCGCGTCGTGTGATCGGGTTGAGATAGACGCGTGGAGCAGGATCAGGCCACGCCAGGATCACATCGGCTGAGATCGGTCGACCGAGACGGGCTCGGATCGTCCTCGCCCGCTCGCGCTGCGTGCAGTGCGGGCAGCCCCTTCAGGCAAGCCCGCAGGCTCCCGCGTAGGCCTAGTGTCTCGTAGCTCGTCGCACTCCGCAGCCTTCTCCTCGTCGACGTCGTCGTTGTCGTCTTCGTCGTTCCCGACGAGGAGCGAGACGTAAGACGGGCGGCAAGACAGGGGCAGAGAGCGGGGTCACCCGACTCGGAGGGGCCTGGGTCCCAGGAGGAGCTTGGAGGCGACAAAATGGAGCGGCCTGGGCCCGGCCCTCGCCCGACCGACCGACGTCGTCGTCGTCGTGAGGGGAGGCCGCGAAAGGCGTCGGCAAGAGCGGCGCGGCTTGGCGTGAGGCTGCCCGCGGTGGAAGTGCCTCACGAGAGAGACAGAGAGAGACAGAGAGGAGAGCTGGGGGGGTGGCGGCGGCGAGCGGGGAGGTTGTTGCCGCCGCTGTTGCTGGGAGCGGTGATGGAGGCGGAAGCGATCCCGCGGTGTCTCGCAGCGCGCTGTCACTTCCGCCCCCCCCACTACACCCCCCCCCACTACACCCCCTCCACTACACCCCCCCCACTACCCCCCCCACTACACCTCCCCCCACTACACCACTCTCCCACTACACCCCCCCCACTACACCCCCCCCACCCACTAACCCCCCCCACTACACCCCCCCACTACACACCCCCACTACACACCCCCCCACTACACACCCCCACTACACACCCCCCACTACACATCCCCCCACTACACACCCCCACTACACCCCCCCCCACTACACACCCCCACTACACACCCCCCACTACACCCCCCACTACACCCCCCCCACTACACCCTCCCCCACTACACCCCCCCACTACCCCCCCCCCCACTACACCCCCCCCACTACACACCCCCCACTACACACCCCCCACTAGACCCCCCCACTACACCCCCACTACAGCCCCCCCCACTACACCCCCCCACTACAACCCCCCCCCCACTACACCCCCCCCCACTACCCCCCACTACACCCCCCCACTACACCCCCCCCACTACACCCCCTCCACTACACCCCCCCCCCACGACACCGCCCCCCCACAACACCCCCCCCCACTACACCCCCTCACTACCCCCCCCCCCCCACCTGCGTACGTTCGCCTGACGCACCCCCCCCCCCCCGATTCCTATAGAACGGCCGATATTTAATCCACGCAGAAACGATCAATGATTAATAATATGAACGTGTTTAAGCAAACAAAGAGTCCACCGCCGAACTATATAACTCATACGAAGGCCAATGTCGACAAATTATTATCGAGGCTTCATCCCCCCCCACCCCGTTTCCTATGCGTACATTGTCAGTACACCCCCCCCCCCCCCCATAAGCAAGCTGCGCATTTGTGTTAACCCCCCTCCCCCTCCATGCGTACGCACTCAATGGATGGCCCCCACCCCACAGCCCCCCTAAACCCCCACCCCACACCCTCCCCCACACCCCCTTTAACCCCCCTACACCACAGCCCCCCAAACCCCCACCCCGCACCCTCCCCTACACCCCCTCCCACCCCCCTACCCCACAGCCCCCCTAAACCCCCACCCCGCACCCTCCCCCACACCTACTCCCACCCCCCTACCCCCCCCATAGCCCCCCAAACCCCCACCCCGCACCCTTCCCCACATCCCCTCCCACCCCCATACCCCCCACAACCCCCCAAACGCCCACCCCGCACCCTCCCTCACACCCCCTCCCACCCCCTACCCCACAGCCCCCCCACAGCCCCCCAAACCCCCATTTTGCACCCTTCCCCACATCCCCTTCTACCCCCCACAGCCCCCCAAACACCTACCCCGCACCCTCCCCCACACCTCCTCCCACCCCCCTACCCCACAGCCCCCTAAACCCCTACCCCGCATCCCTCCCCCACACCCCCTCCCACCCCTTACCCCACAGCCCCCCAAACCCCCACCCCGCACCCTCCCCCACACCTCCTCCCACCCCCCTACACCACAGCCCCCCAAACCCCCACCCCGCACCCTCCCCCACACCCCCTCCCACCCCGCACACCCCGCACACCCCCCAACCCCCCCACCCACACCACGTACCACGTGATACGCCGAGAACCCCCCCCCCCTACACGTGACCGCACGGCTGATACGCCTGTGACGTCACCCCCGGAAGTTGAGATTGCGAGGAGGGGGAGGGGTTTAGGCGGCCATATTGTTAAGTTCAAATAACAAAACAGCTGCAGTTTAGGGCCGTCCATAAATGACGTCACGCACCTAGGGGGGGGGGGTCAGACATTCGTGACGATGTGTGACAACATCAGAGTGCAGCGCCACATTAAATACGCACTACAATGACAATAGTTTAAAGCGATTTGAAGCATGTTTTATTTTCAAAATGAAAATATGGTTTTGGGGGGGGGGGGGGGGCAGAGGTTTGTGACGTCATATTTGAAGGGGGGTCTGACTTTTTGTGATGCGTGACGTCATTATGGACGGCCCCTTAACACGTGGTAGGCTTTAGCGACCAATACCATCCACAATACAGGTGTTTCTTTTTAGGTTTAGATCGCGTAAATATATAAATGTGTTGTTAAACCCGCCACAGGCAATTAGTAAGTTTTGTCACGTAAACAGAACGTGCCAATTCGTTCCTAGATGCAAAAGTAGCTACACATGCTACGGGCCCCGCACTTTCAAGGGCCCCGCGCTAAATGCTTTGAAACCATCAATTCCGGTTCAGTGATTCTGCACTTGCTCTATTACTATAGTACTATACTGCCTTCAACTTTTACGAACGACTGGGTGTTTAAGGATAGCGATTTGTCGTACTATCTGGCTGTATGGCAAATGAAAAAATAAAATTTTATATGTAAGTAAAAAATTTGTGTTTTAATATTGATGTGTTCATTTATTTACGGCCCCTTTATAACATATGCTACAGGCCCCGCTTTAGCTTTATCCGGCACTGACAGCACACCGGTGTGTTGGAGAGCCAAGCCACAGCATTTACAATCTGAGTACGACGTTTCGCCAGGAATTACAACCAGCTTCATCAGGCGGTAGCCAGATTTGTGGAGAAATCCTCCCGTTTCGTTCCTTAAATAGACGGTCAGATGTGATGGCATCACTTGTGAGCCCTTCTTGAGCGAAGCAGCAGCAGCAGACTTACCAAAAAAAACAAAGACAAAGATCCACACCGCGTGTAGCCTTAACAGACTGTTGGGTCAAGTGCTGTTAGCGAGTAGCAGCAGCAGCACCGATGAAGGTTACCGGCACTGGCACACGAGAGGGGCGGATGGCCAGCACCACGCCCTGACGCCTTTGTCGCCCCCCAGTGACGATTTTTACACACCGCACCAGGTAACTCGTTTGAGGCTGAGTCGATCTAGGGGAGGCCCAGGACCAGTTCAGAGAATCATCATCGGTGGTGTTGGCCGTGAGCGGGAATTCAACTCGGGTCGACGTGTTCATTGCGCAGCGCGCTAACCACTACACCACCGCTCTCCACTTACCACACACAAACAACTCCTCACTACATAGTGGCCTTACTACAACCATGTATATAAAACAGGTGACGTTTCGGGCAATGACCCTTCTTACCACACGAACAGCGAGGCCACTGTGAAACTACTGGACGTCTGTGGAAAATAGCTTTATAGATAATCGGATTCCTCCAGTATAAATACAGATTCTGATAACAATTCTAAAAGTTGGAGACTGCACTTAACACCATGGGGCCTGATGACAATTATAGTTAAGTAAATGTTTTGGAATGACCAGTTTAAAATAATATATGCACGTATGTATCTAATTGTAACTAGATTAAACAACCCGCATCCTTCAATATTCAAAAAGTATTACTAAATGAATAGAAACTTAATACCAATTAGTAACATTTTTTGATTATTGAAGGGTTCGAATGTCCCTCATTTGTTCCTATTATGTGACTTCACGTGCCAATTTTCAAAGCTAGGAATCAGAAAATATTAAAATGTACTTCTCATCAGGCCCAATGCTCTCAATTGCAGTCTCCAACTCTTATGATCAACTCTCTCTGGCCTAGCCATGAAGAACAGCCTTTACCTGAAACGTCTATATATTTTCCCTTTAATGGCAGTCTTATTGGCTCCTGATCATAATCGCATCTAAGAATAATTTCGCATGATTAGCAGATATCTTTATGATGCCCTTTTCTAACTGTGCACAGCTTTAATTAGCACACGAATATTGCTCCGGTCAGAGTAGTTTGAATGATGTGTTTAATCGTTTATTTCCATAGCCTGTCCGGCTTACCATAAATTCCGGCTAACTCTAGAAGTGTAACTGTATTTTAGGGTCATTTGGGCTGGAACTGGTTCTTCGCATCTTAACTATTGGGCAGAAAATGCGTTGCCTCCGAAACGTCGTGATTTTTTATTTTATTTTACTTTTATTAATTAAATTTTTTTTACCTACGTGACTTTACCGAAAAAACCTAAGAATATGAATCCTTGCAGTCACGAAAGCTTCAAATCTAGAATCAATAAATGCAGCTTTGATCTGAAGGGTGGAGAGAGAGAGAGCACCGTTTGTCGAACTTGCACAACGTTCTGCAGCCAATTGCGAGCGATCGTCTTTTCCGCTCGTGCCGATTTAAATGGCACAAGGGAACGTACTTAATCTAAACGCACTTTATTCTATTCAACCTGGCACTGAGCTAATCAAGTCATCTCCGAAGCCAAAAGCGCTCAGCTAGACGTTGTAATTCCTAATCCCCTATTCCTGTAACACCATAGGTGGCAGGTGGCTGGGGCTAACAGCCTTCTCAAAATTATTCTTCAGATTTTGCATTCACGCTCAGCCTATACAGCAAAACGCTCTCAGATCCGTAATCGGCGCCAGAGGTCACCACGTGGCAGAGGACGTGGCAGATTGAAGCCATTGAAAGAACTGTGCATTTTAAGTTATTTGAACGATTAACGTACAAAAACAACGGGAGATCATAATGTCCTCGACAAGCGGAGCACGTGGCAGACTGAATCAATCGGTGAACCCGTGCGCTAAAACGGCCGACCACGTGTCCTGCTAGCGAGGAACCTGCACTCTTTTTGGCTTTCAATCGTTAAAAAAATGTGTTTCAAATCATGATTTAGTCCCGCAAATAGTGATTAACAATTTCATCCAGTTGCGATATGGATACAATGGAATCCAATGTAATAACATATTTCAGTAAAGACAACCAAAGCACCCGTTCATCTATGTTTATTATACAATTTATGTACAGTATGTCATGCATTGCACACGTCGCGTTATACGTGGGACATTTTACGTGTTAAAAGTCCCAAGCATGGCCGTGTGTATCTGTGCTTATGAATTCGACATCAATGTCTTAAGACGTCCGCTCTCCACTGCTGAATGACTTTGTAGTGGACTTTTTTTCACGCCCGACGCTGATATGGGAAGGGCATTATGGGCAGATCCTTTTATCCACATTTAACCATGCATCGTACTCCTCTTAACCAAAAGCTGTGGATAAATGCAGATAATTGGCTCAATTTTGGGAAAATGTGCTCAACTATCTGCATTTATCCACACAGCTTTTAGTTTTTTTTTGGGGGGGGGGGTTATACATCTCATCCGTACTTGAGTGCATATAGCAGGATGCGATGCACGATGAGTCACATGCCATTGAGATACGTTAGGGCCAATTCGGTGCAGGATAAACCATTGGATGTTGATGAATCGTACGAATTCGATTCCACTTCCAGCTCACTCATCTAATGCGCTCAAACCTATGGATTACGGAGAGAACAGATGCACGAATCGCAACGATGAGATCGGTCTTGTGCAGGAGATGGATGGTAGCAGTAGTGGATAGACAATGGTTCGTGATGTCGATGTTACGCGTTCATTGGAAGGTTCATGGACGATTCACTGGATAATAACAAGGGCGGTTAATAGGAGAGCAGACCAGAGGAGTGTCATTGCATTTCATAATTTTCCAGGTATCCCTTGGAAGAAACCTGTATCAGCACCTTCTCATGTGACTTGAAATAGGATTTACCGATTCATACTGGGCATGCATTGGACCCCCACATTGACACTAACAACAGAGTCACGGTCGTGGTTGGCAGTTGCTACATTAAAGAAAAATGTGAACTTTGCACTTTTGCCATGCTCAAAACGTGACCGGAATTCATAATGCGTGTTGTTAAATTCAAACAAAAAAACTTTCTGATAATAACGATAACTTCGTCACACCTGCAAAGCAAGGTGAGAGCACCGATGCATTCGTCACAATCGTGCCGTTTGGGGTCTATACATCACGGTGGGTGATTGGAGACAGTGTTATCGACCGATGTGCCAAGTTTTTGTTAATTGTGCGTATGCACCACTGATACTTGATTCAAGTATCGGTGTTATAACAATAGCGCCACCTGTGGGACGCATGAGGTTTCATGCCTTTGCAAAACATTGCGCAGTGCTTTATTGCAAACGTATGTACGGTATGTAGAACTTCTTTCGCACCGTACGTAGCCAACCGGAGGTACGGGGGTAACATAGAAGCCTACAGGGTATACTGTCAGCTCTAACCCGTGAACACACATTTCAATGGCTTTTGTGTCAAATATAACCCACCGAGGCTAGCAAGTTCACGGTGTCTGCCAGCGATTCCATGAATTGTGAGGATATGCGGCCACAATTGTCTTTAGAGAATTCAACACATTTATCAATACAACTGTCTTTAAAAAAATAGTAGGTGACGTTTCGGGCAATGGCTCTAAGGCGGTGTTATTGACGAATGTGTTAACCGTCTGGTATTTGTGCACCATTACAAATACTGTATCACCAAATTAAGAATGTAGTTCACGATTGATTATATTGTCCACTTTTTATTTTATATCTCATCTCCGTATTTGCTTTTTGATTTCGGTCACTTGGTAGTTTCACGCTAAAATTATTGAAATTTACCCCCCCCCCCCCCCCCAATTTTTGGGGCATAAAACTACAGCAACAAATAATAGATGATTGTATTGGCTACAAAAATCCACGTTATACTTTTTTCTTTCTCGTTTGTACAGTCTTGTTCACTCTATGAACCTAAATGTAACAGCATATAATTTGCATATCATTTCATAAATTACAAACATCTATTTTTACAGGCACAAACGCGATGAATGCGTGTGCTGTGAGCCTTAAAAATCGATATAATCTTTGCATCATCACACCCCTGGTTTTACCACACACCTTACTTGTATTGTTTTTTGTGTTTTTTTCCGTGTTGTTTGTACGTGTTGTTTGCTCCATTACCTTAAATATAACACAAGCATAGGTTTTGCATGTAATTAGTATAAATTGTATGGAAAAAACTTCTCTCACTTAAGACTCCATGCAATATCGTGAGTGGTAGTGTCCTATACATATGTAATGGGTAAGGTTCAATGATTTAATCAGAGCATTAATGTTATTGTACTTAACAATAAAGCAGCATTTTGTAGTTATTTATTCCTACATCTTATTTTCGCTCGAATTTTAATATATGTGTTCGATGTTTATATGGTAGTGTTGCTGTTACAATGCAGAACCATGAGGGTCAGCGACTGTTCATCTAGCAGTGGATTGGCCGTGGCTGATAACGACGATTGAAGTTTTGTACGGAGTGTTGTTTTATTGAATACAGGGAGGTCTAACTACTAAACCTTGGCAGATACATTGTTTAAACTCCCATAATTCATGAAGGTCATTGTCCCTTATTAGCATTGTTTGGAATTAATCTCCCTTTTAAAGTCCCAAGTCAGTGTTGGAATTTCCACATTACCATGACGAGGCCCAGTCTGTCGTCAGGAAAAAAGCAGCGCCATGCCGGCCGTGCTAATTTCATTCACTCTGGTTCGATGATTATGATTATGTAATCAATACTGGCATTCATACACTACACTACATCAGTCATCGACTGAAATCTGGGATGACGTGTACATTTCAAGATGACAACAAACTTGGCATGGTTCTTAGCCCATCGAGCACTTCACATGATGAAGTGTTCCAAACTTATTTACAGTCAGCTATACGTGGATTCGAGAATAAAATAAATTAAAAAATACATTATATTAAATGTCAATAAAAATAAATGGGCTTGGGCAGGGCACGTTGGGGGAAGAAACGATGACCAACGGTCGAGACCAATGACTTGGTGGTAGCCGCAGAAAGATGTCCACGACGGAGGTGACGGGATGAAATCAGCTGGTGTGTGCAGGTGGTGTTTGCATTGCAGGATCGTAAGAGATGGCAAAGCCTTTGTGGAGGCCTTCATCCAGATAGATAACGATGATGATGATGATTAAATGACAATGGCGGAAAGGTGGTGCCAGTGTATGGCGCATTATCCTACTTACTCTTCCAATGAGTTTGATTGCTGGCGAGCGACATTTGAATCGCTCCTGTTATTCCCCATTCACCAACCCATACTGACCAGAGCAGGTACATATATAAATAACCCTCATGACCGACACGGCACGGGGGGAGAATCCTTCACCCAGCACTCGATTGACAATAGACTGTACATTATTACAATAATTAAATACATGACAGATACTTTGATCCCAAATTCCTACTGCACGGCGTGCGAGGCGCAGTAGAACCTCTTGTGCGCCACAAAGTTGGACAGGCTGCTGAAGCGGATATCGCACGAGCGGCAGTGCTTGCCCGTCGCACGCGGCGCCGTCGCCACGCCCGGGCTCCCCCCCCCGGCGCGCTCCGGGCTGGCGGCGCCTCCCCCCACCGACCGGGGGCAACCCGGCGAGTCCTCGGCATCCCCTGCGGCAGGAGAGTCGCTCGCAGACCGGCGATCGTCCGGTGACGTCTTCTCTTCCACCTTCTCCTCCTCCTCCTCCTCTTCCACGACTTCGATCTTCACCGTCACGGCGCTCGGGGATGGCGGCGTCCCCGCTCCTCCATTTTTCTCCGCGTATGCCGGGGAGGCGCCCCCCGCGCCCCCTAACGAGAAGTCAGGTGGTCGGACTCCGCCAGGGGTCGGGTAACCCCGCGGGAGGGGGGCGGCGGTGGTGGCGGCGGCGGCGTCGAGGGCCCCGTAGACGTGCGGACGGGCGGGCTGCGGGTCGGAGAGCGCCGCGGGCAAGCCGGGCGGCTGGCGGTGCAGCGTCGCGCGGCAGTAGTAGCGCTTGTGCGCCAGGTAGTTCTCGAGGCGGCTGAATGCGATCTGGCAGGACGCGCACTTGTGGTAGTCGCTGAGGCCCGCCTGACCCGGGTGAATGAAGCCGAGCGGGACGTGGCCGCTCAAATCCATCGGCACAGCGGCGACAGCGGCGGCGCTCGTGTCATCAAGGGGATGCCGAGAGAGACGCGGTGGCGGTGGTGGCGGTGGCGGCGGCGGCAGTGGAGGTGCACGGTCGACACAAACGCGCTTCGCTGCCGGCGCAGCTTCGGCTGCGGGCGAGCCATCCCGACTTTCGGCCGCCTCTCCATCGGAGGCCTTCCCCGAGGAGGAGGAGGAGGAACGAGCGGGGCTCCCCAAACTTCCGTCCGTGGACGAGCCAGGTGAGGCGCTCGCCGCGGCCCACCGCGTTCGCCGACTCCGCCGCCGCAGCTGCCCGGCAGGCGCGCCGCTCGTACCGGGCTGCCGTGGGACTGGGAGGCCCGGGAGTCGCGGAGCGACGGGGGCATCGCTGGCGCCGCCGCTGGCGCTGTCGCCGGCGCGGCCGTGCCGGGACGCGCAGTAGTGCCGCTTGTGCACAAGGTAGTTCTCCAGGCGGCCGAAGGTGATGCGGCACTCGGCGCAGCTGGTGCGCTCGGCATCGGGGCGTCGCTCGGCGTCTCGCAGAGCGACGCTCGGCGGCATCGTGTGGCCGCTGCCATGCGAGCCCTCGCGCTCCATCTTCACGGCGGCGGGGCTCGGCGCCGCCAGCACACCTGCGTCTCCACTTGTGCCTGCAGACGCGACGCCGGCGCCCTCCGCTTCCCTCGCGATCACCGAAGCGGAACTGCGTCGTTCTTCTGCTTCCGGCCGCCTCTGCTGCTGCTGCTGCTTCTGCTTCTGCTGGTGCTGCTGCTGCCGGGACGAGCAGTAGAGCGTCTTGTGCACGATGTAGTTGTCCACTTTGCTGAAGCTGATATTGCACTCGACGCAGTGCGTGGGGCCCGTGGGGTAGACGGCGGCCGCCAAGGAGCCCGGCGCGGCGCCCGTGCAGAGGCTGCCCGGGGCCGCTGCCCAGGAACCGCGCGGAACCACGCAGACGGCGCCCCCCTCGGCGGTGCCACGCTCCCGCGCCCCCGGGGACAGGGCCACCCGCGGAGCCGGGCAGTTCTGGGGCGACGGCATCTGATGGCGGGGACCAGGGGAAGCGGCGGCTTCGCTGGGACTTGGGGGCTCCTCCTTGATCCGGAGCGCCCCTTCGCTTTCCGGTTCCGCTTCACCGCTCGTGCCAGCGGCTTCATCCTCGGGAGCCTCCTCATCCTCCTCTTCCGCCTTCTCCTCCTCTTCTGCCTCCCGCTTGATGAAGGCGGCGGTGGCGGCGGGGGGCGAATTGCGAGCCTCAGGCTCCTCCTTGGGGGGCAACGGAGGGGAGCCCTCGCATGCGGGTGGAGAAGGAGGGTTCGAGGGGCCGACCGCCTCGCGGCAGTTGGGGCAGGAGAAGTCGCGGTGGCGTGGGGACAGGAGGGGACTCGCCCCTCCTGCCACGGGGCCTCCGCACGCGGTGCAGCACAGGAGGGCATCTGGGATACACGCACGCACATGCAGAGTCACCAAGAGTCACCCCTTCGAAATACGCACCTACGATTCAGCACGATTGGCTATGTGCGGCGCGAAAGAAGTTCTACATACATACATGAATGCAGTTACAAATGCAAATGAAGTTGTTTTTAAATTGCAATTCGTTGCAGTTTAAAAAAAAAATCCAGTTGTGCTCAAAATAGCCCGTTCTGGCAGCCCTGTCTGAGTGTTGTTTTCTCTAGCTGGCATTCCAGACAGAACAGAGCCAATTCAGGTTTTACTATGATTATAGTGGAGGAAAAATTTTGGGGGGGGGGGGGGGAGGGTGCTGATTTTTTATAGTTGAGTCATGACCTTGAACTCTGGACACCGCATTTGGAAATCAATCGTTGAGCGAGATGATGAGATCCCGAGCCATTCAGATTCATCACTCGGCCCTGAGAGATACAGCGAGTGCAGGCGGTGCGCAGATTAGAGCCCACGCTCACGCCCCGAACCGCTGATTGAAGAGATCCATTCGAGATACGCGGCCATAATGCGAAAATTTAAATCCGCTCATTATACAAGCAGGGCAGTGAGGGGGCACGGCTTGCGGGCGGGAGGCGCACAGGTTTTACTCCCGTTTCGGGTGTTCGCATCTCTGGGAAAGATTTGCAGCAGGCGTCACTGTGACCAGAACTCGTTCTCGCAAACAACTGTCATGTTCAGAATAAAAACATGGTCGTCGTCGTCGTCATCAGCCGTTGTATATCCACTGATATACAAAGGGCTTCTCGTGATGCCGATATCTCTCACGGTCCAGGCTATGTCAACTGCTACATCTGTAAATAGCATTTCGCCCTGAAAATATACGAGGAAAATGTACAGCCCTTTGTCATTCCACTGCTGGATGATGGCCTTCTCCATGCTATGTCAGTCATGGCCGTTATTTGACCATACTTCACCACACTGGTCAATTTGAGTTGCCGAAGGAGGTGACCATGACAAGAATATATATTTATATAACAATGCAGTGAATTCTAGCGCCCCTAGTGGCAACTTGGTTTATTTAATGCAATTACCGTCGAGTACGACATACGCAAAAATAACGTCATTGATTCTTAAACACACATGCATTTATTGTGAGTGTAAGAATTATTTTAACCAGATGCATCATTACAAGTACAATTTCTTATTGGTCAATGTAAATAAAAAAAATTCGTTTACAATTTTTAAGTATTTTTAAAGGTGTACAGTGGATAAATGGATGGTGACTCATCAACTCATCCACTACTGGATGAAGGCCTCCCCAAGTCATCGGCATCACTCATGGCCTAGGGATACTGTAATCCATCTCACGCCTGCATGAGCCCATCCTATTCCCTCGTCTCCACGGTGGTCATCCTCGTGGGCGCCATCATCCCCTTCTCGCAATGTGTCCTGCGCAAGTCCACTTTTCCGAGGTTGGTATGATATGATATCTCTAATTAGTTGTGTTCCTCTTTCTCACAGTTGATAATAATTGCAACTTGTAACGCGCTGAGCGTTCGCTCGTTCTCAAAGACGGAGACCAACTCCGAGGCACGAGGGACCACAGACACGTGGGAAGGCAGTCACGTGGTGAGTCGGCGTCAACAATTGGGCCGCTGCGGTGGCCAGATGTTAACCACCTCGTCTGGTATACAGGAGGTCGTGGGTTCGATCCCGACCCTGACTACTGTATATTTGGAATTTGCATGTTTTCCCCGTGGTCACGTGGGGTTTCCCCTCTGTATTTAGAAACATGCATTCAGAGTATTTGGATGCGATACATTTACACATGATGAACCACTTCGTTGAGCTATTATTTGTGGCCAGGTCGCTTGTGAAAAAGTGCTATATAGCTCAATGGGCCTTACCTGTTAAAGAAAATTGTTCATAGTTTAGTTTACGATTGCCCAAGCTGTGCGTCCATCTATATATTAATGCGTTATTAGCCAATCAATTAATGTTCACATGGTGAAAACCAGAGAACCCGGAGAAAATCCACATGTGCTAGGGGGAAAAACACTCTATCCCATACAGATGGAATGGTTGTAGCCCCTAATTTTTGCTGTACCGCCTTCTCCTGACAAGCTAGGGTATGGTACTTCAATGCTCTTGGGAAAGGAGTTTCCCAGCATGTGTGTGACCCATCAACCCTTTCCTCCGCAGTGCTGGATTATAGGCATGATCAGCTACCACACCCCCAGGCAGGATGGCACACCACTGGTTATTGACCTTGTGTGTGTAAAAAGTTGACCTGTGTGTGTATATATAGAGAAATATATATATATATATAAATTCAGTCACAGCCAACAATAACCTACGGTTCAACTCTCCTTTGTGGGTCCCGGGGCAGGTTAAGCCAACCCCGCCCACCACAAGGCACATTAACACCGAGCATCCCTTGCTCGCTCCGTATCTGCGCTCTCTATCAGGGCGGCGATAGATTTCAGGAAATTCGGGACCTTCCGCGATCTTTTACAATGATTTGGGGGGTAAAAAAAACCACCCCAACAATAATAATATCAACATAAAATGGAACGTGACTCGAAATGAGCTCTTCTCTAACTCCAACCATCACCACCACTACCACCCCTTCAACCGATTCCAAATCCCCTAAATCCACCCACCCCTCCGCCACAAAAAAATATGCATAAGGAAAAAGCTGGCCGGGGGCATAAAGTGTGACTAATGCCTCGTGATTTATCAGCCATTATCTGCACGGCCACGCAGACAGGGCTGCAGTCGCAGCTTGAAGCGCTCCCCGCCTGTTATCACCGCCGGGGATCAAACTGGATCGTGGATTATCAGAGGGCTGCAGGCTCCGCGAGAGGAATTCGAATGCTAATTCCGCGTGCTGATTGGCTGCGTCTCCGAGGGGGGGGGGGGTGTTTAAATCCGCGGCAGAGACGACAAGCGTCTTACTGGGCGACTTGCAAGACGACTTTCTCATCAAGGAGTGTCCATGTCCTCGATTTGACCATCATAATCACTGTGATCGTCGTAATTATTATTTTCTTCTTCTCAATCCATCAACGCGGTTCCAAGTCCCCACTCTCTTTCTCGTTTCAACCTTATCTAAACATCTACTGTCGCTCACTCTATGGTATTTCTTCAATATATTTTGATATTTCATTCGCAGCTGGCAGTCAGGAGGTGGTCACTGCGTGGTTATCTTCTTGGTTCTTTCGGTAAAGTCACGTAGAATGGAAATAATAAAATGATAAAAATAAAACATAATAAATAAAAATTCTCACGACGTTATTCTGTTTTATTATTATTATTTTATTATTTCCATTCTACGTGACTTTACCGAAAGAACCAAGAAGATGAATCCCTGCAGTCACGAAAGCTTTACTGCGTGGTTAGTTCTGTCTCCTCTCCAGGTCAGGTGAAGCCCTCACGAACCAAAAATGAACTTGCATTTTGGAAGGTCGGTTATTTATTGGGTGATGTTTATTCGTTGCATTTCACCCTTTACGAGATTTGGCTCTTGAGTTACACGTGGATCAACAAACATCTTGAATTTCTTTTCAAGGAGAGTGCAACCCGAGAAACATCTGCGGTTGCCACGCACCTAAGCTGTTCCCCAGTAAACACGCAACGCCGGGCCAACGTTGGCATGCGGTTAGATTGTTGGACCGACAGTGGACCAACCTTGGTCCCCGACGTTGACACCGATGGCCGAACTTTGGACCGAACATTGGTCCAACGTCTGCTGGACAATCCACGTTGACTGGGTTGTCCCCAGAGAGTCCCACAATATCTTCTTGGTTCTTTCGGTAAAGTAACGTAGAAAATAATAAAAAGAAAACATAATAAAATTAAAAATGTAATTATTATGTTTTATTTTTATTATTTTATTACCTCCCTTCTACGTGACTTTACCGAAAGAACCAAGAAGATGAATCCCTGCAGTCACGAAAGCTTTAAATCAAAAGTCCCACAATAGTTAGAACGTTCGTCAACAGGAGGGTCAGATGAACATTGCAATGAACGTTACAGCCGAGTGCATCAGTACGGAACTCGTAGCGGTCACTGTTACATCACTTCACTGACGTGATACTACAACTTCGATCCAACGAAGTCCAAAGAACACTCCAAGTAGCGAACATGACCCTCTCGTACATCCTGCCCAGTGGGGGGCTGATACGAGTTACAAGACTGCTATGAAATAATGTCAAAATATTTGAAACACATTTGGAGGGGGGGGGGGGGGTAGTTTAATTTTACTATTAAAATCACACGAAATATATTGTTTTGTTTTTAACAATGCACGCATGAGAGATAATGTCTGATTGTCTCAAGAATGAAGCTTCAAACACACGCAAGAGAAGAGCTCTCCGTTTGGACTCGGTCTTCCTCTGAATAAATTAATGCCACTCAAGCTTTTGCACCTCATGTTGAAGCCTATTTCGCCAATCCACTGCCGGATGAGAGTTCCCCCCCCCCCCATGCAATTCAGGTTGCGGAGGATTACATGACCAAACTTTTTCCCCGTAGGTCAGTGCAGATTGGAGATTGGTCAAGGCAGGGAACACAGACGTCGGGGGTATAGTACGGTACAACATGAAATGTTACCACTTGCCATTCCGTGCCCAGCAAGTAGCCCCAACAACCTCTAACACCCGATTGTGCGTAGTGGTCACCAAACTTAGCACTACCCGGGCCCACAACCCTGCTTCTGAGATCTGACAAGATCGGGGACATTGCGGGCAATTTACCAGAGTTTTTTTTACCAATGTCTCTTCTGGCCCATGAAAACAATAATGGGCCAGTTGCACTGACTAGTCAGCCGAATAACCGTGGAGGTGTTCGTGGTTGTACTGCAACAGCTGTCCAATGTGCTCCATTCGCTGGGGGCTCTTTTTAAATCCTTTATATTAAGTTCACTTGCTTGCTTGCTTAGGACCGTGCAAATCTTTCGGTCGTTTTTTAACCCACTTCCCGTGATCCAATCGAGCTGACATTTTGCACACAGACTCGATGTACGTGACAA